AATTGTAGTGAACAACTGCCTTGCTGCAATTTTAAGGGATCAGTATATCGAGCCACTAATTCTTTGGATGCTTCTGTCCATTTCATTTTCATTCTTTGCCGCTTCTGGGCTTGCTGTGGTTGTTGCATGCTTTTGTTGAGTTGTATGTGAGTTACATGGTATCACTATAGACCATTCAATTCTTACCAGGAGGGTGATCCGAAGTGTTCAGAGGTGTGTCAGGGCCAATGGTGAGATCAGCAAACTGGTGGACCGATATAAGCGATAGGAATCCATCTATAAACGACGTCTTTCACTATCGTCAGATCTATAGGTAAAATTTCCTTGGCTTCCAAGTTCCTTTGTTATGCTGATTAGGTCGGCATCTACCAGAAAGGTTCGAAGGTATCCTAGGGATCTTTTGTTATTAGGGTTGACTGTGTCAGCATTGAAGTCGCCTGAAATGATAATGGCGTCGTCGTTGTGGGTGGATAGGATGTTTGATATGAGGCTCTTCTGGTATTCTACAAGATTAGTTTGGTTGATGCCCGATGGTATAGGTAGCAGTTTATGGCCAGGATGTACCGTTTTGACTGATGAAGGTGTGTTCTAACTATGTTGACCCCGGTAGAGTGGCAGGGGATTTCACTGTAGCTGGCAACCATCGTTTTACGATGGAAAGTTGCTACCCCTCCTTTTCCCCGTCCTGCTCGTATGGCATTGGTATAGCTGATGCAATCTGCTGCTTTAGCTGTTACGCAGTGTTGGCTGCTAATGTCATTCAACGTCTGTAGTCTGTTTGGTATTAAGCCAGTTTTCTTGAATAAAGAGGACTCTGGTCTGTCTTGCTGGCAACTTGATGGGAATATCTTAGGTTGGACTGTATTCCGCGTACACTCAGTGTTCCTAATGAAATATTTGTTGTTTGTATGCGGTTGGTAGTAGAAGGAGGCTTAATTGAGCTATGATGGTGTGGTGGTTGGTTGCTGTCATTCTGTATATGGTGAGATTGCTCTTTGCTTCTGGTTCTGAGAGGAGATATAGTGTGTTTATGAGTGAGTGATATGCTGCATCGAGAAGGTACCGTAACATTGACCTACACTGTATGTTTTCATTGTCATCTTTAGATGTTGCATATATAAAGATGTTTATATTTATATACCTCCCTTTTGTATCTTTCCTCATCCTCTATGTATAATCAAATATTGTATGTGTACCATGTAAGATAAATAATAGTTTACTCAATGCCCGGGAGGCATTTTTAAAAATCACATAATGTATATTATTTTGTACAGTAAATGTTTGTTATGTATCATTCTGTCGTAACACGACTTTGTAATTCTTAAACCAATGGAAAAGGTATTTCTGTTAAAATTACATATGAATAAATAAATTCAACACTAAAAATGTAAGATTTTATAAAGTGATGGTCTTTTCAATTAGTTTTTCATAATGAGGAATAAAATAATTAGAAATGTCTTTCTTGTGAATATATTCTTAGTTCCCTAGGTGTACTGTTGACTAGTTCTTAAAGATAATACAAAGTTTTGGTAATTTTTGAAAATTGGCTGGATAGTGATTCTTTACAATGTTGATATATTTTTTTTGCCCCTTTGGATGTATTGCACTACAAAAATTGGCCCCTAAAACACTTCTGCTTTCGAGAAAAATTGAATATAAAAATTTACCGGTGCTCCCGGTAAATGGGAATAGCAAATTGGTCGATTTTAGTCACTAGATAAATCAATATCTTAAACTTGAGAGGGCGCTATACAACATAAAGAGTTTATTATTTACAATTTCATCACTTTAGACTCGATTTCAACAGCGACAACGATCACTGAATATTGTAGGATCGCATATGCTTCCAATATGTTCATTTGAACCAAATTCATGACCCCATACCAAAACTTTGTATCACCTTTAATTATTAACCTCTTATGGTAAAAGAAGTGGATTTTAATATTTATATACATGTACGTATATTTCTTAGTAAAGGCACATTAAATTTTAAATTTAGTGTTATTATTATTTGTATAATGTTTATTATTGTTATAATTAGTATCCGTATTATTATTATTTATCACTATTAGGATATTGTTCTTAGTAGTAGCAGATGTAGTAATATCAACATTATTATCATTATTAGTATTGTGTGTCTACCCTAATTGTGGGTATTTTTTAATATTGTATTTAGAGAAGAAAAAAAAGTGCTCACAATACCTTTTCACTTTTGTTTTAATATCTATATCTTTAAGTTTGTTCTGCAGTGTTAAGATTCCTTAAATCTACTCTCATTAAACCTAAAATCCTCTTAAGTTGGAAACAACATTTAGTGTATCTTGACTATTAATGTGTCCAGTCTCCAGTGTCACAGAAATACTCCTTTTTAACAATTACACACAATAATTGTCATGATAATGTGTTTTTTGTATCTTCGTATAAAACAACTTTCATTTGCTGCTTTTCGCAATCATTATAAATTATCGATTAAATCATGATCAAACATGCTTTTATGCACAAGTGAAACGGATTATGGCATCTTTCATTTCTCTAATTCATTTTTGCATTTCGTAATTTTCACATTGTTCGATTAGAAGCTAGCGGCACCTACGATAGTTGTAAAGAAAAAAAAAAACGTTTTTACCTTTTAATTGAGATATTATCACGTTAATTTCATGGCGGCAATCTTCCAGATTGAAGAAGTTTTAGAATTCCAAAGATACATATTAAATATAGGCCTACAGTCAATACAGAAAATGTTTTGTCTCCAAAACGAAAATATTTTCTTAAACTCACTCTACAGTATCGACATAGCACTGAGAGAGAGAGAGAGAGAGAGAGAGAGAGAGAGAGAGGGAGGGAGAGAGAGAGAGAGAGAGAGAGAGGGAGAGAGGGAGAGAGAGAGAGAGAGAGAGAGAGAGAGAGAGAGATAGTGAGAGAATTTTAAAAGTAAACATATTAAACGGGCGGGACGGCACTGGACTATGCAGTGTGAACGAAAAATCCACGGTTCTACCACACCCCTCTTTTCTCTCTCTCTCTCTCTCTCTCTCTCTCTCTCTCTCACTCTCTCTGTTGTTAAAAGAAAAGAGCCACCGATCAGACTTTAAAAGGTGCATTTATCTATGGACCTACTACGAAGTAGGTCCATAAAAAAGGGGAGTTCTTATGAGAAGGGGGAAGTGGCTCTTATAAAAAAAAAAGATAACGAGGCACATGTTAAAGGTAATACAAAGTTTTGGTATGGGGTCATGAATTTGGTTCAAATGAACATATTGGGAGCATATGCGATCCTCCAATATTCAGTGATCATTGTCGCGGCTGAAATCGAGTCTAAAGTTATGAAATTGTAAATAATAAACTCTTTATGTTGTATAGCTCCCTCTCAAGGTCAAGACATTAATTAAGCTATAACGAGGCGCCACAACTAGGCGTTGTGGCGTGCGCCTGTAATCCAGCTAAAAAGTGGAAGTTACAAACTGATTCAGCCGAGGACGCAGGTTCGAAACTGAGTCACGTCTTTCGGATGGTGACGTTTAAAGGTCGGTCCCAGACGTAAATAATCATATCTGATTGATACACGTCTGTAAAAACCCAATACACACACACACACACATATAAAACAATGTTTCTTGACTAAAATCGACCAATTTGCTATTCTTGTTTGGAAGTTATATATCACATCTACATATTCTGAGATTTTCATGGTCGCAGCTACCATTGTAGTGTTGTACGGCTGTAGGCGCTTTTTGAAATTCATCAAAATTTACCGGGAGCACCGGTAAATTTTTATATTCAATTTTTCTCGAAAGCAGAAGTGTTTTAGGGGCTAAATTTTCTACTGCTTATATAACATCCACATGGGTATCCAAATACATCAAAATTGTAAAGAATCACTATTCACCCATTTTCAAAATTTCCCAAAACTTTGTATTACCTTTAAAATAAACGGATAACTTATCAGAGATGAAAAAGAGCATTTGTTAGAAAGGAAAAGGGGCACGTGTCAAAATAAAAGAAGGCAGTTATTAGAGGTGAAATGAGACACTCATCAGAGATGAAAGGAGCACTATCAGGGGGAGGGGCACTTGTCAAAGTAAGACGACTATCTCTCAGATTTAAATAGGGGCACTTGTCAAAGTAAAAGGAGTACTTTTCTATGTTAAAAGGGGCACTTTGGGGTACTTGAAAAAGTAGGGAAGGGGCACTGTGCCCCTGCCCCCCCCCCCCGCATATACCGGGAGCGCCACCTTTGCCATGCACCAAGCTGTAGTTGGAAAAACGTTTTTAATCAACATAAAAACCTTTACTTGTGAACGAAGAACAGACATAACTTAGAAGACAGAAATTACGTTTGGTGAAAAATATATAACAGGGGAACAATTATTGTAATTTGTAAATAATTCATTTAAAAAATACTAAAATATGGCACTTGACAAACGTCATATTCATGAGAAACCTTCACGCCAGAAGAGCACCAACTTATCTCTGCCATTTGCATTCTAACAATTGTAGTACACTAGTACAAAATTATAGCAGGTGAATGAAATTCTTCATCACCACAAACACACCCGGGAAGGAAGCGTCCATAAATTTAAATACACTTAAACGACTTCACATAATACGTCACGGTATCAATAAAATGGCGATGCCCATGTCGTGCTGAGAAACTGTACATTATTCGTATTTGATACCTCTACCATACACTTTGGTCTTTGGTGGGGGATCTATATACAAGAATATAATAAATCTCTCAGACTGCATAAAAGTTATTTCTTGCATGTTATTCCTTCAATTGAGAAAAAAATTGGCCTACTGTGTTTTATTACATGTAATTAATATATCTAAGTAGTTGGAAAAAGTACACAAATAAAAAGAAAAGGGATTGATGAAACTAATGTTGGGAAAGCTCTCTCTCCCCCCCCCCCCCCCCCCCCCCCCCCCCCCCCCCCCCCCCCCCCCCCCCCGAAAGACTGACACTACAATGCATGCAGCATGCATTCGCAATCGCAATATGCAGCACTGCACTTTGCGCATGCGTTCAATTTTATGTTGCCTTGTCAACGCAAGTTAATCAAGAATCACTTCGTACTTTCAGAATCTGACGTTAATTCTTTTGTTAAGTAAGTATATTACTTATAAATTGTTCGAAAATATGAAAGAATTACTTAATTTTCAGTTCCGCGATGTTTCAGGAGTTGTATCTCTTTGCTTCATTTGTATCCTTTATGTTATTTGTGCCGCCACTGCGCTGTCGACGGGGTAAAATCGTCTGTGTGCGGTCCCATTCGTAGGCATTTGTGTATCGATAACCAAATACGGCACAATTTTAATTCGCGGACTGTTTTCTCTCTTATTTCTCCTTAGTTTTTTAGGATATCCGTGAGTGTGACAGTGTGAGTGTTAAGTTATGGTATCACTGGGCACTGGGACATGATAATTTGACAAAGTAGAGTCTAGACTCTTAATTATTTTCAAAATGAATTGTGAAATTGCTGATCCAGACAAACCGGAGGTCGAGTCCAATTAATGTCCGAATTCGGCAGTCTGTTATTTTTCAAGACTGGTTAGGCTCAGAGAAGTTGGTGAATGGATCACGCATAGGAAGAAAAATGTATATGTATTGTCTTATAATACATCTAGACATCTAGACCTTTTTGGCAATTCATTCCTCTAGATCTAGTCTTAGTCTTAAGACTACATGGCACATTGGAAAATCAATCTTCTTCGTAAATTTACTTCAATCAAAGTCAAAGAGGAAAACAAAATTCATGTTCAGATTTTCCTCCTCTTCTTTCTCCTCTTCCTTCTCCTCCTCTTCCTTATCTTCCTCTTCCTTCTACTCATTCTTGTCTTCTCCCCTCCCCTTTCCTCCTCTTGCTACTCCTCCTCCCCAACCCTTCTCCTCCTTTGCCTTCTCCTCCCCCTCCTCCTCCTCCCCTTCATCATCATCATCATCATGATTAAGATTATATTTTCTCTTTCTTGCAGACGAGTCTACCAGAATCAAGATGCCAGGAATAGGAGATGATGTGCCCATGTACTGCTCACAGCAGATCAACATTCCCCCTGACCTCCCGGACATCATGAAGCAGTTCACCAAGTCGGCCATCAGGACCCAGCCGGCTGATGTCCTCCAGTGGTCAGCAGCGTAAGTCCAAACCAGCGTTTTTATTCCAGTGCTTAATGATAAACTTGAGTTCTGGTAAAAAAAAGAAAATGAATTCTCGCAGAATCAAACAAAACTTACACTGAATGTTCAAGAGTACAAATAAATGTCATTTGCCAAAACAATTTTGGTAGAAAATGTATACTGGCTGAGCAATGAGCATAGAAAGATAAGGAAATCAAGGTTAGAAGCCCGACACCATTTGTGTAGTCCCATGTACATCTTTCTGTGTACAGTATAGTGCTTGTTACTTTGCCAAGACTGGGTCAAATTAATTATGAATTTGATGACTCCAGAACCTTGCAGCACACACCAATACATGCTACATGATCAACTTTTTCTGATCCATTCCACACCTTTTCTTTCACAATGCAACCACATGACCAGAACTCAACTTTATCTTGGTGCTGATACCAGGCGCTAGTTCTTTGAAACCGTTATAAGTCTGAGTTCGTTGACATCCCATTGAAGCTCAGTCGATTCTATAACACATGTTTCAATGGAATGTCCACGACTTAGACTTAAAAAGATTTAGAGAAACTGGCCCCAAGTTGCCTACTTTGGAGCACTGTAAACATTTCAACAAAAAGTTAGAACCTGAAATAGACATTCATAATTGAACACTTTTCTGTAGATTAGATCCTGAAATAGATCTTCATAATTGGACTCTTTTCTGTAGATTAGATCCTGTAATAGATGTTCATAATTGGACTCTTTTCTGTAAATTAGATCCTGAAATAGTTGTCTGTAATGTAATTCTTTTCTTAACATTAAATCCTGAAATTATTGTCTGTAATTAAACTCTTATCTTTGTTTTTCTTCAAATAGACCTAACTATTTTTTCATAAAATGGAGTAGCAGTAAACACTATGTTTAGGTTAGCCTAGTTTTTTTTAAAAGTTTTTAAAAAAAATGTTTGATTTTGTTGTCCCATTCATTTTAATGGATTATTCTCAGTTTGTCCTGTTTATGGTACACTAGATTATAACATGTATGTGCTCTCATTTGACAGGTATTTCCATGCTTTAGCCAATGGTGAGACACCCCCAGTGAAGGAGAGGCTTGAGATGCCCATGGCCACACAGAAGACAGACACCGGACTAACACCAGGCATCCTTTCAGTGCTTAACAGACAGGTAAGTACCACATCTTTCCAATAAATGTCGTTGTGGTATCCATAAAGACACAAAAAATACATACCGTTCTGACACCAGGGATTTTGAGAGTGCTAAACAGAAAGGTGAATGTCACATCGTATTCCAAGTTAATGTCTTTGAAATGCCTATGCATAGTTGCATACACAGAAGACAAACACCGGACTAACACCAGGAATCCTTTCAGTGCTAAACAGACATTTATTTACAGCAACTCATTTTTCAGCTGAATGTCGTTGATGTGTCCATTAGTTGGGGCCCCTCCTCTTTATTGTGTATTTGTCTCTCTCCTTTTCTTTCTCTCTATTCTCTTGTCATTTTTTTTCTTTCACAATTTGATTGGGAGGCATGTGTCTCCCCTGCCCCATCCCAAGTAGCTGCACCACTATTTATTATAGCTGCAACCTTTCCTATTTTATAGGAATTATTCCTACTTTTTGGCCCTCAAACTATATAAAGCATCCTAGATTCCTCTCTTTCATCAAAACTACAGTGTAAAAAGTATACAAAATGACTGTATCCCTAATTTTGCATTGAGGGATTCCTGAATTTTGCTTTTAAAGGTTGGTAGATAGGGTTTAGTACAATTTCTGTGTTTTTTCCTTCTCTCATACAGCTTGGCCCCAAGAAGACGATCTCAGTCGATGAGCTTGAGCAGAAATGGAAGGATAATTGCCTCCCGAAGGAGAGAATGTTCAGCTTAATACAGATTGGTAGTTTCGGCGATGAGATCGACTGGCGCAAGTTCTTTGCCCTGGCCTGTTCAGCTCTTGCGGGGGTAAGTTGGGTTTTTTCCTTTCTAAAGCCTCGCTCAGATATGTGCGGTAAACTGGGATGGGTTTTTCTTTATGATGGCATACAGTTAACAACAAGATTATTCATACCCCTTGTGAATTTGATGTTTTTTATTTTTTTCGTAACTCAAGAATGATAGGTGGACTGATTGAATTAGAGCCTTTGTTGAATACTTTTAGATGTAAGCTTTCATAGGCCACATTCTCAAGAAATATGAATCGGAACAAATCAATTTTTTATGTTATTCAAATAATAAAAAATGTGGTAAGGGTACAAATAATTTAGTTTTAAACTGTTAGTGTAAGAAGCTTAATTGTACGTTATAACTCAAAGCTCAGTGAATTCATGAAGGAACTATGTTGCAAACAGTTGCCATTCGTTTGCATGTTAAAAAAAATATCCACTTTCAAGTTAACTGCTTTGAATGGGCCTTCAAGGGTACCAATCACAAAAATGTATGTGATAGCATCTGCATTATAAGCAAAAGAACAGGATTAAGATAGAATATACCAAAGTAAAAGAAAACGGCTAATTACATGCTGAATCAACCAGTTACCCCCCTCCCACACTTAATATTGAGCTTAGAAAGAACAGGTTATCTGGAGTTTTGAAGCCTTCTTTTTTATAAACCCCAATCACCTCAGTGTAGCATTCCCTCTGATCTTATCCATACTTCACCTTTGACCTTCACCCTCTAGAACATCACCTCTGCCATGAAGGTCATCTGTGAGATCTTGACCAAGGACCCCGAGGGCGGGGCAGCGAGGATACCCTTTGACCTCTTCAAGGAGCTCTACACGTACCTGGCTCAGATAGACGGCGAGATCTCTGAGGAGCAGATAGAGGGCGTATTCACCTACCTGCAGTACCATGTGTAAGTCATCTTATTCTCCAGAGATTGAATTAAAGGGATAGTTGAGTTCTTGTTTCAGACTGCAAATGCCTCCAAAGTGCATGGTTATTGCTCTTATTCTTATTTATGACATTTCTAATGCTCTTTTAGGACCTAAAACTCCTATGAAGGTAAGTTTGGACTACAAAATGTGTCAAATTTAGCCAATACGATCGTACCAGTTCAGCTCCACTTTCAAAAAAATATGGTAACCGTTAATTAATTAATTAATTAATAATCACAATACATGGGCTGGCTGGTTGTCCGTAGTATAACCGAAAAAGCCAACAAAAAGCCATTATTGGCATTGGAAGGAATAAAACATATAAGGGGCCATCTCGTTTTTCAAAAGCTAGTTCAAATTATCGAATATTTGTGGGGCACCACAAATATTAGAAATCATTATATTTATGGATATTACAGACGTCTCTGAGCCGATTTTGATCAAACATAGATGATTTTGTCATTTAAAATGTATGTTTTTTCAAATTTGACACTCAGTTTTTCATTATCTCACAAAAAATTATTTTGTGTAGCGCCTTCTGAACAAAACCTAACAATCCCTTTAAAGGGGAAGACCCCCCTGGTATAAACTTGGTTTTAAGTAAAAGCGGAATATGAGAGATACAAATTAGTGCAACATCAGATTAAAAAGGAAAGTTACAAATTTTTGTAGTTGTCATCAATGTAACACAAATTGGCAACACTGTGATGCATCTTACAAGCTTCTCTCCAAAACGCTCTGTACAGAAAATTTCATTTTCTTATTTATTTTTAATGGAATATACTTCTTTCAAAAGGTCATCTGTCTATTACTTCAACAGTTATTCATTCAGGCATTTTTCTTCTCATTCTACAGGGACAAGCAAAACGGAGCAGTGCAACCGAGGAACTTCCTGCATCCGGACTGCCCCAAGCTTGGCCTCATGTAAACATAGGCCGTCATCGACCCGTCATCTCTCTGTTTATCCATGCTTTGGTTATGTTTGTCGAGCACCAGAAGGGGATTAATTCAGTTACGTAAGGTGAAATTAACACCCTTTTGGCGTTCAACAGACAATGCATGACCTGTGTTCATGCTTTATTGCGTCTGTTGAGAGTGAGAATGGCATTTACTCTATTCAATGTGTTGAAGGTAATACAAAGATTTTGGAAATTTTGAAAATTGGGTGGATAGTGATTCTTTACAATTTTGATATATTTGGATGCCCATGTGGATGTTTTATAAGCACTAGAAAAATTAGCCCCTAAAACACTTCTGCTTTCAAGAAAAATTGAATATAAAAATTAACCGGTGCTCCCAGTAAATTTTGATAAATTTCAAATAGCGCATATAGTACAATAGTAGCTGCGACCATGAAAATCTCAGAATATGTACTGTAGTTGTGATATATAATTTCCAAACGGGAGTAGCTAATCGGTCAATTTAAGTCAAGAAAAATTGTTTTATAGCTTAATTATTATCTTGACCTTGAGAGGGAGCTATACACCATAAAGAGTCTTATTATTCATAATTTCATAACTTTAGGCTCGATTTCAACCGCGACAAAGATCACTGAATATTGTAGGATCGCATATGCTTCCAATATGTTCATTTGAACCAAATTCATGACCGCATACCAAAACTTTGTATTACCTTCAACGCCTTTCAGGCTTTCAGCTCACAATTTGTTCTGTTTGTATTCATGCTTTGTATCGTCTATTGAGAGCGAAAGGGCGTTAAGTCATTCACTCTATTCGACGATATGTGTTTGCGGCCCTCTGCCTGCCAAGACTTTGTTTCCTGTTCGTATTCATTTTGTATTCATGCTTTTTATCTTCTGTTGAGAGAACGGCATTGATACTACTTTCTAAAGACATGCCCTTCTCGATCTTAGCACACAGTTTGTTCATATGTTTATTTGTTGGTGTACATAAGAAAGATTATCAGCATACGTCCAAGCGCTAAAACAGTGCTCTTGTGTTTTTTAATTTTATTGATAACAAGTTTTATGAACAAGGCCTTTGCATGCCATTTTGACCTTGATAGGCTACCATACTATTGCAGCATGTGCATGATTTACATAAAGTAGTCCTCTATAGCATACTACACATGTACATAACATACACATCTATACTCTGTAAGTTGATTAATAGTTGTGATGTATGTGCATGCAATGCATGCAAGCTTGTACTTTTATACTCTGCATCAACAACCATGATATTCAAGGGTTAAAAAAAGGTAAGGATACACAAGCATAATTGCATGTAATATTCAATCAGCTTTATGTAATACATGAAAGTGACAATGGGCTTCAATTTAAGAGAATGATTATATTTGTAATTGGAGTACAGTAACACTTGGGCTCAATCCATAATGTATGAAATGTAGCGTTTTATCCTGCTGAATAATATGTTAATGTTATTTCCAAGCGAAAGAAGTACATTAAAAAAAAAAAAAGGAGTTTTATCATGGATCTCATTTTGGGACAGGTACATTTAGTTGCATGTAACTCTTGATTTTTTTTAAAGGCACAAATTAGTCACAAAAAAATGATAATTATTCTTCCTCTTATTATAGTTTCCCTGTATTTGGTTTACACCATGAAATATATGTACACGTGTAATCACTAGATAAGTTCAGTTTCAGGGCAGATTGCTTTGGTGAGAGGCACAAGAAAAATAACTTTATATGCTTTGAAATTTGCCAATTTGATAAAGGTATTGCAGTCATCGAGTCGGGCATCTTACCAAAAATGCTTCCTGGCCTCCGTGCGAGTACTTTAAGCCATGTCTGTGTATTTAGAATATGTTTGTTTACAGTAATGATATTAGAAAGGGAAGAGAATTGCTTTCTCCCACGTAATTGTAAGTCACAAAAAACAGTTTTGGTCATTCTACAATCCTTTTTTTCTTTAAATCGGAGGAGGGGGGAGGGGGATCTCAACCGAAAATAAAAGTCATTATCGTGTAATGGCATTTGTAGAAACACAAGGAGAGAGTACAAAGATGTTAAATAAGCTTTCAAAAGAAGTGATAACCTTGACACTTGTAATATACGAGTTATTTGTAAAGTGCATGTAAATATGTTATTTTTATTGGATATATATCGCACCTTTTGCATTAAAAGATCCATTTGAAAGAAACTACCATTGCCTTTTTTGATGAATTAAAAGTGAAGAAGAGGGAGAGAAGGATAGTGAAAGAGGGGAGAAATGTACAATGAGCGAGAAATTTTAAAAAGGCAAGAATAACGAAATATAAGAGAGTGGAAGAAAGGGAGTGGCCAAAATACATGAAAGGAGAGATAGAGCAGGCAATAGAGGGAGTGATAGAAGAGGCTAGAAAGGGAGAAAAGGAATGGGGAGTGGGCAAAATAAATGAAAGGAGAAAAAGAGCAGGCAAGAGAGGGAGTGATAGAAGAGGCTAGAAAGGAGAGAGAGACAGAAGGAAGGGGGAGTGAGCAAAGTGAACAAGGGACAGAGAAGACGAGAAGAAAGGGCAAGTGTGGAAAAGAGGGAGAATAAAATGGAATGGGCAAGGCGAGGAGAGAGAAGGAAAGGGGAGTGTGCAAAGTGAAAGAGAGACAGATAGAGGAGACAGATGAAAGGATGATGGTAGAAGAGAGAAGGGTAGAACAAAGAGAAAGTTTGTGTAAAAGGAAGTGAGGGAATGAGCAAAGTTAGGTAGCTTTGCAAAAAACGATGCATCAGGATTGCGCAAAATGTAGAGTGAAGTTTGTTATAAATTGTAAGTTCTATTTTGACATATTGAATGAAAGTTTAGCTTCATAGAGATGGTAACTTTACCAGCTCTATATCCTCACCATGTTGTTCTACCTCTCGTGTGATAACATTATGATTGATGCAGTTTGCGTTCCGGCGCGTCTTTTGTAACAACTTCATTTTTGCTATGCTACCACAATGAGAGAGGGAGGGATACAAAAATATACAATCATAATATTATAATTTTGTATATTCGTAATACATTGTATTTTTAGTTTTATAGGAAACGGGAAAAGACAAAATGCAAACAACAATAGTTTCAGAATAAAAAAAATAGTATTGCTTTATTAATAAACAGAACAGAATGGCAAGATAACGGTGCATTGGCACTACAAAACTTTGGAAAGTTAATATTTCAAGGTATAAGCAATATGAAACAACCAAAATATGAATATGAACATAGACAAATTGTAACTATAAAACCTTTGGACATGAGAAAAACCTACTACATCATCATGCAATATAACATTTTGCACAATACCTCATGGTATTGAAAAAATGAAAGCATATCATTGCAATATAAAAACGATATGATTAATAATTTTGTGATTTATGTACCTTCCCATCCTTTTTTCCTTTTGATTTATTTTTCAAAGAATCCATGACTGTTTATATATAGCAATACAGTGAATATGTTTGTCAGAAAGTTGCCTTCTTTCAATGGTGTTTCTATCCTGGTGCGATGCGCATATATAGCCTTATTTAGGCTTCACTTTGACAAGTCATAAAACAATGCTACAAAAAGTTTAAAAGAATTAGCTTACAATAAATACTCAATACTTCTTTCATATGAAGGCACATAAGTTCGCACACAGATTATAGTTCTCAGGTTTAAAACCTTTTTCTTTTCATATATTCAAGTGAAGATGAAAAAAAGTGGGCAGAGCCAACTTCAAGCATCTGAAAAAACATGGAAAGTGTAAAAATATGAAAAGAATTAATGACTACTTAAAATACGCCTTTTTTCAACTTATGAAATATGAATGTGAACAATAACATATTTATGTAGAATGTCTCTTATTCAACTATGTATGGCTTGCCGTAAGGTAGTAAGATATAAAAGTTTGATATAATCTGCCAGTTATATTATCAATCCTGTGAAAATATATACTGCTCATCTGATGAATATATTATTAAATTACTTCATAAACTAGGTAAAAATCAACCACTGTGAAAGCACTAATTTCAATTTGGCAAGGTATTTTCATTGCAATAAATAACTTGTATTTACATATAATTATCGCTTTATCAAATGATAACTTCGAACATATTTACATCACACGTCTTTGTGTCCGTACACAAACTTAAGTACAACATTTACATTAAAAATGTGAGTAACTCCTACTCTTAATACAAGAAAAAAGATGAAATACAGAATATAAAACAAACTTTAAATAGTAATATAAGAAATCTGAACTAGTAGTATAAAGAATTTCAAAACACTTTCAGCTTAATGATGAGAGCACAATCTTTGATCACAGTCTCATAATAAATCAAACAAAAAATAAGAAAGAACAAAGTAAAGGATAGACTTGATTTGAGGCATCAAAGTAATTATAAATACAAGCTTTTAAGAACGCCATTCGATTGAATAGGAAAGAAATGACTACACCAACAAAAAAATATTTCATGGCACTCTGAAATGTGTACTCCTTTGAGTGCCTGGGAAAGAACGGCATTGTTAAAAATGAGGAAATGTTACTCAAGCACACTTGTTAATACTAACACTGTCTGGATAATTAGGAACTCATTCGTTTGTGTTACGGCTATTTTGTGATTCAGCATTAAATAGTAATAAAGTCAGTTTTCTTCCATAAAGCGATGGTAGATTTACAAAAAAACTTTATTTTCTTTCATGCATCATTTCAAAGAATGTTTTTATAAAGATATATGGAACTCCTCTGTCTATCTTGCAGGCAAAGAATGAATCCAAGATCCTCTGGATAATCAATTAGTCTGATGTATATTAATGGCAAGATTGCATGAGGATTAAGGAATGTGTAACCTGTCTACCATTAATACAAGAAGGGCCCTACTGAAGATCTGTAACGTTTATTCAAACTGGGCCCATTTCACAAAACTTGTCATCAGTGACAGTTGTTGTTATAAGCTAGTGAAATCCTTGCTTCTGATTGGTTATCAGCAGATTTGTCACTGATTTTTGTCATTTGTCGTTGACAAAAGGCTTTCTGAAACAGGTCCATGGATGGACTGTCAAATATCTCACAGCTAGCTGGATAATTTCACAAAATCATTATATCTACATGCTTGGTTCTACGTCTTTCTTGCCCTGAGAGATAGTGAAGTTTGCTGTTTATCATCTAGGCAAGGACAGGATTGTTGACGACGCTGGACTTGCGTCTTTTTCGCTCCTGACCCCCATCTGGTTCCTGACTGCATGCCAAATCAAAGTCATGTCTCTGCCGAAAAAAGGTTGAATAAAATTAGAAAAAGAATGGGTAAATTAACTTACATTTATATAGAATTAAGAGACAATCATTTTGCAATGCTCAACCCAGGTGATGTAAATGGGTACCTGGCAGGAATTTTAATTCCTTGAAATGCTAGAGCGCTGTAATGGCAGCCATGCTAAAGCCATAAAGATTGATCGGGAGCGCCTTGAGTGTCAAGTCTGACAGATATGAGTGCTATACAAGAACCCAATATTTTTTATTTATTATTATTATTAACACACAAAGTTGAATGCCAACCAATAATGTTTGAACACTTTGTATGTTTTTGTCAACTAACTATAACAAAAGAGTAGTGCTACCATTACATTTTTGTCACACATACAATGTGTACGAAAGATACACGCAGTGACAATAAATTGTGTTAGTCCCTTAAAGGTTTCAGTGTGCAGCAAATAAAGAATAAAGAATTCACATCATTTTCTTATTTAGATTACAGGCCTTTGTAAAAAAAAAGAATTGTAAAGAGCTAATGAATTTCAATACAATTTATCAAGTGTATGAGAAATCTGATAAAATATTTAGATAAAATTCTTGAAGACAGAAACACACCACACTATTTTGCAATTGACTATTTGGATGTGTGCCGTTGCTCATCAAGCAGACTTGTCCATCATATTAGTCCAAGTATATTATTACAATTGATTTGATTTTGATTTTTTGATTTGATTTGGGTTTCTGCATCTTTTTTCGTTTTTTCATCATACATTTTCATGAACATAATATGGTTTGATACAATATTTTAAGTGTATATAATTTTATACAGATAATAAACGAAAGTAAATAAATATATTGAATGCATAATTAACATACATTAGATGCAGGAGGGCTACAGAAATACGCAAAGTAGCTTGATGTGCCCGCAGCCCTCAACTTAGATACAACAATAACTAGATGGAACTTTGACTGCGCGCAGTCGAAATGATGCCTCCGTCATAGAGCAATTTTACAAACCAAAACAGAAGAAATTTTTCAAATTCAAGTTCAATTGTAATCCATTAACAGGTTCTCAGAATATCGTGATTACAAGCAATTTCTCATGTACATATATGACCCTTTGATCTTTGACCACAAGACCCTAACATCTACTCAGTTCATTGGCTCTGCAAGATGTCCCGAGTTAATTAGTAATCCATCTGTCAGTTCTAACGAGAATGCGTTCACAAGCTATTTTTGCATACATAATGAGCCCATGACCTTTGACCTCATGACCCAAGAATCTACTCAGTTCATTGGCTCTGCAAGATACATACATGATCTAAGTTTGGGAGGAATCCATCAATCTTTTCTTGAGATAACGCGATCACGAGCTGTTTCAGCATACATAATGAGCCCTGTGACCTTTGACCTCGTGACCCCAAAATCTAATCAGTTCATCAGCTCTGCAAGATACATACATGACCAAAGTTTGGCAGGAATCCATCAATCAGTTCTTCAGATAACGCGATCACGAGCTGTTTTTGCATACATAATGAGCCCTGTGACCTTTGACCTTTGACCTCGTGACCCCAAAATCTAATCAGTTCATCGGCTCTGCAAGATACATACATGACCAAAGTTTGGCAGGAGTCCATCAATCGGTTCTTCAGATAACGCGATAACGAGAACGGGACGTACGGACGGACAACCCGAAAACATAATGCCTCCGGCTACTTCGTAACGGAGGCATAAAAATATAAATAAAAAAGAGTGTGACTAGCATTTATTTCAATAAGTTCTATAGCTTACACAAACTTGTATGCATAGAAACATATTAAACAAGATATAAGATTATCTTTCTCCTTTCAAAATGCAATAAAGTGACTCTGTAACATTGCCTCAGATTTAGTGAAACAAAATCCTTGATTTACCTCATGCTCCAATCATAATTATAAACCTTTAGGTCAGTCAGGAATCCCACGCCTATCTGATTATCAAGATATTTATGATTGGAAAAAAGAAAAAAAAATAGTTTTCCTAACGAGAAAATGAGTATGGTAAAACCAGTCACTCAAAGATTTTTACTTTTTTTTTTAGGGCTTCAATTTTACACCATATCACAGACACTGATAATAGGGCCATGCACCTTAGATTTAACATTGTTAAATGATGCCTTTAATCCCATTTTGTTCCTGACACAGTTTAATGCCACTCTATCCTCGTAAGCTACATTATACCAACAGAATTTTTTTTTTTTAATTCAGACTTACCCCATCCAGAGTAGTGGCGCTTCTCTTTTTCGACCTTTTCTGTTTTGGCAATTCCTAATAGAGAATATTGAAAGGGAAATACAGTTAAAGGAAGTGTTAACTTATTGGTAAAATATTTCCAGACAAGATGTAAATTACAATTTGCATTTAGAAAAAGTGCTATATTTTCTGCTCATCCTTTGCTTGATAAGCAGATACGTGAATGTATGAATGAATGAGTTAATTAATGAAATAATGACTCAATAAAGGAATGAGTAGATGATGTCTGGATAAATAAATGAATAAGAGAATGAAGGAATAAATAAAGGATAGAGATAATGAATGCTTGGGTGAATGAATGAAAGAATAACTGACAGACTGACAGACTGACTGACGAACTGGAAGAATGAATGGATGGGATGAATGATTGAATGAGTGAATAAACGTACAGGTAAATGAAAATGAGGCATATACTACATCAAGATACCAACCACTGTTCCCTTTATAGCCTATGAAAGGAACTGAAGTCTAGGCTTACCTCAACCTGCATGGGAGTGCCTGGTCCTGATGAGCGCCCAGACCTGGTCCTAAGCCCTGATACACTCAGGTCCGCAGCCTGATCTGTTAACTTCTCCAACTGTAAACAAATAAAACAACATTTGAGGGTGAAATGGTATCTTCTCCCAGAGGTTGATAGCAACATATTTCCACAATTCTCTATTATCTGCCATCCTAGTACACTCTTGCACTGTCATTCCTTTCCAAGTCTTACAGTGAAACTGCGCTGAGCCTACTTTACAACCCATTTTCAGATTTGAATTCAAATCAATTTAAAAATACTACACCGACTTGCTTCAAAGTATCAACTTTCAAGTGTAGTACATTTATCTAGAAATGAATGTAAATGGTACATATTGGGAATGGTCAAATGCAAATTTTTAATACTCCCAGAGTGAGGATTTGACTCAATTTACAACAACAAAAAACATGCAAAAGACATCTGGTCCCATAATCATGAATCCTTACTAAACTAGTATACAGACTTTGAAATACATGCAAAGGGTACGTGTGTGGGTTAGCATTAAATTGCATGAGCCATTTCATTAATACAGAATTAAGAGTTATTCTTCATGAGTTGGGAATGGCAAACTTGCAAAATTAAATACTCCCAGAGTCAGTTTACGATTTACAAAAAACAAAACACGCACAAGTCATCTGGGCCCATATTCATAAAACCTTACAAAACTAGTTGTCAAATAATTACTAACATATAGTTCATGGTTACTTGTCAACCAGGCTTAGTACCCATAGGAAAGAAATGAGCCTGCCGCATACTCCTGCGGCAGACTTGCCGCAGACCTGCCGCAGACCTGCCGCAGACAGTCATCTTTTTCACATGCAAATTAGTTTTGCCGCAGACTTGCCGCAGACTTGCCGCATACTCTTTCAGTATGATGAAGAGTCTGCGGCAGGTCTGCCGCAGACTTGCTGCAGACCTGCCGCATACTCTTTCAGTATGATGAAGAGTCTGCGGCAGACTTGCTGCAGACTTGCCGCATACTCTTTCAGTATGATGAAGAGTCTGCGGCAGGTCTGCCGCAGACTTGCTGCAGACCTGCCGCAGACTCTTCGTCATGAATATTCATATCTCATATAGACCTGCTGCAGACCTGCCGCATACTCTTTCATATCCAGTACGTGGCAATAAAGTATGCATGTAGAAGAACCAGTGATAAACTGATTGATACTTCATAATCGATATTACCAATTAGGTAATACCAATATATACAATTGTATATATATACCAATATATACAATGGTATATATATATTACCGATTAGGTATATTCTATTCTCAATTGTATTGACTTCATCACATTGATCATTTGAAGTGTATTCAAGAGTAACATTTAAAGTGACACAGGCTCGTACACATATATATACTAAATATGTATATTGTTTCTTGGTTAGTAATCATAGTTTCTTGGTTAGTAATTAATATATCTATTGCTTAAACGTGATTGTAATTGTAACATGATCAGACAAAATAATCTATTGGTTAATAATGGCAAAAGGAAAATAGAAATCACAAAAATGATGTGCATTATCTTAATTTGCTTAACAAATCATGATAAATGTATTTTTCTGTCACACGTGTAAAGTAATAATGAATATGCATGAGATGATTGGTTTCAATTGGCCCTATTAGACTTTAATGGGATTTCCTGTGGCAGACCTGCCGCAGACTGTCCCTGTGGCGTACTGGTATGCGGCAAGTCTGGAGCCAAGTTTCGCCCTGCCGCAGATCTGCCGCAGACTGTTCCTGTGGCATACTAGTATGCGGCAAGTCTGCAGCAAAATTTCATCCTGCCGCAGATCTGCCGCAGACTGTTCCTGTGGCATACTAGTATGCGGCAAGTCTGGAGCAAAGTTTCATCCTGCCGCAGATCTGCCGCAGACTGTTCCTGTGGCATACTAGTATGCGGCAAGTCTGCAGCAAAATTTCATCCTGCCGCAGATCTGCCGCAGACTGTTCCTGTGGCATACTGGTATGCGGCAAGTCTGCAGCAAAATTTCTTTCTGCCGCATACTTAGGCATACTCTTTGCCGCAGACTAAAAGTCTGCGGCAGGTCTGCGGCAGATCTGCGGCAGGTCTGCGGCAGGTCTGCGGCATACTTTTCACTTTCCTATGGGTAGGGTTTATAAATATGAGCCAAGGGGTTGTTTCATAAAGCTGTTTATAAAGTTACGCATGACTTTATGAATGACTTAAATAGGAAAAGCCAAATGGGATGCTCAATCATTAATAACTGCATCAACTAAAGTTGAACTGTGCAGATGTAGATTAACATTCTTATAATAACAAATATTTTTAATGCAAAGTACATTTTTTGCCATTTTTTAATTGAGGTTATTGAAAATATAGTCACACTTTGTTAAAACATCAGGAAAAACTTTGGGCATCCTATCTGGCACTTCATATACAAGTCGTTCATAAAGTCATGCATAACTTTACGAACAGCATTATGAAACAACCCCCAGGTATACAGACTTGAGTGCATGATAAACCCTGACAATTGTAAGTATACCTCAGACTTTTTGACGTATTTCTTGCGTTGGAGGCTCGTCTTGTTCTTCTTGTTCTCCATAGCTACTCTCTTGTGTTTCTCTTCTGCTTCCATCTCTTCAAGCTCTACTCTGGGGGACAGTCTGCTGAGGTACTTCTGGAAACCGTGCTTCACGATTCTCTCCTGGTTGACGAACTTCACCAGTCTGAATCAAAAATGCAATTTGTATTGTCAATTCATATTAAAGGGAGTGTATCATGGGCAATACTGGTTAACGTTACCTACGTCTTCTTTTGGACAACTGCACGTAAACGAATGAACTTGATTAACTGGGTCAGAGCGCGCTAAACTGGGTCGGCGTGCGCCAGCCTTCGCGAAACAGACCGACGTTCTCCTCACACTTCAATTTTGTGTATGTTGCACGCATGTGAATGCTGCGGTCGCGTCGTCCGTAGTGGTATTATACCCAATTGGCCCCGAGTAGGGCCACGGGAAAGACACATAGTCTCGTCATGACATACTCCCTTTAATAGTTTTATCGTGGCTGGCTGTTTATGGATATATATATATATATATATATATATGAAGTTAATAATTTCCCACTCACAGATACTTATTTCAGTAATTTTCATTCATCCTTACATAAATGTATAAATCGTCCCTGTTTTCACGAAGTGACGGTAGTGAGGAAAATCGTAACGCAAAGTGAATGCAATTTTTTTTCACTACCGTCACTTCGTGAAAACAAGGACGAAATGTAGAGGTGTCGTGGTTGAGTGGATATGTCACCTGACTGTGGATCACAAAGTCTGCGGTTCGAGTCCCGCCGCGGCATTAATGTCCTTTGGCAAGACATTGATCTACATTTTGCCACACTCAGTCCAGGTGATGTAAATGGGTACCTGGCAGGAATAAATTCCTTGAAATGCTAGAGTGCCGTAATGGCAGCCGTGCTAAAGCCAGGGTAATAATCGGGAGCACCAGGGGTGTCAAGTCTGACAGAAATGAGCGCTACACAAGAACCCAATATCATATTGGATATTTTTTTCTTCGTGTTTTTAATTCAGCTTACTTGTGACAGCTTTTTAAGATGAAAGATGAAGTGTGTGAGGCTTGTGCAGATTGAAAATGCTATGATTAAGAATTAGTTATGGCACTAGTTTCATATCAGCATCGGATATATGAGTCAGTGAAAAAATACACAGGGGCTCAGGGCGAAATAGCCCCCAAAATGCTCAAAATGCCCAAAAGAGCCCCCGAAAATCAGAAAAGAGCCCCCTTAAAATGCAAAACAAATTTTAGAATGTTATTTTCATGCAGGCAAGGTTGAAAAGTAGCCCCCCCCCCCCCCAAATAAATATTACATTTTTCCCTGATATGAGTGATGTATCATACTACAGTGTATTGTGTCAAGGTACATGATTTGCTTTGTTAAATAAATATGCAAAATCTATGCAGTTTTTGTTATAATCATTTTAATTTAACCACATACCTGATGCAGCAAATTCATATCAGCAGTAGATTAACTCTTAAGCAGCCCCCATGCAATGCACCCCAGTGCCACAGTGCTAATTCCTATTGTGCCAGCCACTAATCCCTCATATGCCAAATTTATTTTAGGATCGGTTCAAGTACGTGTAGTTTAAATTGTTAATATGTTCGATCCACTATAACTTCTCATCCGTATGTTGTATATAAAAAAAAATGTGCATTCAAGTGGTAGGGAATTTAACCCTCTTTCCGTTGATACCAATATCATTTCATGAATCTGTAATTTTGGAAATGTAAATAAGCACTATCAGTGAGTTGTCGACCCAATCCGTTGTCTCATTTCCCACACAAAATCTGAGGAGCCATGATCAAAACTGACATATTTGATGATAAAATATCGCAATTTTCTCAAGAAAATCCAAAATCGAAACAACAATAAACCCTCTACACAAATACAATAAGCTTTCACACGTGCATGCAATGCGCATCGCACAATAGGCATAAACAAGTAGTGTGTGTACTTATGCACGAAAATGTGTACGTGGCACACGAGTGAATGAGAGTTTATGTGTGCATGGCAAGCAACCAGAAACCTGATTATGTGAGCGTGGTACGCCAGTGCATGCACGGAACAGTGTTCTTGGCACGATATGAGTTAATAAACGTAAACCAGAATCTTGTTTATACCCATCTTTCGTTGATATTCACTTGTGTTTAATTTATTTATTTTTATTTCTTTTTCCCTAAAACAAAAGTTCTAGCTGATGATATCCAAATTTGCAGATTATTAATTCTTATTGCAGTACCTTCATATCAGCCCTATAAGGCTCAAAAGTGAGTTATATGGAATCATGTTTGTCACATGTGACTTCACTTGGGTCGCGTGTAAGACTGAAAGCATTTTTCATTTAAATTGTCACGCTGTTTCTGATAATAAGAATTGGGGATTAAAGATAATTGTTGGACTAATTTCATATTGATCAAGATAAGATAAGAAAGAGCATTATATCAAATTATGATTAAATATTTAACAATTAAATTTGATTACATTTCTACATTTCCCAAAATGCAATAACTGAATAACAAATCACATATAAACATAAGGTATAATACAAAAAATATTCAAACAATAATAACTTCATGTCAAAATGATATTAACATATAAACATATAACGAACTTAATATTTCTATAACATATTATTATAGATTTAAAGTATTATCAAAACTATCTGTGGAAAAGTGCAAGAGACCGCAATCATAAGCAATGCTTGACTAGGATGGCGGCCTCAAGTTAAATCATATCTGGACTAGTTTGGCCAGGAGGGATAGACCTTCCTGCATGGTCACTGGCAGGTGTTTATCTCATCAAATCAGCTCTCAATTAACATAAGAAAAAGGGAACCATGGGGGATCAACGGGTACCACTTAGGCATTGTTGGCTGTATATTATTATCATTATTATAATTATTTGGAGTGGACTAAAACTGCAAGAGTGCACCAGAATGGCAGAAGATAGGGTGAAATGGAGAGATGTTGCATTCAACCTCCGAACCGGGAGAAGATACTTAGATAAATAGATTATTAGTTATATACTACGCTTTTCCCCAAGTAGTGCAGTCCCGCTTTAAATTAAATGCATTACAGATTTGACGCACCTTTTGTTCTTGGCGTCCACACTGCAGTATCCTTCCTTCTCTAGCCTCTTGAGGAGGGTCTGGGCAACGCCAGTCTCCACCCCCAGCCGTTTAGCCAAGGTCGGCGCGGTCACTCTGTCCATGTCCTTGGCTGCTTCCAGTGTGCGCCGCCACAGGCAGGTGGCTCTCACTTGAGCGGAGTCTATCTGGTTGAGGTAGGGGTCGGTGGGTTCACATTGTGGGTCACCGACCTAGGAGGGTGAGAGAGAGAGAGAGAGAGGGAGAGAGAGAGAAAGGGGAGGGGTTGAGATGGTGACATGGAGAAAGAGAGAGAGGGGGAGGGGAGAGGGAGTGAGATGGTGAGATGGAGACAGCATAAGTTAGAGAAATCAAGCATGAGATGTATATACAGAAAGAGATAATGAGAGCAGAATGAATAGGAAAATAAAAGACAGAAAAGGGAAAGAGAGAGATGGAGAGAGAGAGAGAGAGAGAGGGGGGGGGGGGGGGGGGGGGGGGGGGGGGGGGGGGGGGGGGGGGAGATGGTGAGATGGTAAAATGGAGACAGCATAAGTTAGAGAAATCAAGTATGAGTAAATACCAGTATACAGAAAGAGATAACAAGAGAGCAGAACAAAGAGGAAAACAAAAGACAGAAAAGGGAAAGAGAGAGAGATAGAGAGAGACAGACAGACAGAAAGAAAGAAGGAAATACGGAGAGAGAGTAAATGACAGAATTAACAAGGGAAAGCAAAATGTTGATTCTCAGAAAGGTTTATTTATAATAGTTTTAACTCATGTTTAGTTCAATGGGGTTCCACTAATTTATTCTAAAAATCTCAAGAAGAATCTTTGCCCATCATACAATACAGATCAACATTCAATGATATTAGAAGACTTTGTATTAGCTGTTGTGTAGATTCATACCGGTAATCTTACCTTTCCACATTGGTGACAGTAGTGCTTCTCAGGGACCTCATCTTCGTGTAGGATCATGAAGCATACTGCATGCTGCCAGTACTGACATTTCTCACATTGAATCATCAGACCATCATCCTGTATGCAAAGGGATAACAATTATTAAAATAAAATTAGACAAGTACATGTATGTTCATCATTTGTAATTGGGTATACACACATTTTTATACTACACTTAGGCCCAAACAAAAAAGATGTTGTATGCCCTTTAGTTTTTTTTGTTTTTTTAACTCCCTCTTTGGGCTGATATTTCTTAGTTTAGAATGCTTCAATACATTTTCATCTTCCAAAAAACGGTATATGTATAGGTATAGGCCTTATATCCCCCCCCCCCCCCCCTCCCCACAAACACAAAATTTCATCAATTTTGTAATGAATAAAAGGAGTCTTTAAATTTTCTTCATCACTTAAAGTATAATGTATTCTATTATAATATTGAATTCTAATGAGAATACAAACATCAAATCCAGATCAACTGAACAATATATGAGAGGGACTGGTATCCCTTCTTTACCTCATTGCATCCACAGGGGCATTGTGGAACGGCCTCTTCATGGACCTCCTCTTCCTCCTCACCAGTCTTGCTGCTTTGTGAAGCCTCATCAATAGCTCCTGTGATAAAGAATATAAACCAGGGGGTGTTTCACAAAGACTAAGATCAACTTACAGTTGGACTTGAACTATGGCAGGTGATTTATGCCCTTAAAAAGTCTTGAATCAGATGTAAAATTAGTGGATATAAAAACCTTAGAAATTATGATCTTTGGATAATATTTTTTCCTTCAATAATAAAGTATAACAAATTGTGAATTCTGTAGATTTGTGATGTCCCTTGCAAGAACAACAATGCGAGCAACAAGTCATGAATGGCCCGCCATAGTTAAGTCCAACTAAGAGTCAATCTTAGTCTTTGTGAAACACCCCCCTGGTATGCAAACCTTTCAAATATTAGAAATCTCTCAAGGCATAATAAGAAATAAAGTCTATTTTTTACACTCCTTACACAGAAGTTTTTCAGTAAAAGAGAGAAATCTAGAGTTCAAACCTACAGTTTAAAGGCCCAAATAGAAGCGCTTAGAGACATTTGTATTAAGCGCTATATAAAAGCTAAATATTATTATTTTTATTCCTTCATAATAGAGATGGTTAGTAGATATGCTATGCCATTACAGATAACACAATTGATTTTTCAAAGGGAAATTATTACTATTAACATCTCTCTGTGAATCCCCAAATTTTAAAAAGAGTGATATTACATTTATGTCTGGCTGTTTAATAACACTCTACTATTATGTTTAGTTTTTTTGTTTTTTTAATGATTACATTAATCTGATTTTCTGGAGAGATACATGCTATTCAAGCTTTGACGTACAATTAAACAGCTTTTAGAGAGGTGCAAAAACGTTAGGCAAAAACACCATTGCGTATAAAAATACTATGGTAACATCATAATAGTCCCTATTATAATCTTATCATGATTTCTATACAACACTTTCCACAGACAACCTAAAGAGTTGAGAACTTCAACACTCTAGAAAAAATTCTTTGATCACCAATCAAGATGCATTATGATGTTGTTAGTCTCTATTAGAATTGAATAATAACTTCTTACCGCAACACGATAAGGTATAGAACTTGCTTTGAAGAATATTTACATTTATTCCAAATTTTTGAGATAGTTTTCAAATGTTACCTGGTACGTTAGGACTGCTATCTGGGACATCCTCTGCCGTCTTGGGACCGTCTTTCATGCCAGACTTCTCTTCATCAACACAGATCTAGATTGAGATTTTGATTAAAGCCACATAGTAGTAAAAAAAAAAATATATAACAAAATAGAATAACATCTTTTGAAATGTGGATTTACAGAAGAATGATGAAAATATCCTGGAAATGAATGAAAACAAACAAAGAGATATTGCACATGGCAGGGCGTAAACAAATTGCACTAGTAGGATTAGTTAAGGAGAGAAAAATCAAATACTTTAGTCATGTTAAAAGGCACCAAAGCCTCTTAAAGGATGTATTGGAAGGAAGAGAGGAAGGAAGTAGACCTAGAGGGAGACCCTGAATCAACTGGGAAGAAAATGTCAAGAACTGGAGTGGACTAAAACTGCAAGAGTGCACCAAAATGGCAGAAGATAGAGTGAAATGGAGAGATGTTGTAATCAACCTCCAAACCGGGAGAAGATACTTAGATAGATAGATAGTAGTCAGTGTCCATGTGTATATATTGCAATGTAATTCGCTGACACCAGACCTGGTTAAGTTACCAATTAATGTGCCTGTGTGCGCAAAGGTGTCTGAAGCAATGTAATTCGCTGACACCAGACCTGGCTAAATTACCAACTAATGTGCCTGTGTTTGCAAAGGTGTCTGAAGCAGCGAACATGTGTCCTACTAGAAAATACTTCAGCTTGCCTTCATATCAAGAGGATTGATATAATGATGAGAATGCTAGGGCGTGTCATGAAAATGAGGTCCACTCCTGGTGACTGACAACACCCCTTATTGGGTAAACACTGATTGATGGATACTGGTATACCAATTATAAAGAAGAAGAGAAAGATCATTTTTAATAAGCCATTATGTTCCTTTTCATGATTTCTCATTACATACCGTATATGTAATTTTATTGTTATTGTCCTATGGCGGAATAATGAATATTATACAACACCTACGTGGATCCTTGTCATTTGATTGGAGGATTGTTGGTCACATGATATTCAATAGATGGTATATTGCACGGTCACGCATTTTTGGTTATATGCGCCGTGCATTTTTGGTTATATGCGATCGTGACGTTGCACTGCAGCACGCGCACAACCTTTGACGCGCAGTCACTGATCTCTACGGAAAAAGATTTTTCCGTAGAGATCAGTGCGCGCAGTACGTTTACGTTCACAAGTAGCGCAGACGATCGTGACCTTGGTTATCATGGCGGCCGATTTAAACAGCAATTTTGTGTTGCTAAACGATGATCAACTTGAGGAATTAGTTAGTTCTGCGGACTCTTTAAACACTAAGAAACTGATCCAATATGCCGTCCGTCGTCTTGAAGCATTCGCGGAGTGTACAGGTACAACTTTGGCCGCAGTGGAAGCTTACGATAATGCTGAGCTAGACCAGTTTTTATCACGATTTTACGGTGCTCTGCGCAAAGGTACTACAGGAGAACTGTATACAAAAAAGTCAATGCACGCAATTCGCTATGGACTGAACCGTCACTTTGAAGCTACCAAGGATATCAAAATCTGCCAAAGCGATGTATTCAAGAAGAGTTGTGTAACATACAAAGCCATGTTGGTTAAGCTCAAGCAGAATGGCAAAGGAGTGGTGAAACACAAGAAGGCAGTAAGTGAAGAAGATATGGCGAAAATATTTGACTCGCTTGATGTAACGACACCTCAAAGGCTGCAAAACAAGGTATTTATCGACATTATGGTATATCTTGCCAATCGTGGGAGGGAAAATCTGCACAGTATGAAAGTTTCTGACTTTCAAGTTGAAGTCGATGAGCAGAATCTGCGGTATATTGTCCATTGCGATACCATGACCAAATCTAGGAGGGAAAACGAAGATGAAGAATGCAGTGGATATATGTACGAAATTCCTGGCTCAAGTCGGTGCCCTGTTTCATCTTTTCTTGCCTTCAAAGAGGTTTTGAACCCAAAGCAAGAAAACATGTGGCAGCGTCCAAAACCTGAAGCACCAGTAGATGGATCCCCATGGTATATGAATGCACCACTTGGGATCAATACACTGGGAAACAAAATGAAGAAGATCTCAGAAAAGGCCGAGTGTTCCTACATGTACACAAACCACAGTTTGCGAGCAACGACTTGCACATTGCTGGATGAAGCAGGTTTTCCTAATCGTCACATCATGTCGGTTACTGGACATCGTGCAGAATCGTCTTTGAAACACTACTCCCGCACAAGCAACAAAAAAAAGAAGCTCATGAGTGCAGCGTTGGCAGGCCAGATGAATGAAAATGGTCCAGAACCCGCTCCAGAACCAGCTCCAGGACCCGCTCCAGGACCCGCTCCAGAACCCGCTCCAGGACCCGTTCCAGAACGCGCTCCAGAGCCAGCTCCAGTGTTGGACTGTTTGGACAATCTTCTAGAAAAGCTCCTTACAAATTCGCAAGAGCAGTTGGTCCTGAGTGAGCCCAATTTCAATATTCACAATGCAATGTCATCTTCTTCGGTGCAGCACTTCCACTTCCATGGACCTGTCACCTTTTACAATAAATAGATCTAGGGCCTAGACGATCAGTGTTCTTCATGTACATACGTTTGTGTTAGACAATGTTTGGAATTTTGACTTTTCTTCGAGTTTAACTGTTGGAATTTTGTCTTTTCTCCGAGTTTAACTGTTTGAGACGTTTTAACTGTTGAATTTTGATGAAGGAAAAAAACTGCATCTGAATATTAAAATGTGAGTACCCTATAAAGTATAATATCCTCCAACCAAATGACAAATATCTACTTAGAATCTAGATGTTGTATAAAACAAATAATGAATGTTTTTCATTCGTTCAATAGTGCGAATATTTTCATTCGTTTAAAGATTAACGTTCTATTCAACTCGGCTGACGCCTCGTTGAATAGAACGTTAATCTTTCAACTCATGAAAATATTCGCACTATTGAACTCATAGCCATTCATTATTTGTATATTAATAAGTCAGAATGAATGAGGAGAGCTTGGGTATTTGTTTCTAGTTCATCGTGACTGTGCCATGGACCATGCAGTGATGGCCTGGTGGTAGAGTCGCTGCCCGGCAAGAAGTAGATGCAGGTTCAAGTCCAGCTGGTTCCAAGATTTTTTCTGACTAGTTTTTCAATACAGATCGATCAATCAATCTTATTTACTGGGTGTAAGCCACAAATATGTTTAAATAACATATATGTTTGTATTGAAGATTGTATAACTTTGTTTTTATCATGACGTGAAAACAAATGATTGAAATGAAATGAAATAAATTACCTTCTCCCTTTCTGTATCCTCCATGTCTGGTTCTTGTTGATCCTTCATTTCTTGACTATCCATCTCCTTCTCTGCCTCCTCCTCTTCTTCTACCCCTTCTTCTTCTCCTGTTGGCTTCATGTCAAACTGCCTCTTGTCAGTGGTGATCCTCAGTTTAACCCTTTTTTGGAAGGAGAGAAAAATGAAATGGAATTTGATAATAGGGTAGACAAATACAATTCACAACTAAATTATTTGTACCCCTTGTAAATTTGATGTGTTTTTTTTTTTTTTTTTTTTTTTGTAACTCAGGAATGAAAGGTGGAGTGGTTGATTTATGGTTTTGTTGAATATTAAAGATGTAAGCTTTAATGTGTATCATTGTCAAGAAACATGAATAAGAACAAATGAATCTTTCACATACCTAAACAATTACAAAAATTGTTAAGGGTATGAATGATTTAGCTTTGAACTGTACATGTAAAACAAAGGAAACAGTGATTTTAAGGTGTGTCATTATTAAATTTCCAATCAATTTGGTACATACATATGATAATACTATTTAAGATAAGCCTCAAATTGTCCCAACCATCTTTTTTTATTGTACATAATAGTATTTCTTAAATGTGTTAATAAATGTGTATGTAGTATATGTCATCTATCAGAGCATTAGAATTTTTTTTTTTTTTAATTTCCTAATCGTCCTCAAAAAAAGAAATTCTACTTACGTGTGGAAGGGCTGAAAGTGAGGGGAAAAAAAGACAACAAATTAATATATTATCAGGCAAAAAACAAACAAACAAACAAAAGACAAGTTCCTATAATTCTATTATACTTTATTGAAATGTAGTAAGATGTATACTTAGAGGAGTTACTATCTTAGTTAGATATAAACTTTAAAGAGCTGCTATCTTTAATACTAAGATGCTTTCTTAATAAGATGTAAACTTAAAAGAGTTGCTATATAAGTAATATAAACTTTAAAGAGTTGATATATTTAAATAAGATGCAAACCTAAACAAGTTGCTATCTTAGTAAGATGTAAACTTAAAAGAATTGCTATCTCAGTTAGATGTAAAAGTATTATTTTATTTCATGATACCACAACTGACATATTCATCTACAGTATTTGTAATATGTTTACTTGACTGTATTTTCATGGTGAATTAGGCGAAAGAGTGGTTTCAGTATACACGAGGAGCAATTACAACATTCAATGAAAGGATGTGAATATATTTGAATTGATTACCACGGCCACATACACCCTGTAATTCTGGTAATGGATTTGCATTCAAAGAGGAAATGGTTTAAAGAAGTATCTTTAATGCCCTACTGCACTACTTATAGCTACTTGTGCCCTCTAAATAGCAAACAATGCCTATTCGATGACCATTGATCTCCCATGGTCCCCTTTTTCTTATGTTAAATGAGAGCTGATTTGATGCGATAACCACCTATCAGTGACCACACAGGGAGGTCTTATCCCTCCTGGTTAAACTAGTGCAGAGGGGCTTTTATAGACGATCTTTGGTTTGACAGCCTGACTTGGCCAACTCGCTTTCTCAGATTAGCTCCAAAACAAACACAAGAGAAAGAAACCATACTTACAGTTGTGACTTCTCCTACTCTGAGGTTGATAGGTTCATCATCGTAATTGAAAGCATCGCTGTCTGATGCCTGGAAACCTGGAGGTTCATAGTCCATTGGCGTCACTGTAATAATAATAATAATAATCTTTTAAAGTCCACTCCAAATTTTATTAAACCGAAAATGGAAATTCTTTTTGCCCAATTGATCGAGAGCCCGGCCTGTAGGGATGATATTCAAAACATTCTTCTGTAAATCAAAACATCAGTTTGTCATGATACAGTCAAACCTGCTCCAATGACCACCTGTCTACAAAGACACCCCGTCTACAAAGACAAAGTTTTTTGGTTTCCCTTGAAACTAGTTTCTCATTGAAACATGTACTAATGGAACCTGTTTACAAAGACCACCTGTCTACATTGACCACTTTTTGAGTTTCCCTTGGGCGGTCGCTAGAAAGATTTGACTGTAGCAGCTAACCAGTTACAATAAACTGACCAAAGTACTTACAGTAGTATCGATGGATTCAGAAACATTTTAAAACTTTACAGTGCACCATCTCCCTTGCACTGAGAGCATTCCAGGTAGACGTTTTGTTTTTTTGTTTTTTTACACAAAGACATAAACATCCAACAAGCTACCCACTTACACCTGGGCCCTGTTTCATAAAACTTGATATCAATAACAAGTTCCAAGCTACTGTTATAAGCTACTGAAATCATGGCATGTGATTGGCTGAGAGCAAATATGTCACAGAAATTTAGGATTTGTTATAGATAAAAGTTTTATGAAACAGGCCCCTGGGCTTGGTGTAAATGGCTCACTATTGCGATGAATTAAATCTCATCTTTCTGGGAAATGTGCTATACCATATACTTTTGAGGATTGGATTGAACTGGATCGAACTGGACTGAACGGGATCGAACTGGGTTGAACTGGGTTGAACTAAATTATAATACATACCATCATCATAGTAGAGTGATTGTGATCAAGTAAATCTCACCTTTCTGGGAAATGTGCTATACCAAAAAATTTCAAGGATTGGATTGAACTGGAATATACTGGTTTGAACTGGTATGAACAGGATTATAATACATACCATCATCATAGTAGAGTAGTTTCATGGTCATCATGACATCATCTGGGAGGAGCTTAAGAGACTGGGTCAGAACTAGGATGGTCCTGAGGAGCTGGAGGGTTGCTCTCTTTGTCTGGGCCTCTGTATGCGCTCCTGTAATCTTCTCTTCATTCCTATAAACATTAGAATGAAAAAGAATATTTAATATCAAGTAAACATGAATATTCAGTTATATCAAGTAAAAAATGAATATTCAGTTATATCAAGTAACGGAATAGGGAAAAACTACCTTTTACAACAGCCCCAGACACACCCCCCCCCCCTACCCCCTGGAAATCAACCCCCTAGGTTGAACGAAATGAAAGAGGTAGCTGTTCATGGGGGGGGGGGGGGGGGGGGTCCTCAAGATAGTTTTCAAAGGGTGAACAAATCAATAACACAGCTGAGGCTGCTCTGGACGCAATATTGGCACCTTTGATTATTTACTGATCCGCATGTTACTTAACCTAAAGACATGTAAACCGGTATAACATCATCAAACTTTGCAGCAGCACTAATTAAGCAGTTTATCATGACATTTCATCAAATGTTCTTATTGAAAACTTGACTGACCTGTAAATATCGACATCTGGTCCATTCTTGGAATAGGTGAACTTGAAAGTGTAGGTCTCCATGGCAGTCTGGAAGACAAAGAAGGGATTACAATAATAATTTGATGATTTATTCATTCTTGTCCAAAAATGTTGAAATATGCTTTGCACCAGCAATAACAGACAATACAAGAAATCAAGACAGAAAGTTAGACACACTGTACTCATAATTGTTATTCATTTTCTCAAACTTCTTCCTCATTAAAACATTATTTAGCTATTCCTTTAATCTTCACTTTTTTCATTTTTTCTTGTTCTATTGTAATCATTATCATCATGATCATTTATTGTAGTTATATTTATTTTCTCTAAGTACTGCTCTTACGCACATTTTTATCAAATATATATGTGGTATATTATTCATCTTTGAAATGAGGAGATACATGTACACCATCAAAAACTGAACTCTATCATTTCCATAGACTTATAATACAGGAAATCCCATTCCAGTGATTAAAGGGTTTAGTTTCAGAGAACAAGAACAAAAGTATCACGGCTGAAAGCTTTAAATACATCAGTAAATCTAATATCAGGAATGTAATGCAATGACAGCCTTATAGAAGACCCCTATGTAAAATGAACATTGGTTTCTCATTCATGATTTTGCCGATGAAATATAAATGTTCTCCATAACGTAAAGAGGCCTAATTGCCAGCACACACACTGTACATGCAAATATTCATATGATTATTAAAAGCATGTTATTTCATAACATCCCATTGTATGCATTTTGATTAAACGGCCCAGCTGGCTTCAGTTTATACTCACATTAGGGTCGCTTGGGTCTGTATACATCTGTTGTTGAAAAATTAGAAGATGAAACAGATGATTTGAATGAAGTACAAAGTCATGCACAACACGCATGTATTGACAGTACACACGTGTGTAACAGCTAGCAATTCATGGCATGTTTTCAGACCAAGATACTTCAGCAATAAAGTAAAAAAGACATTATGACATAGAAATACAAAGAAAAGGAAAAAAATAATGAGAATAGCCCAGGGCTGGTATTCAATTCAATACTTAGCATAAGTAAGAAATTTACTAAGTAAATGGCTATTTATTAGTAATTTATTTATGTTGTATTCAAATCTAGACTTATATTTACGTAAGACAAAATCTAAGTAAAATACTTACTGACAAGCATTGTGACATCACACGGTCAATCAAAAGTAATGCGCAATTAATGCATTGCAATAAATGCGCTGATATAATTGCGAGCAGGTTATAATTCTGCGTAAGAAAACCATATGCCTCCAAATAATTGGCTTAAGTCTGGTAGGGAGCTGTCTTAAATTTAGCATAAAATACTTAGCCAAAAGTTTGAATTGAATACCAAAATTGGGTAAGTATTTTATCTAAGCCAAATACTAAGTAAAAAGCTTAAATTTTGTACTTAAGTATTGAATTGAATAGGGGCCCTGATCAATGGTCGTTGCAGGTCAAGTAAAAAGACGCAAATCCTTAAACATAGCTTTTAAAAATCATTATGATATTGTATAAGTGGTAGCCATCATGTAATGTGAAAAGTGTTATCAAGTATTGATAATTATTAAAAACAATATCGTGTGATGCTATGTTTAACCACGTTTTGGGCTTGGAATTTCAATGAACATGCACCACTAGCACTATGAGCAACGATAACAAGAATTTAATACATTATAATTCCCCCATCAGTCATGCGCACTATATAACTGCTATTTGGATAGTCACAGAAAATGTCAATGTTCATCCTTTTCTGATATTTCTTGAGCTATAATGATAATCCTAAATTTGATGATTATAGTAAAGTAATTCCACAAAAATTTCTTTTTTCTAGGACTGACATTACTAACTTACCCCAATGATCATGGCACGGAGCTGGATTAAAGAGTGAAAGAATGAGTAATTGAGAGAAAGTGGGAGACAAACAAGGGGAGAGAGAGAAGAGCAGAAAAATTACAAAAAAACACAAAGAAATCATCATTGTCATTGACCATGAAACATATTTGTTTTCACTGTACTGTTTTGACGGTAGATCATTTGCTCCAGCTTAAAAATATTGCCACTAGATAAGGGCATTATTGAGTAATAACATGATTGTGTTATCCATCTGTTTCTACTTGTTAGTTTGTATCATATTGTTTTTAATTATTACAGTACTTATCTTTACAGGTACTTACATATCTTTTTACAGGTACTTGTTTTACAGGTACTTACATATCTTTTTACAGGTACTTGTTTTACAGGCACTTACATATCTTTTTACAGGTACTTGTTTTACAGGTACTTGCATATCTTTTACCGGTACTTACATATCTTTTACCAGTAGTTGCATATCTTTTACAGGTGTACTTACATATCTTTTGTCAAGTGCATCAAAGGCCCCTTTCATCCATTTGATGACTTGGCAGGCTCCTGGACATGCACTGTCATCTTTCAAAATCTTCAGGTTTAGATCTGTTGCATAAACAATATTATATACCTCACTTTAGAAATCTAGGGCACTTTTCAAAAGACTATTGACCAGTTTGGGCATTTTACGTAAATGCCTGCAATCTCAATGGGAAGGATTTGAGCACACAAACTTAAGTGGTACACGATCAGATACCCTATTAAGACTAGGTCTTGATAGCGTAAACAAACTTGATTACCATGATTGGTAAGTCGCACATGTATTCTATGACCCTTTTCAGTATATAAAAGTTATAAAAACAACTATGTCTCTCATAGCAGTCATTAATACTATATAATTGCTCGTTTATTTAGTAAATCACACATGAATTTACTTGAGTGACTACCAGAACCATTGAGAAATCATATTTATCCCCAAACAAAGTCAACAGACCAGTAGAACGAGGCTTGTATAAAACAAATCTATTCGTCATCTACATTTAAGACAATGAAAGTTTATTAATATTCTGTACAGAGAAAATTGGAGAGGAGCTGGCATGATCAATTTATGTTTCACTACTTCAAAAATGTAATAACTTTCATATTTTTAATTAGACTTTTCTAAAACTTTCACTTATGTGTTTTCTTGTTTTTTGGCTGTTATTAAAACCAGTTTAATATCAAGGTGGATTTCCTCTTTAAGACATATGTACACTTATCCCTTTTTACCTTCAAGAGATCTGTCGCCGAATGCATGTTCAGGGAAGATGGTCCGTAAGTAGGTCACAGTTGAAACTGCCACAGCCAGGAGCTTCTTCACAAAGACGGCCGACTGCTGCTGGGTCACTTGGTCTGGAGGGAAGATGGCCGACCACTGTGGATGAAAAAAAGGAAAAGAAAACAAGATAGCTCTCTATGCTGGGGGTGTTTCACAAAGATCTTAAGTCTAACTTAACTCTAAGTTGGACTTAAGAGTTATGGAGAGCCATTTGTAGCCTTAAAATAAACATATTCAAAAGCAAAAATTCAAAGTATTTTAGACTTTTCATAAATTCCACATCAAGAACATGAAATCTCCTTGATGATAGAAAATAATAATGATTTGAATTAACTTTTTATGCCTTTTGAAATAACTTTTACAAAATATTTTTAAAGATGCTAACAGCTTTCCATAACTGTTAAGTCCAACTTAGAGATAAGTTCAACTTAGATTCTTTGTGAAACACCCCCCTGGTCTTGTTATATCAACTATCATTATCCATTACCCCCCCCCCCCCCCCCCTTGTTAAATTAAAGGTAAAGGCCAGGCCTACTAATTGATATATTTGGTAAAATACAATATCTATCCGGACTGGATAGATCTAGGGTAGTCCAATATACATCTTTCTGTGTACAGTGCTTGTAACTTTACCAAGACTAAGCCGAATTTCTTATCATTTTGATGATTCCAGAACCTTGCAGTCCACACTAATACTTATATGCTAGATGATCGACCTATCCTGATTGATTCCACAACGTTTCTTTCATGATGCAATCGCATGACCAGAACTGCTCTATACCTTTTAATGTATGGACAGAGATTCTATACTTTGAAATAGTTCTGCCTACAACTGTAAATGTGTACATGAAACTCATCATCATTTTTCTTAATTCTCTCTTTCTACCATTCCAACATTACGCAATTAACAAACTTAAAATTATTGTTTTCCCCTAAAAAATGTGGTAATTCTTAGATGCTGTTTGAAGACGTTTTCTATTCATTAGCACTTAAATGTATGTAATGTAGACTGAGTAGGCTATGAAGGATGTTATTGGACAGATTCATCAATGTTTCAAGTTGAAGAATACAAAAGAAATAGACAACTTACCTGGCCAGTTTTTGTCTTCGGTCGCATGGAAGTAGCTGTTGCCATGATTCTGCACGAATGAAGAAAAAAACTGAGAGTAAACACAAGAGTAGTTACACATCTTACTTAGATCAGTCCATCAGCTTAAGCAATATTTATAATAATGCAAATAAACAATACATGAAATAATATCCGTAAAATTTCAATCAAGGTGCGACAATGAATATAAGTTACATAAAAAACAGCTCAATTGATAAACATATACGTTTTCAGCTGTGTTTTGAATTGAGCTATGGAATCTAACTCTCTCAGATAAGAAGGAAGTGAGTTCCAGAGAACAGTTGCAGCTGGGTTGAAGGATCTGTTTCTGTACAGATAACTGTTTGATCATTAAGTTGATGCTTGTCATTTTTGCCATTGAGACGAAATCAATAAAAGGCATAAAGCTAAAGGTGACGTACAGTCACAGACCCTATAGATCTAGAGTGGTGAAGTGTGACGTCATAAAAAAAAATCTATTTTTAGAATTTCTCAATTTTGTCTTCATTTTCCAAAAGAACATCAAAAATAATGTCCAAATGTCAAAAACCAATTTAATATGTTAAGTATGTTAAGTATATGACCATCTGAATAAATATATGTCCTATAGGAACTCGGTGTTATATGCTCTGGCTCCTAATGGTTACCTAAGGTACCCTAAGGGCTATACTATAGCCTAGGGCTAGGTTATACAAGTACAATATAACATTCAGGGGGAAAGGAGGAAGGGGGAGGGATGTACTTAATGTACTCATTTACTATCTATAAGTATCATCCAGCAAGAAGGGAGAGCCATCTTATTCTCTAAAACTGTCTGAGGAGAAAGTAAATAGTAATACGTGGATCACCCAACCCAACATTTGAGGATTTTATAATGCAGTAGTTAAAATTTAATTATTAAAATTACCAGTAGAGTCTAGATTATGCTAGTAGAATAGCAAATAGGAAGAATTGGAAAGGGCACAAAAGGGCACTTTGTGATCCCTGGGGGCTAGCGAAAAAATAAGCGCATAGATATATTCCTTAGGACTGGGACTACTCATCAATCGGGGCTGAATATCTCAAAAGTGGCAAACCTTGGAGATAGACAGAACACAATGAGTGATTTCAAGTACGGTGTTCAGTGTTGGTGTTGGTGTTGAGAGCTTGGAAAGGCTGCTGAACCGAGCTCCAACACCGACGGTCAGTTTAGAAGGACGATACCGATCACGCGTGCGCGTTATCGATAGCTCAACACCAGCCTCAGCGCCGAGTGACGTCCTACTCTACAGGCGAAAAGTGTTGCGATAAAAGCATAATCCATTCAGAAATTCCAATAAATAACACCATGTCGAATATCAAATGTAAAGTCATATTAAAAAATCAATAGATAAAATATCATTTCTCTTGAAATACATAGATCTAGACCTATGTAGCTCCCAGGATTTCCTTCTGTTTTGACTTTAAAATGGATTTTTACCTTGGCATGATCGTGAGATTCGTGCCAGATGTCCGCATAGTTACCTGCATAGTTACTGCAACACCAACACCAGCACCGAACTTGAAATCATGAATTTCCCAATCCCTAGGGGCTGGTGTTGGTGAATGGGAAAATTACACGTAAGGCCATGTAAAATTGATTTCATGTTGATCGTCCCCGCCCGCTTCCTTTTTGGGGGCCGCCTCCTATTTTTTGTTATTTGTTATTTTATTTTTTTTTTTTTTTTTTTTTTTTTTTTTTTTTTTTTTTTTTTTTTTTTTTTTTTTTTTTGAAAGAAAAAAAACATGAAAAACACTGCTAAAATGGCTCTATTTCTGATTTAAAAAAAAAAAAATTGTCGGCGGCCATCTCGAAAAAAAATAGCCTCGACTGTCGGGGAAAATGTACCGAGCGACCATTTTGAGCGGCCATTTTGAAATATCAAATATCAAATAACATGGTACACCCTCCTCCTCTTTTTCAAAAAATCCGGACGATCAACATGTAATCAATTTTACATGGCCTAAATCGTCAACACCAACCGCGATACTCGGTTCAGCAGAGGACATTCAACACCAGCCCTCAACACAGACTACCGGAAATACGTCATATTTCCCGAGGTCAATCCCAACACCAGCCTGATTTCAAGTTCGGTGTTGTGGCTGGTGTTGGTGTTCTCACAACACCAACACCAGCTTTCAACACCGAACTTGAAATCACTCAATGACAATGTTTAAATCGCCGTTTTGACCAAGATAGGTCTAGGCTAGTCTAGATCTAGATCTAGACCTCTAGATCTATTTTTAGAATTCTGAGATGCAGCCCCTTTGGAAATAGTCTATGGAGATTCACCTGCTCTTTCATATGACACCTCATTTATTGAGTATCACCTTCAGGATCACAAAGAATAAACTTAGGTTTGAATCTCGACTTGAAGAAGAAAAAAAAATTGACCAATTTTGCATGGTCGCGCAAAGCACGTAGACTGCATAGGGATGCGTGCAATCTCTATGGGAAAGATTTCACACAACATCGGGTGCGCGATCAGACACCCCAGTAAATACACACCCACGGAAAAAACAAAGTAAAGTCGATCTATGCGTACACTCTAGAAATTGTATAATTGACTCTGTGTTATGCACAGACAAACAATCAGTCACACAAAATAAAAATACAGGCTTGCAACAGTAGATCTACAACTAAGTCAAGTGGCAAAGCCAAGGCAGAGCCCGCGCACGGAATTGGAGCTGAGCTCGGCTAGCTAGCTAGCTAGCTGTGCCTAGCCTGTGGCCGCGCCGCGCCGTCCACAGGCTATAGCCCGAGCGCAGTTGTATAGCCTAGATCTAACTCGACGAGAGAAGACAAACACCACTGCAATTAATCTTTTCCTGTCTCATCCACACACCAAACACAATCATAATTCATATCCTGTAAACAGTATTCCATCAATTTTTATCACCCTTACATCTAAAGTAGATGTAAAAGTAGTTTAAAGTTTGTGTTAAATGGTTACACTTACCGATTCGAGTCTGATTCTTGAGAGCTGAAACTTTGTAAAATGAATGAAAATATCCGATTGCAACTCGATTTGCATCATATCATCGATCGATATCGCAGGAATTTAGCAATTTTCACGTCGCGCCAATTTCGTCGTCTGCAAGTAGCCCCAGTAGCATATTTACATTCAATACAGTGTGTACAACAAAGGAACCGGCAGTATGCAATAATATAATTGTTAGGGCTATGAACAGTTGAACTTAAGTTGTAGGTGAGAATTAAAAAAAGGGGAGAAAGAAGTAAAACGAAAATAAAGATGCCTTTTGCTTTTGGTCCTTAGATAGAATTGCGAGGGGGGGGGGGGGGGTGGCATCGTTTAGCCATTTTCTTGTGCATAGTATACAGGACACAGGTCTGAATATTTTCTAAACATGCCTTTTTAAAATTTGATAATCTGTTGCCGTTCTATTGTATTAAACCTATTAAATAGTTTTTTTAGTTTGTTAGTTCTAGCTCTTTCCGTCTCTCGATCTTCTGTCTATCCCTTTTTCCCTCTCCAGCTAGCACTCTCTCTCTCTCCCTCCATCACTACCCCGACCCCCCCCCCTCTCTCTCTCTCTCTCTCTCTCTCTTTTTTCTGATATCCACTTGAAAAGTAAAATTGAAGGATACTGCACAAAACTCTGAACTAAAAATTTGTTATTTTCCTATTTTATTTGTTCCTCTATTAACCATAGTGAAAAGGAAGCAAATAATACTGAGAAAAAAGTATGACATCACCTGCTTAGAGCCAAAAGACTGCTAACTCGTATATTAACCCTTTCAAGAAAATCAACACTTATTTTTTGGTTTGGCTTAATAACTTTTGAATCATTACCATAAAAGAACCCCATTTCACAAAACTTGTCTTCAGTGACAAATGACAGTTTTTGTTAAAAGCTAGTGAAATCCTAGACCAAAAGCTTCAGTCTCTCTATATCATTGGTTGTTCCACTGAGACTACGTCTGGCTCCACTAGACCTCCGATTGGGAATGTCAACAAATGTCAGTTTTATTAAAGAAATGACCCATATCAGACGGTTATTTCTGTCTAGTGAAATCCTTGCTTTTGATTGGTTATCAACAGATTAGTCACTGATTTTTGTCATTTGTCGTTGAAAAAAGGCTTTGTGAAACGGTTCCAGAGGCATGAATAGAAAGGGCATCAATTTCTGCACACACTGCATATATTTTGTTGCATGACCATATTGAGCTTGATGCAAGTTATTTTGTAAAAGAAAATAAGCTTTAAAATCCTTAAATTGGCAACATGTTAAAAGGTTAAAACCATTTGTACAGTCAAACCTGCTTTAGGGACCACCTGTCTACTTAGACCACATTATTTGTTTTCCTTGAAAATGGTTTCTCATTGAAACATGTACTAAAGGAACCTGTCTACAAAGACCACTTTTGTGTTTCCCTTGGGCGGTCACTATAGACAGGTTTGATTGTATTTCAATTAAAATTTGCAATTTTTTTTCTCAACTTTTTAACCAAGTTCTTATTCATGTTTTTGTTTTCAGAGACATTCATTTTTATTACAACAATGTAGCAATACGGTAAAAGATAAATATTGTGTTGCCAATTTCAAGAACAATCTGGGATCAAGTTAGTAATTTACATGAATCCTTTTCCGAAAGGGTTAACACAGAGCTAACAGCCTTCTGACTCTCTGTCTGCAGATAATAATAGCTACACATCTACACGTAGCCTTGTCTAAGTATAAATATAAATATAACATAAAAGTAAAATAACCACACATAATTGCCAACTTTGAAGAAGAAAACAATTCTTCAGGAAACATAACAAAACATAATCAGTTGAGTCAAAAGAGTAAATTAATTAGCACCAAATGAAAATGTGTAGAAGATACAAAATGAGTAAAAGAATTCATGAAAGAAACTATAGCCTAAATGCATATCAACGAAATAACAAAAATGCATACATTAAGGGGGAACGCATGGAACATGGTTCAGAACATTCTCATGAACTGTATCTGTTTAACTAAAGCACACACAGTGAACACTAACTTGGTATAGACCATAGCTATAATTTGATCCTATTGACTTTGAAATGTGGTAAGGAAAAAAATCTTCCACAACATGAAATCAGGCTGAAGTTTTCATTTATCTACGTTACATTTAGAAGAAAAGAATTGTTGTTGATAAAAAAAAAGAATCAAATAATAAATACACAGAAATCTATTTCAGTGATTAATCTAGTCACCATGATTATTGAGGTGAGTTTAACGAATTTCCTTGCGTATCTCTGTAGGCATATGGCTACTAAAATAAAAATCATCCATTGAATATTTAAACATAGAGGACAAAACAATAAGCCAGTTCACGGTTGCAGTCTGAGCATGAGCAGATAAAGGTCATTGCAGAACAAATTTTGAAATACACAGAGACGAAATACTGGTTACGTGCTCATTATGTAATAATTATTCATTCATGCACATTCAGTGCACTCCATGATACACAGGTGGAAGTATTCTTTGAAAAGTGGAAACAAAGGCTATTTATATAGCACCTCCATCGCTGTAGGAGTGATTATTTCAAAATGTACAAAGTGGGACCTCTTCATGTTTTGAAGATCTGTGGATATTCGGGGTCATTGCAGTAATGTGTCTATTGAAGGTTAACATAAAATCTGGGAAATAAGTACTCTACAAAAAATGGACATAATAAAAATAGAACTAAATGAATTAACAAAGGTTTCCCTTCTGTTTAAAACTAATTTTGTTTATCAGTAGTAATTGAAGCAGGCATTTCACTTACAAAACATAATTTCTCTGACGAAATTGATTAAATTGAAAAATTACAGGTCTTATTGTTATAAATATCTAATAAAAACATGACGTAGGTTTTTAATGAATGAATAGTTACAAATGACTTAATTCATTACTTTTCCCATCTTCTTAATTCCCTTTTGCTTCATTTTCTAGTCTCTTAATGTCATAAACCTGCCGTCATTTCAAGCTAATCTGGAGCTCTGATATGGGAATCGTATTCGATTAAAACCACAACTCCCATTTGCGTGTAATGACCTGTGTTAAGCACATGGTGGCAGGCCTACTTACCTGCATTTCCTTTATATGCTCATTACTCAGCCACTATACATTTTCTATCAAAATTGTTTGGCACATGTCATTTATTGTAATCTTGAACATTCAGTTTAAGTTTCGTTGGATTCTGTGAGAATTATTTTCTAACTAACCAGAACTCAATTATATCTTCAAAGAACAATTTTGCCCTTTCTAACAAATCAATATACATGTAGTGCACATGTTTATAAATATGCACAAATTCAAGGGATAAAAAATAAGCAATTCTATTCTACGCCTTCTGATATGTTTCAAATCATACCTCTGTATGATCACATTATTGCATCAAAAATATATATTTACAAGTGTACATCAATTAAATACAATAAATATTTTATTATTATTTACTTGCTTCTTAATGAGAAAGTTTGCCTCATTTCTGGTGGTATGAATAGCATTTATAATTTAAAGACAAAAAGAAAGAAATTTATGAAAGAAAGTTTCCATAAAACCCCTTAAATAATGTTAAATAAAATGGTAAAATCCTGGTAAAAATGAACATAATTTCAAATCTTTCTCAATATTTCCTTTTGCATATGCAAAAATATCATAGTATAAATGTCCATTGAATAGTATTGTTGAAGTGCTCTCATTTCTTAAAAAGCATTACAGGGATTTACAAGGTGAAAATCTCAAAACTTGTAAAAGGCCAGGCATTGTAAATAATCATGATCAACACTTTCCTAAAAGTATGGTGGCAAAATATTTATCATTAGCAAAACTACGGTCATTTTTCTTTTTGAATATTGCAACTGGCAGTGTTTTATTCAACCGATTTGTTGTGTACAAAACGGGGGGTTCAATTTTCGGAACGTTTTGCAAGTACTTCCATAAACATACTTTCCTGCGACAGATAAATGTTGGGACAATTTTTGAGGGCTTGTGAATCCCGGAATGATAGGGGCTTGAAGTAAGACTAGAAATAGTTGGGAAGTTTGGAATCTGCACCAGATGAGTGTTTGACCTTCAACACATAAAGGATACACTTTATACAGTTCAAAGGATCAAAGGTGAAGAAAATCAGAGCACACATTACTGTACAGTCCCATGTACCCCTTTCTGAGTCCAATGCTTTTCATATATGTACATGAAGTTTGCGTTATTCGGCAAGTTTTTTAGTCCATTTGTTGCAATATGAACGATTCCAGAACCCCATAATACAAAATTCTTTAAACATAAAGCCTTTTAACATAAAAAATTCCCAAAATAAGTTTTTATCCAAAGTCTAGACGCTAATTCCTTCACCCACCGAGGCCAGCCAGAGCAGGGGCTTGTTTCATAAAACTTTTTATCTATAAGAACTGCGAAATTTTGATGACAAATTTGCTCTCAGCCAATCAGATGCCATGATTTCAGTAGCTTGTAACTTGTTATTGATAATAAGTTTTGTGAAACAGGGCCCAGGTTCTCATCACCAGTGACCATTAAGAGCAGATATGTCTACAAGGGCTTCCCCCTTTAGGCATACAGTACAAGAGAATAAAATTGTCATTGTGTCTCTATAAATGAAATAGGCAACCTGAAAGCTCTACACAAGACAAACTGTAAGTTATCATTGTTGTATTGTTAAAGGCATCGTTTAACAATGTTAAATCTGAGATGCATGGCCCTACGTGTTATTAGTGTCTGTGATATGGTGTAATATTATTGAAGCCCTAAAAAATTGCGCTTCAAAATGATCATGAAGTGTCTCAAAAAAGTAAAAATCTTTGAGTGACCGGTTTTACCATCCTCATTTTCCCCAATAGACTGTAGTGTTATAAAAACCGTTAGGAAAACAGAAAATTTGATTTCGATTTCCAATCATAAATAGTTTGATAATCAAGCAGGCGATTGGCTTGTAAAAGTCATGAGGTTCCTTACTAACCTAAAGGTTTATAATTGTCATTGCAGCATGAGCTAAATCTAGGATTTTTATTCAGAATCTGAGGCAATGTTGAATTGTTAAATGTAAAAGTAGCAATACAATACACTTCCAATCCATCTCTACTTCGTATCTGCTTTGGCAAGGGTTTGCCTGTGTTTGGTTTTGGTATGCCGGATCTGAGGGGTGTTTCACAAAGACTAAGTTTGACTTTAAGTTGGACTTAGTTATGGCAGGCCATTCTTGCCACTGGTTCCTCTCACTATTATGATCTTTAGATAATATTTTTTCCTTCTTGAATAATGAACTATCAAAAAATTTAAACTCTATAGATTTGTGACCATGATTTGTATGCCCCTTGAGAAACCAATGCCAGTAAATGGTGAGAGAAAACATTTGGCATGAACGGCCTGCCAAAGTTAAGTCCAACTTAGAGTCGATCTTAGTCTTTGTGAAACACTCCCCTGGACATCCCTATAGACCGACAGCCCACAAGGCCTGCAATATCGGTCAAGTAAACCCTCAGAAATGATTTCAGAAGACATCCTAGACTGACAAATCAGTCTCATTGGCTGTTGGTCTAGTGAGCCATCAGTTTTGTAAACCTTCCGAAAATTTTTGGAGGGCTGTGAGATTGACACTGTCATTCTAGTGGGTTGTTCATCTCAAAGGCTTCTTGTAGGTCTCCTGGACATTCTAATGACTTTTAAGAAGGCCCATGGCACAAACCTTGTCCATCCATAGGCTAGGGCTCAAGGACTCTTCGTCTCATGGGCCAGTCTTGTCAACCTTTCCAAAACTTTCGGACGGCTGTGAGATTGATCCCGTCATTCTAGTGGGTTGTGAATCTCAAAGGCTTCCTGTAGGTCTCCTGAAGGCCAACGGCACCAACCTTGTCCCCCCGTAGGCTAGGGCTCAAGGGTTCTTTGTCTCATAGGTCATCGACTTTGTGAACTCTCTGATGACTTTCCAGAAGGCCTGTGAGACCAACATTGTCAGTCTCCTTTGCCTTCATTCTCAGGAGCTGTAGCCACCAGGGGGGCGTTTCACAAAACTTGTCATCAGTGAAAAATGACATTTTTTGTTATAAGCTACTGAAATCCTTGCTTCTGATTGGTTATCAGCAGATTTGTCACTGATTTTTGTCATTTGTCATTGAAAAAAGGCTTTGTGAAATGGGTCCCTGAATTCATCATCAGAATAGCAGCTTGGTTCAAGGACAAATGCTTCCATTCTTGGCAAACGTAGGTCATCGTGCCATGAGCTCCACTTGTTTCCTTAAGCCTCATAGTACTCAAGGTAGTCTATCAAGTCTTCCATAATATATTCAACGTTTCTGGTTCATACCATTCATTGAAAAGGGGGTGTAACAAGGGTCGTCACAGTGTACGCTGTCATGTTTCCACTGCAACGTATTTCAAAGCGGCAAAGCCGTATGTTTTCGACATATCTCTCTGGAACTCCTCCTTTAAAGTTTGCAGGCACCTACAGAAGACAGAGAATACAAAACAAAAGCAATAGCATCACTCTGTATCTCACAACTGGAGTTTGAACTAGAAAGCATTAATAACAATAGATGCATTTATACAGAGCAGCTACTCTACTGCGCTTAATAAAAAGTGTCATATTATTACCCCAGCTTTAGCTGAGCCGCCATGATAAGGTCATGTAAGCAATTCTCTCACCTGAATTGACAGTGGAAAGTAGATTAATGCCTTGCTATAGGACATTAGTGCTTTGGCACAGATTTGAATCATGTACCTTGTAGTCCACAGTTGACTTATCCAGTGGACCACAAGGCCTCTTCATCTTAGATATTTAACATTTCATTAGATGTAATCTTAAGTATGGGTAACAGCAAAAAACAAATTCTCACAGCATCAAATAAGACTTAAAGGTATAGACCAGTTGTGGTCATGCGATTGTATTGTGAAAGAAACGTTGTGGAATCGATCAGAAGAGGTTGATCATCTAGCAAATAAGTATTGGTGTGCACTGCAAGGTTCTGGAATCATCAAAATGATTAAAAAATTGGCCCAGTCTTAGTAAAGTTACAAGCACTGTACACAGAAAGATGTGTATGGGACTACCCTATATCTATCCAGTCCGGATAGATATAATAGTTTACCACATATATCAATTATTAGGAGGTTTCTCGGCAAAATTTGTATCATCACGTATTATTCAAAACATATTCTTTCACATGATTGGTAATAAAAGCTTCCATTTCATTTTTTGAGAGGGGGGCGTTTCCAAAACTGGTCCATTCATTGAACAGTGACAGCTTTGAAATAGGTTATAGATTCAGTGACAGTTAAATTCATTCTCAACTAAAAGTGCTTATGAAATATTAGTTGTAAAATTTATTTGAAAACACTTCAAAATATGGTTCAGATTGCACCAGAGAGCATCTTCAAACATTAGATCCCTTAAGCAAGCCCTGGACGCTAGCTACTGGCCATAAAAGACTTTGAGCTTTGCACATAACAGTCCGTTTGCAGTTTTTTTTTTTTAGATCTCTAAATTTAAGTTTGTGGACCACCCTGATATTCTTGTAATCCTCTTCATAGATGTTTATAATCTTATTTATCAGTTCCTTCTACAATACTAATTGACCCCGCCCCCCCAACTCGAGAACGGACGGACCCCATGCGTGTTACCAAAATGTCCGGTAAAGGGGTACTTTTCGTGCGACAAAGTCCGGCCCGAGAATTGTAAAAAAAAGGGGTGTATTAACTTTTCACCTGGAGATTTCTTTAAAAAGGGGGTTTTTTTTCTTTTTTTCTCTCATCTCTTTGGACTCCTGAGAAATTATTCCGAATTTAGGGGGGTACCTTGAGCATTTTTCATGATTTAGGGGGGTCTCCAAGGCAGGAAAAGCCCGCGAAAGGGGAGTTCGGAAATGTTGGCAGTCCTCAGATAGGGGGTGCTTTCAAAAAGAGGGAACAAGCATATATGCGTACCCTAAATAACACTGAGTGGGGGGGCCGGGATATCGACACTGATTGTTATTTATACTTACGTTCGGTACTGTTGACTGCTCCTGAATTTGGCAATGTCGAAGCTGGGTGTATGTGGCATGTGGATGATGAAAGCGTTGGGAAGCACAATAAAATCATAGCTGCAAAATAGAGATGAGTTACAAAGAAAGAAATCAATCAATAATAGCAATTAGGAATGATTTAATGCAATGTACATGTCAACTAACAAGTCATATGAAGATATCTCTTCTTTTTTTTTCATTCAAACTTACCAACAATATTTCTTTTGGATTTTCTTGTGTGTAATATCCACTTGTAAATATTTTTTGTCATGGGATATATTTAAACTAACAATGATAGATTGTTCCAATGACATTTGAGCTGAAAGATATGAGGCTAATTTTATTTCTCTTTTTTACTAGGAAACAAAGGCAGAAGTTAACACTGTTGTAAACTTGACATTTGACCTGATGGATTTGAATCTTACCTTTGGGCATCCAGTGTCATTACATGCGAGACTTTGTTCCAACCAAAGCCCAGGAACCGAGGATTATGTTAGGTCCAAATTTCATCTCACGCTGTAAAGCTGATGTCATAGTTCAAATTTTATTCAGATACCTGACCTTTGACCTGAAGGATGTGAGACTTATCTTTAGACATTAGCTTCTATAATGTACCCTAAGGCCAAGAACTAAAGGTCATACTTAGTTTCAGTCTGATACTGTAGCTCAAAGCTTGTATCTACTTTCTGTCACTGTTCTAACAAAAGCAATTGAAATCCATGACCTTTGACATTTGACCTGATGGATGCGACACTTACCTTTGGGCATCCAGTGTCATTACATGCGAGACTTTGTTCCAACCAAAGCCCAGGAACCGAGGATCATATTTGGGACAGTCCTTCTTCACGACCACATAGGGTTCAAAGTCTGGCTCCCATTGGACCTAGGATTATACAAAGCAAGGAGAGAGTTACATGCATGACTATGTTACAGTGATTTCATTTCAATTCAACTCCAGTGAGCATGGAGAGAGGCCCAACATGTCGGAGACCTAAGTGATCAGCGAAAAAAATGGACGGGAGCTAAGAGCAATTTAGCTCTCAAAAGAGCTCTAATAAACTGGAAAAGATATCTGGTAAAAAAAAATATATATCACTGAAAAAAAAAATCACATTTTTCTGATTAAACACACATCCTGAAGGAGCATCTGAGAATAGAGAATTATTTTTCACACTGCATGTTATGTACAATAGAAAGCTTAAAAGGCCTGAAAATGGGAGGTGTTAAGGCCTAATATCTGGCTTAAGTCTGATACCTTTTGCCCCTGCTAATAAAAAATAATATTTTGGCAAAGAATATTAAATTTTTGAGGATAAACTTGGTAATAATAAGAATTTAAGAGCGTGAAGTTAATGCAGTATCTTTAAAAATTAAGGAAGAAGTTGTGTTAGAAAATGATTGTGTATATTCTGTGACTCTTTACCATTAAATAGAAAGCCATAGGTTAAGTACATGTAGGCTTAAATACAAATATCACATAAATCTAGCAATTTTGTTGCTGATTTCTTTCCTACTTTCTATCCTATCAACCATGCCCAATAGCTAGAATGAAGTAATTTATCTATGGTAGCAGAAATGGTTGTTTCATTGTAATCCTGTAATACAATAAAGTGGCATAAATGGAAGGTAGAGCGGATAGAAAATGGGAGGGGGGGGGGGATGGTGAGAACAATACAGATGCTGATGTTAGCAAACTATGGAGAATAATGCCTTAGGTACCACCTTTCATGGGCGGCAGCATCAAGACGTTCACATGATGATTTCTTCTGACACAACCCTCCCTCCTACCCCCTACCCCCCCCCCCCCCCCCCTCCCCCACCAAACACACACGCACAAACTGAAAGGAGGAATTGATGCTCCTCGCCTGGGGAATTCCCTCTATTCGCGAAATTGACAACCTGGACCACTTCAAAGTTTCACTCAAAACTCACATCTTCCTTCAGACATTTCAATGCTAATTTTATTGGAGGAGCTCATGCCTTTGGATGTTTTTTTAAACAGATATATGCAGACCTGCCAACCTCTGGATTTCAAAAACTGTATTCTTTAGTCCCAAAAGTTGTATTTTACTGACAAAAGTTGTATTCTTGAAAATAAATACGGACTGTTACGCGGATCAATGCCTCTTACAGTTTCTACCTACAGGATGAATTTTTTTAATTGATCATTGGTTGAATATGCATGATTTCGTCATGACTGTTGTGTTCGATGAACCAATGAACATCCCCAAATTGCCGATGTGAGATGCTTTTAGGATACTTTACAGGACAGAATGGACATTTTGCCATTGAAAATAGCGGGCGCACACACAAAATATTAATTTTAAATAAAATTAAAAAAAAAAAAAAAAAAATTTAAATCATATTTTATTAAGGAAAATCGTACTGCCGTATTTGCTTCAAAAAGTCATACTAAATACAACTAAATCGTACTGGTTGGCAGGTCTGTATATGGCGCAATGCAAATGCTGTTCATCATCATTATCATCTCCTTGAGAGTGGTACAGGGCTAAGCTTACCTGATAGGGGGTCGTTGCGGTCCTCCAGCGGGCGAAGTTTGTTGGGGCGTGGCCCTTCTGCCAGACGTGGTATCGGAAGGTGAAGAGAGTCCCCATGTCTAGCATGTGAAGCAGGTCCGCCTTGGACTTGGGGAAGTTGAGGCGGTAGCGTAATGTCTCAAACGCAGGAACGATTAAAGCCTGCAGGTATGAAAAAAAGACATTGGTAAAGGTATATCTTCACATATGGCTGTATAAATCGCTGTGAAAAGAAACTATTTTACATTTTCAGTTAATTCAGGTCCTCTGTAGTTTTCCATTTTTCGTCTGTGTGTGGCAAGCGTTAACTCACAGAATTAAGGACCTTCTGATTCTGGAAAGACAATTTGCTGTTTTCTAGGCATCTTGCAAGGAGGAACTCATGGGAAAAGAAAGAGAGTGGAGGGAGTCCACATATCTAGCATGTGAAGGAGGTCTGCCTTGGACTTAGGGAAGTTGAGATGGTAGCGTAACGTCTTGAACGCGGGAACTATTAGAGCCTGCAAGTATAGAAAAGAGTTCTTTCAATTTATTCATTTATTTATTAATGGTATAATACAAAATATGGTTAGCAGCCAATGGCTGAATTGATCACATTTTCCAGGCAAGTTTTAAAAGTACCTAACTTACAATATCATCTATTGTAAAAATATACAAAATGCAAGATGACAGGTTACAAAGAACACTATGGTTTAAATAATTTAGGAAAAACAAAAACAGAACAAAATTTCAATGGAAGAATTAATAAGAAAAGTTGTATGATACTGTAAACCAGTTCTAAGCATTTATGAATTTTTCCTGCCAGCCATTTCTGCTTTAAGAAACATTTGGGATGAGCTAAAATTCATTAGTGTAATTCAATCATTTTGAGGCAGAAAGATTTCATGAATGTGGACAACTTGCAAAGTTCATAAAGATTTAAATTCTTATCAGTTTCTTGTCATGCAGTAAGTAATTTGTAATTTGAATAGATTTCTTAGAGCAATGAACTTCCAGATTACAGGTTGCTTGCTCATGACCCCATGGCAGACCCTGTTACAAAACCTGGAATGAAACACTTTATAACTCAGCAACACGTCAAAGGATGGGGGTGGGGGTGGGGGGGGGGGGTGCAAAATTAAGTCCATAAAATAGAGATTGGTGAGGAAGAGGGAGGAGGTCCTTCTTTTTAAGTTCCCTCCTCCATGTCAATTTCTCTTTCTCTCTTAAACCCTTAAACAAATGTCAAAAGAAAATGTAAAAATGAGTGGTGTGAGAGGGGGTGCTAATGTCTTCCTCTCCTTTCTCACTCTCCCCTTTCTTTCTTACTGATTTTGTTAACAATGCACTAAAGGAAGGGCAGCATGTGTCCTCCCTGGCCCTTTGTAGCTACACAACAAATATTAAATGTACCTTGTTGGATGTGGCCATGTCCAGCATCCCAATTGCTTTCCTAAGATAGTCATATAGTCCATACATGGGTAGAAAGTCTATATCACTGAGGAACATGTATGGCGTCTTCACTTGACTCATGGCTGTATTACGCAGGTAATTCACTGGGTAAAATTGCTGTGGAAGAAAAAATAATGAAGAAATTCAATTACTCTATTTACTTTTCTTGCAGTTTATAGGGACTATCACAATCTTACAAACAGTTGCCCCTAATAAGCATCATTAGGGATTAGCATCTATTAACATAAATAAGAAGACTTTAGTAATTAGATATTTTATAGGTTAGTTAGATAATTACTTGGTAAACATTTTGATTAATTTTGGCTGAATATGTTATCTATAAGAACTACGTTAAAAAATTTGAAACAAAAAAGCAAAATGAAGGGTAGAACTCTTTATGAATTAATGTCACATTTAAATTCTAATCAAAAGCAGAGGTTAATGAAAAATAGGTTTAAGCTTTGATTGATATGCAAATATAACATTTTAATTCTATGTTACTTTTATGCCTACTGTTAAAGGAAAGGTTGTTCCTGACAGCACAAAGGCTTGTCCGAGGTTTGCCTGACATAGCAATATGTAATGTATGCACACTGTATGCACATTGTAGATATGTGAAATTAAGTTCCCTGAAAGGGTTAAAAAGGAAAGCAAAAAAATACATACCCCATCTTTATAAACAACATGATATCCTATGTTTTTTCTTGCCATCAGGGTTTCTGAGCTGAGGGCGTAGCGGATAAACTGCTGGGCCTCTGCATCTGACATGTACAGAGCTAAACTTATGGGACCTAGAGTGGGGAAGAAAGATGAAGACGAGAAATCATTATAAATATTGACTTATATCATAATCAATTGATCATCTGAGAGGTGACATGTGACTAAACATTTATATCTCCCAATGCACAAATAATTATAAAATTGGGCTCTTGTTCAGCACTCATATCTGTCAGGCTTGACACTCCTGGCACTCCCGATTATTACCCTGGCTTTAGCATAGCTGCCATTACGGAGCTCTAGCATTTCAAGGAATTAATTCCCGGTATCGATTTACATAACCTGGGTCGAGTGTGGCAAACGTAGATCAATGTTTTTCCAAAAGACATTTGTGCCGCGGTGGGACTCGAATCACGAACCATTGTATCCACTCGACAACAACACCTCTAACAGTCATTAGAAAGTGCTAACGACTGGCAGTTTAATCGTCTATGTCTTCATGTACCTTTATCAATACACCCTCGAGATGTGTGGTATTTATTGATTTATCATTTATCAAGTGAGAAGGATCTTTGTGATTTAATATCGTACAGGTGCTGTGGTCCAGCAGAAACATCGTCGGAATGTGGATCAAATAGTTCATGATTCGGGTCCTGCCACAGCACTAATGTCCTTTCAGAAGACATTAACCTACATTTGCCACTCTCCACCCAGGTGTGAAATGGATAACGGTAGAAAGAGATTCCCTGAATGTTGTGAGCACCGAAAACAGTAGCCCAGCAGAGCGGGGGTAATATTGGAACGCCTTGCATGGTGAATACGTGGTCTATAAAAATACCCAATATTATTATGATAATTATTATAAACCTGTGATATGTATTGATAACGATGGCTTAAGGAGATCAAAATGGCAGTCAGACACAGACATTACCAAAAATGTGGTCTGTGTAGATGGATGGTCTTTCAAGCCAGGTAATCACTGTGTACGTCATAAAAATACTAATTCAGTTATTACACATACAGATAACACCTGAATATTGTAAATTTGATGTTGTTTTCATGTTTTTTTCGTAACTCAAGAATGAAAGGTGGACTTGTTGAATGAGGGCATTTGTTGAATATTTTTTAATGTAAGCTTTCATAATTCACATCCTTGAGAAACATAAATCGGGGTAAATCCATTCTCCACAAACTTCGAAAAATGACCAAATTTGGTGAGGGCATGAATGATTTAGTTGTTAACAATAGTCAAACCTTCTTTAGTGACCACCTGTCTACAAAGACCACATTTTGTGTTTCCCTTGAAATTGGTTTCTCATTCAAACATGTACTAAAGCAACCTGTACATAAAGACCTCCTGTCTGAAGAGACCACTTTTCCTGTATCCATTGGGTGGTCTTTTTTAGACAGGTTTCACTGTATATATACAGATGTAAACATGACTGCTACGAGTTTTGAATGATGACCTATGACCCATGACCAATGACCTTACCTTCCCAGTGTTTACATATGGCTTCCAGCATCCGCAGTCTGTCCATAGAGAGCTGTATATACTGCAATGAATGCTTACAGAAACGCTTATCTCGGGTTCAGAAATGTATTATACAGTACTAGTTTTGAATGATGACCTTTGACCTTACCTTCCCAGTGTTTACATATGGCTTCCAGCATCTGCAGTCTGTCCATAGAGAGCTGGGCAACGAGCGTCACATCAGTGTCCAAGAATTTCTGCATTGGATAAACAAGAAAGATGTACATAAACATCAAATTGAGAGCATATCTGGAATACACCAATACATACAATGTGGCATTGTATTAGAAAGGAATTGACTTTCAGAATTGCACACAAAAGTAACATTTCACAGCATGAAAATTAAGAATTCAGAAATTCTGGTTTTACAGGTTAAGGTTTACATGTCCACACACTATCAAAGGGCATTGCTACGCATGCAGCGAGAGAAATTTCAGTTCATTTACTTCAGTTCAATTCGTTTGGATTTATACTTACAGGTAGCTGGTAGTCTAGATAGTAGAGGTGTGTTCTGTGCATTAAAAGCTGCTCTCTTCTAAATTCATAACACTGGTCGTCTTCATCAAGACTGCTTAACTGTGATAACAAAAGAAACAAAAACATGTTATTTATTTATTTATTCATGGTAGCAGCTAATGGCTGAATTGGTAACATTTTACAAGCAAGTTTTAAAAATATTGCGTGATCTGTTGTCAGTTCGTTGTTAGTTCGTTGTCGGTTCGTTGTCAGTTTGATATCAGTTTGTTGTCAGTTTGTTATCAGTTTGTTGTTAGTTTGTTGTCAGTTTGTTGTTAGTTTGTTGTCAGTTTGTTGCCAGTTTGTTGTCAGTTTGTTGTCCGTTTGTTATCAGTTTGTTGTCAGTTTGTTGTCGGTTCGTTGTTAGTTCGTTGTCGGTTCGTTGTCAGTTTGATATCAGTTTGTTGTTAGTTTGTTGTCAGTTTGTTGCCAGTTTGTTGTCAGTTTGTTGTCAGTTTGTAGTCAGTTTGTTGTCCGTTTGTTATCAGTTTGTTGTCAGTTTGTTGTTAGTTTGTTGTTAGTTTGTTATCAGTTTGTTGTCAGTTTGTTGTCAGTGTTGTCAGTTTGTTGTCATTATTTTGTCAGTTTGTTTTCCGCTTCAGGTCAGTCTTGATGGTGTGACTGAGGAATAATCGTGCTCCAAAAACTAAACATACCTTTTCATGAAGAGTATTATTAGCTTTGCCGTCTGTGCAGCCGAAGAGCTCTCTGCGGAGGAGGTTGCCGTCGTACTCGAGGAAGGTCAGGTAGAGGTTGCGGAAGAACTCCACGTGCTTGTTCTTGACCCTCAGCTTCTTGGGCGAGTTCCAATGGATCGCCTTCAGGTCGGTGACCTCTTTATAGCACAGCTGAGCAAAAGAAAGGTCAAATGTCAAAGTTCAAAGTTTAAAGAAGAAGGTTCAAGGTTCAAGGTTCACTTTATTCAATACTTTCATTAAAAATATACAAAGGAAAACAAACATATAAAAGTTAAAATATAATACATTATCAATATATAACATTAGAATAACACAAGTGGAGAAGACATGATGAACAAGGGAAAAACATTTTAAACATGTACATTAACGAAAATATTTGGAGACCTTGAAAGAAGAAGTTTAGAGAAGAATGAAATAAGGAAATAAAGTGTAAAGAGATCTTGTGATATATGTGCAGACAGGCTTGGCCAATGTCAGAATCCGGGATAACAGTTGTCTTTCATGGAAGGAATTTATTTTTCTTTATTTTAGGGCTTTTTCTTAAGCCTCTGTTTCTTAGAGCAATTATGGTCCATTTTCATAAAATGAGGTCTTGGTAACATCTGACAGTGCTTCCACAACTCTACTGTATCTCTTGATTTCACATCACAAAGCATTCTAATTTGTCAAGGTGTGCTTGCCAACAGTCATCCAAGGGCCAAATGTCCCCAAAAATGGGCAAATGGCTCGTTGGAAGAGCAGTGGTTTCTTTATAAACGGGAGGTCCCGGGTTCGAAACTAAGCCAATGGCCTTTGGTAAGGCATCACACCTCATTATCAAGTCCTTTAGAGAGGACTTAAAGCCATCGGTCCCCTGGTTGTTTACTTACAAGCATTCATATACATGCTTTTTAAGTAGTCAGGCAAAACAATCATCATCAAACATCATACCCTAACAAAATTAGCAGCTTTCGCAGTAGATATAGACAGATAAGAAAAAAAGTAACGCTTACCTCACTCCTGGTGTTATCACTGAGCTGCACATTCCAAGCACAGGGAAGGGTATAGACCAGGTAAGGATGCTGCTTGATCACTGCATTGATAATGTCCTAAACAAGTAGATAATAATATAAAATGTTCATGTTAATCAGATTTATTTCAATATTCTTCAATTCAGTTTAAAATCTGAATTCGCTATGTGTATAGTGGTAATTAATTTTATTTATATATATGCATGAAGACAGCTAAACGATGTAATTTAAGGAAACGAAACAAGCCATAACCATACAAAAATCAATATTACAAATCATTATTATTTTAACTTTTCACAATATCGTTCTCCTACCTGATCAGCTAGTGCTAATGAGAAAAGACTCATCAATTCCTTCTCTGCCGTCAACAGCCACATCTCCATCCTTTACCCCCCTCTCCTCCCCTTCTGTCACGATGAAATACTTAAAAACTTTCTCTCCTGCTTTCCAATCTACTAATGCTGTAGAGAACTAACTCAATGACTCCTACTCCCCATCCTTCACCCCCCCCCCCCCTCCCTCCCCCAATGAAATCTTCAAAATCCCCATGTAATCCTACCTGATCTGCTAGTGCTGTTGAGAACTGACTCATTAATTCCTTCTCGGCCGTCAACAGCCACATCTGCATCCACTTGAGGTCACGCAGCTTCTGAAGGTCAAGCAAGATGACCCCCGTGTTGAACCCTCGACCCTGAAACAGACAAGAGTGAAGTGAGAGGTCATCTTAAAACAGTTTGTGAGATAAGCTTACCAATGTAGGCCTATTCTTACTTCAGAGGGGAACTAGAATCTCTAGGACTTGTGATTGTATAGCAGATTTAGCTTAACAATATAGGCCAGATTTGGTGCTTCTTTGAAAGAATACCTACAAATACAATGTTGATTCTCTACTAGGGCTTGGACTACTGTCTTCTTACTAATGCAGGCCAGAGCTTTTGTTTCTTCCCCATAGTTCCTAGAACCAACTGCTCTGGTTTTCTACCAGGGCTAGGTCTAGGGTCTTAGGACCTAGATCCTATACTTCTCTACGAGGGTACCTACAAATATTCTGTTCTGAAGTTAGGGCTAGGACTAAAGTTTTGCTTACCAATGCAGGCCAGGGCTTGTGTTTCTTCCAGAGAGTCCCAAGGTACCAATCACTCTGGTTCTCTACCAGGGCCAGAGTCTGCTTACTAGTCATTCTCTGGAACAGACCCCAGAGCTCAGCGATGTCACTGGCAAAGGTGATGTCTGTGTCTAGGACTATCGTCTAGGGAAAAGGGAAATAAGCAAAATTACTGACTACTCTGCCGATGGGACAAACTATCGTCGCAAAGGTGATCCCAGGGATACTATCTTCCTGTAGGCAAGGGAAGATAGTATAGCCCCCCTGAGCAGTTCTTGCAAGGAGAGTCCTAAACTTGTTTGTTGCTGTTCAGACAATGTTATACACGGACATATGAACATGTATCCAAAATATATCTCTGCACTAAAAAAAGAAATAACAATTGAAGTTACAAATCATTTACAAGATACGAAACAACAGATGTTTCCTTTTTTTTTTAACACAATGTATCAATGTTTATATGTACCATTACATCAGAGAAATCTGAGTACCTGGCAAAGAAAGAGACTAGATATCTAAGATAAATATCATTATTCTGATGTCATACTTTTTCCAAACACCTTTTCCATACGATAGAAGTTTTCTTTTTTTAGAACACAATGTATCAATGTTTATATGTACCCTTTCCTTATATCAGAGAAATCTAGCCACTTGGCAAAGAAAGAGACTAGATATCTAAGATATATCTCATTATCATTATTCTAATGTCATACCTTTTTTATACTTGAACAACAGAAGTTTTCTTTCTTTTTTTAGAACACAATGCATCTACGTTTATGTGTACCTTTATATCAAAGAAATCTGACTACCTCGCAAAGAGACTAGATATTATCATTATTCTGATGTCATATTTTTTCCAATTTCCATACACCTTTTCCATACAATAGAAGTTTTCTTTTTTTAGAACACAATGTATTAGTGTTTATATGTACCATAACATGAGAGAAATCTGGCTAGCTGAAAAAGAAAGAGACTAGATAGCTAAGATATATCTCCTATGTCATACCTTTTCCATGTTTGATGGTAATATTTCAATAAGAAGCAACTTCATTAACCCATACAGCCCTGAGTAGTGCTTGTTAGGGATCCACTCTACGTGACTCTGTATGGTAAAAACAAAACAAAACATAACAAAACATAACTAACCGAGAAATAGAGGTTGGTTGGTTAGTTCGTTTTACGCCACTGCTAAAAAAGCATGTGTACGCTTGTAAGTAAGAAACCCAGGGTTGGGCGGTAAATACCGGTGGCGGTAATTACCGGCGGTAAATACCGTCCGGTAAATAAGATGCGCGTCCGGTAAATATGTAAAAACCGGGAAATATGATTTTAATTCTCTATTTATTAAGAATTTTACTTGTTTTTAGCCTCACAACTGAAAATATTGTTCTGAAATAATTAGCAGCACAACACTCATAGTAGAAACCCACAAACAGATTTATAAAACCCTCAATGCATACATGTACACACCCAAACACATGGCATTTTGTTCATATGCTAATTAATGGGTATTCATGAATATGATAATTAGCAACTGGGAACCAAAACCTGCATACTAAGTTACTTTCAAAAGTTATTTTAATAAAATCAGTGAAAATTTGAACAAATCGGGCAAGGAATAAGGAAGTTAAAGCTTTTTGAAATGATTAGTCACTAGAGGGCGATATTCAATTTGATGACATCATTTGTGGACAACTCTCCATGCCTTTTGGACATCAAATTTCATGTTTTTCCTTCTTTCTTGTGATTGAGATAATGTACTCCCCTGAAAGCAAGGTACCTGTATAGCATGCAAAATGATATTCTGCTTCACATGTTATGAAGTCGGATCAAGAGCACAAATAAATACAAAGAAAAATACAGAGAATTAATGCCTTTCCAAAGCCTTTTCAAGCCTTATTCCCTGTATAGTAATTATAATCTCTTGTAATCAACTCCTTTTCAGGTATTTTGATCGAGAATTCTATGGAATGCACATTGTAGGTACATAAATAAAAAATTCCTAATGCAGTAAATTGTGCCATTCACGAATAAAAATGTTTTAATTGTAACCTAAAAAATTATGGTGCTGGGTGAATCATGCAAGAGTGTTTCTCTTGATTATAGTACAAACAGAGCAAAGTTCTCTCAGTAATTGATCAATTTCTGTCACATTACATGTACTGACCCCCCCCCCCCCCCCCCCCCCTGACTGCTGTCCATTGAATAATCAACTCTCACTTTCCCCTCCCCTACCCCATCAGACCTTTATCAAAAGAGGCCGAAATTTCTTAATCCTGCTAATGCAAATAAAAATCTTACCTTATAATTTTCTGCGAGGTAGAAGCTCACTTTGACTAAAGTGGTGTAAGGGGGGGAAAAGGGAAAAATTAGGAGAAAAATAATAATAATATAAACTGTAGTTTCCTTTATACAATTGGTTTTTCTGTTCATTCTTGCCTTTAATTTTAATAACTGCAAATCATGAAACTATGGAACATCCTGCTCAAAGCCATTTAAAGATGTTGCAGTACTAATGATCACTGTTTTAAAGATAAAGTTGAGTTCTGGTCATGCAATAGCATTGTGGAAGAAACTGTGTGGAATTGATCAGAAAAGGTTGATCATCTAGCATATAAGTATTGGTGTGTACTGCAAGGTTCTGGAATCATCAAAATGATAAGAAATTGGCTCAGTCTTGGTAAAGTTACAAGCACCGTACACAGAAAGATGTATATGGGGCTACACAACCATGTGGCATAAAAATCTGCCCCAATTTGTTTTTACATGCCATATTTAGAATATGAAAGCATTTGAAGAGCCATGCTTTTCAGGGAACATATTTATCTGATGTTCTTCCACACTTGCATAATAACAATTATAATGCCCATAAATTATTTTTCACATCTTCCCAGAACTCAGCCTTCTTTTTAAAGGTTGGTCAAAAGAATTAAGCGTTTTCTTTCTTTGTATACTAGTTTGGCAGAATGTCATCGTAGAAATGTCCCTTGAAAAGTGGTTCCTCATAAAGTGCCCTCATATTCAAAATAGGTAAAGCAACAGATAAAGGTTGTCTACTGGTATATATATTTATTGATTTTATTTATGCATGTTCACAATTTCACAATTCTTTGGAGTTAACATCATATGAAAAAGAATATAATATAACAAATCATTTTCAATTTTACAATCCATTTGAATTCACATGAAAAAAATAATATAACAATGTTTTATCAAAGACAATTTGCAACTATTATACAGTTTGAAGAATGAACACACAGAGATGATGAAACATAAGCATAGAGCTTGAATCGTTACAACAGCCTTCAAATATATAATACCGGTATATGACAAATAAAATTCCTAAAGGGTTGTGAACTATTTACACAATTTACAAAGAACAAATTGATTCATTTGGACCACACATTCATGTAGTCCCTTTCATGTAACATGTTCATTTAGCAACAAAAACAACAACAACAACAAAAGTGGGCGTGGCCTACCTCCAGGTACATCCCACGTCTTGAAGAGAGTGGAGAGGATCTGCTGGCCCATCTCATCGGAGATGAAGTGAAAATGAAGAGGGTTCTTCCGGTAGAAGAGGATAGATTTGATGAGGATGATGACATCACGACTAGCATTATGACCAGCACAAACTATCGATACGTGAATCCTCTGTCATGAGAAAAAAGGAGCAAAGAGTAAGCAGTGACGTTGAGGGACTCAATATGCTGTCAATTTAGGGATTCTGATGCAAAGCCTTAATATAAAGTTTAATCCTCTGTCATGATCATAAATTGAAGGTAAAGTGCATTATTCAAGGAGAAGAGGAAAGATTTGACGAGGATGATGACATCACGACTAGCATTATGACCAGCACAAACAATCGATACGTGAACCCTCTGTTATAAGAAAAAGTAAGCAGTGACGTTGAGGAACACATATGTTGCCAATTTAACGATTCTTATGTTCATCTTTATCATGGATTTGAATCCCTTCATGATAATTAATTCAATATGTTGCCAATTTAAAGATTCTAATGTTGATCTTTTTCATGGATTTGAATCCCATCATGATCTCTCGAGGCCGCCATCGATTTCAAGCTTACCGCTCATGATGGCGGTCTCCTGCATTTTCTGTAATTTATCTTCTTTTTTTTTCTTTTTTTATTTCATTGAAATTATATTTGTGTTTGTATGCATCTTATTCAATGTACTTAGAAATGTATAATCATGTAAAATGAAGAAATATTTGTTACTTTATGTATATGATTATGTTTCATTTTTAAAATGCAGAAATAAAAATAAATAAACAAACAAAATAAACAATAATTAATTCAATATGTTGCCAATTTAAAGATTCTAATGTTCATCTTTATTATGGATTTGAATCCCATCACGATAATTAATTGAAAGTGAAGCAGGTTGGCCTTTCTGATGCTGGTACTTAAAGACTATAAAGACCACCAAAGGGAGACAAGAAAAGCGGTCTTTACAGACAGGTGGCCTTTATGTTAAGGTTCCTTTAGTACATGTTTCTATGAGAAACCAGTTTGAAGGAAACAAAATATTTGGTCTTTGAAGACAGGTGGTTGCTAATCCAGGTTTGACTGTATTTTAAAATCCACAAAACCGTGAACTACTAAGCCCCACTGCACTACTTATAGCTACTTGCCCCCTCTATATAACAAATAATGCCCAATAGGTGGCAATTGGTCCCCCATGATCCTCTATTTCTTATCATTTTATGTTAATTGAGAGCTGATTTGATGAGATAACCACCTGTCCATTGACCTTGCAGGGTGGTCTAATCCCTCCTGTAAACTAGTACAGATTGGCTTTAAACCTACCTCACACTTTGGGATTGGATCTGCATTGACGCAATTGACCGGCAGAGATCGGTTCATCTCTAGAGGGCCAGAGTCGCCTGAAACATTGTTATTCTCGACCAAGACCTGCTGGTACGTCTCATACGTCTGCTGCAGTTGACTCTGGGAAATACTGGGGTAAAAGAAAGGAAAAATTTAATCTAAAAAATGCAAATCCTATTTACAGGGGTAAGGGTGGTCCACATGGGGATACAACATAAAACACAGAAAGGTGTTGAAGGCAATACAAAGTTGTGGTATGGGGTCAGGCGCATACGCAGGATTTTTTCAAGGGGGGTGTTTTAACATTTATAAATCGGGCCGAAAATTTCGCAACGACTCAGCCAGCCGCTGAATAAGCGGGGGGGGGGGGGGGGGGGGGGGGGGGGGTAAGAGGACTTTTTTCTTTTTTTTTTTTTGGTCTCGAAATTTGAAAATTTGACATTTTGCTCCGTTGGGGAGGGGGGGTAAGGTCAGCTTTTTTAGGTCAACCATGGGATTTTTTTTTTTTTTTTTTTTTTAATAAAAAAAAATTAAAAAAAATAAAATTCCAAAAGGGGGGGAGGGGGTTTAGAGAAATTTAGGGGGGGTTTACACACAAAAAATTACCAAAGGGGAGGGTTTAACCCCCCAAACCCCCCCCCCCCTTGTGTACGCGCCTGTATGGGGTCATGAATTTGGTTCAATGAACATATTGGAAGCATATATGCAATCCTACGATATTCACTGATCGTTGTCGCGGTTGAAATTGAGTCTAAAGTGATGAAATTGTGTATAAAAAACTCTTTATGTTGTATAGCTCCCTCTCAAGATTGATATTACTTTAGTTTCAAAACAATATTTCTTGACTAAAATCGACAGATTTTCTTTTCCTGTTTCAAAATTTTATATCAGAACTGCATATTCCGAGATTTTCATGATCGCAACTACCATTTTATAGCCGTACTGTAGGTGCTATTTGGAATTATTGGGCGCACCGATAAATTTAAAATTTTAATTTCTCTAAATCTTTAGAGTTTTAGAGCCCAATTTTGTCAAAGTTGCTTATTCTAACACTTCCTGTAGGTTTCACAATGGTAATTCAAATCTTAAATTTCATAATCCAATCCTGTTGAAATATTACCAAATCTTTGTATTACCTTAAAGTTGGAACTGACCAGTTTGAAAACAAGTGACAGGTTGATGTTCATTCTCTACCAATTGTTTCTGCAATATTGGTCGTTAAAGGTAAAGACCAGTATTGGAAACGCCCCAATTTCAAAAAATGAAATGGAAGCTCTCATTACCAATCGTGTGAAAGAATATGTTTTGACTATTACATGATGATAACAAATTTGCCGGGAAATCGCCTTCTAATTCATATATTTGGTAAATTTGTTTCTCTCATGGTCTGTGAGAGATATAGGGTAGTCCCATATACATCTTTCTGTGTATAGTGCTTGTAACTTTACGAAGAATGGGCCAAATTTCTTATCATCTTGATGATTCCAGAACCTTGCAGATGCTAGATGCTAGATGATCAACCTTTTCTGATCGATTCCACAACGTTTCTTTCACAATGCAATCGCATGACCATAACTGGTCTTTACCTTTAAAATTTGTTAGAAAAACTCAAATATTACTCTGATTGCACACACAGAATATCAAAGACTCCCAGAGATTCCAGAAATCCATCAACCAACCTGCAAAAATCCAATATTTGCTCCAATTACTCTTCTTCTTAAAGATGAAGTTGAGTTCTGGTCATGCGATTACATTGTGAAAGAAACGGTGTGGAATCGATTAGAAAAGGTCGATCATCTAGCATATAAGTATTTGTGTGTATTGCAAGGTTCTGGAATCATCAAAATGATAAGAAATTTGGCCAAGTCTTGGTAAAGTTACAAACACTGTACACAGAAAGATGTATATGGGACTACACGAACACGTGGCATAAAAATCCTACCCCAAATTTTTACGATGTTACATGACATATTTAGAATATGAAGGCATTTGAAGAGCCATGCTTTTCAGGGAACATGTTTGATCTGATGTTCTTCCACACTTGCATAATAACAATGATAACACTCAATAAATTATTTTTTACCTCTTCCCAGAACTCAACCTTCTCTTTAAGCACACAATTATTACCAGGCACACAATCACTTTAAACAAGTGTTTCATTGGGGTGTCAGCAAACATGTATGAAGGTTTTGTGAATAGCTGCCCATGCTTTCACAGCACTAGGGTCAAAATGACCAACCAGCATAAATACAATGTTTGTTGAGTCACTATACAAGCCCAGTCCACTGAAGGACGCAGGATCTAGCCTTGGTGTTGAAACCCACTTGAACCTAACGACAGAGGCTCAAATTACTAAGAATGATGGACTACTGGTACATTAATTTACCAATTTAGTGTAGTTACTAATAATAATAATAATTCAATATTTATATTGGGCACAACTCAGCCTACATAATGGCACTCTTGGCGCAGAGATCAACAAATCAAACACATTACAAGAATATGGTCATTAATCAAAATTCAACAAATTATATGAGTAATCATTAAAGAAAATTAAATTGCTGCCAATTTGCAGAAGAAAAGGTGATCAAATATTCCTGTCTCACAAGGTTTACCAGAGCTGCCTTAAATTACTAACAATGAAGGACTAACAATATATTAATTTCCCAAAAATATAGTTCCTAGAAATCAGTGAAAGAAATATACAACTGCTGCCAATTTGAGGAAGAAAGGGTGATCAAAAATTCCTGTCCCGCAAGATTAACCTAAGCTGCCTCAATAGACTACCAATGAAGGACTAACAATATATTAATTTCCCAAAATGTATTACCTACTAATTATAAAAGAAAATTACAACTGCTGCCAATTTGAGGGGAAAAGGGTAACCCAAAATCCCTGTACGACAAGGTTTACCAGAGCTGCCTTAAATTACTAACAAAGAAGGACTAACAATATATTAATTTCCCAAAAATGGAGTTCCTAGTAATCAGTGAAAGAAAATTTAATTGCTGTCAATTTGAAGAAGAAAGGGTGATCAAAAATTCCTGTCCCGCAAGATTTACCGGAGCTGCCTTAAATTAATAACAACGAAGGACTTCCAGGACATTAATTTAGCCCCTAATGTAGTTCCTAACGATCATTAAAAGAAAAAGGCAACTGCTGCCAATTTGAAGAAGAAAGGGCAATCAAAGACTACTGTCCTGCAATTTTTACCTGAGCTGCCTTAAAGGGAGTTTGTCATGACGAAACTATGTGTCTTTCCCGTGGCCCTACCCGGGGCCAATCGGGTATAATACGACTACGGACAAAGCGACCGCAGCATTCGCGTAGTGCAACATATGCGAAACTGAAGCGTGAGGAGAACTTCGGTCTGTTTCGCCAACGCTAGCGCGCACTGACCCAGTTTAGCGCGTACTGACCCAGTTAATCAAGTCCATTCGTTTACGTGCAGTTGTCCAAAAGAAGACGTAGACAGCGTTAACCAGTATTTGCCATGATACACTCCCTTTAATTGACTAACAATGAAGGACAACAGGTATATTAATTTTCTTTTTAATTGTAGTTCCTAGAAAAATACAGTTGTTGCCAATTTGAAGAAGAAGGGTTTACCTGAGCTGCCTGCGTAGCATCTGGTTCTCATGCTCCATCTCTTTGACCCTGTCTGCTAAGATGGCTTCTCGACTGTTGAACCCAAGCAGGTTCTTGCTCTCTCTTGATGCTTCTACAGATGCAAAAGGAGAGAAAGGACAACAATGATATTTGTATTAAAGCTTTAATACAACCTTTTTGTAAAAATAATGATCGTAGAAGAAGAAGGAGCAGGAGGAGGAGGAGGAGGAGGAGGAGGAGGAGGAGGAGGAGACGAAGAAGAAGAAGAAGAAGAAGGAGAAAAAGAAGAAACAGAAGAAGACGAAACAGAAGAATGATGAAGAAGAAGAGGAAGGAGAAGAAGGAGAAGAGGAAGGAGAAGAAGAAGAGGAAGGAGAAGGAGAAGAAGAAGAAGAAAAAGGAGAAGAAGAAAAAGAAGAAAAAGAAGAAACAGAAGAAGACGAAACAGAAGAATGACGAAGAAGAAGAAGAATTTACTGTTAAAACTATTGCACACATATCCTCTAAAGGATGCTCAAAATGTATTTTAAAATGTAAGTGTGAAAGATGAGGATAAATGATGCTAATTTGAAGAGGAAAAGCTGATTCATAAAAAATGTGAATTTCAATACATACCCAAAGCTGTGGTCAAAGTGAATTTTCATTCACGTAGGTTCATTCTTTCATTGCTTTAATTGTCTCTTAAACATATGAGTGCCAATTAGTGCCAATTTGCAGACGGGTAAAAAATAGAGACTCACCGCCGTGTTCTGAAGTGCTGTAGTAGAGGAGCACCAGGCACGGGACGAGCAAGAGAAGAATGGCCGCATAGACGACCTTACGGTGGAGACGAATAACGGCCATCTTCTTTCTCGTTATCTTCATCCCCTCCTTGTTCGTTCACGCTATCCTGCTCTCCTTAAAGGGGCGCATCAGCATTTTGAGGGCTATGACAAAAAATACAAAAAGAAAGTTTTGTTTAATGTTGAATGCACAATGAAAATGAAACAAATCTTTTCTATACCTTTTACGTACAAACACTTTTCCTTTTCATATTCTATTTTTTTAAAATAATTTTGTTGTGCTTTTGTCACTATTGTAGTACAAAACTGACAAATACACAACTGTGTACCGGACTCTGAGTAACCTAGTTCTTTTTGTTTTGCTATACTGACTGTTTGTACATACAAATGTACATAATATAATTTTGCTCTTTAAAAATAATTGGAAATAAGTTTTTGAATTAAATGACATCGTAAGATTGAAATAGTTTAAATGGCCATGGATATCAAGACTGGAAAACAAATGCTGAATAAAATTTTGATTACAAATTTGAATTTCAGCATTGAAATAGTAATAATAAAGAGTATTTGTAAACTGGCATATATTTTTCTGCAAAAAAGCTCAAGGCGCTTGAGAATGTACATGAAAAACACATTCTATCCTTAAATGAAAATTGCCATTAAGAGTACATGAACAATATAATTAAGATTTAAACAGAGTACATCCAAAAAGAAGTTGACATAAATATACACTAACAATATACACGAATAACATAAATTAAATGTAGAAATATTGAATTGAATATTGAATATTGAACAAATAGTAAAAAGAATTTTAATCATGATTAAACTTGTGGTGATCAACACACAATAATCAATTTTCACACAGACAAAGTTATACTATGACCTACCAGTAGAATGCTGATCTCTTTATTTGAACATTGTAAAGATCAACATATGTTTAAAACCATACGGTTAATAGCTTAGATATAATCTGTTGGAAGCCATAAGGATATAACCTTGTACATAGTACATGTATTGTGTTCGAGTGGAGACGTCGCCGGACTGTCGATCACAAGGTCCGCACTAATGTCCTTTGGTAAGACATTGATCTACATTTGCCACACTCCACCCAGGTGAAGTAAATGGGTACCTGGTAGGAATTTATTTCTTGAAATGCTAGACCGCCGTATGGCAGCAGTGCTAAAGCCAGGGTAATAATCGGGAGCGCCAGGAGGGTCAAATCTGACTGACATGAGCGCTATATACAAGAACCCACTATTATTATTATTATTAATACAGGGTTAACACAATTCTGGTTTTGAATAGACAATGTACTTATAATGCAATACTAAATCATCAGCAACAGTACAGCAAATCAGACATAGTTTGAAGACATATACCTATTCTGAAACCATATTCATTCATTGAACTCACACTGTCACTGCTTGGTAACTTGTATATATTTTAACTCTAGCCATGACTCTAACCTAGACCAAAAATCAGATCGAGTGCCAATCAAATGAAATCGGATATGAATTCCGATCAACGATCAATAAAAAAGATCAGAAAATGATCTGAAGAGAAAAAAAAATGCAGAAAATAAGTTTTGGGCTATCGAATACTTTAAAAACAATGCATAGCTGGGATAATTTTGTCATTTTGAGTCCTTGTAGAGTGTAGACCATGTTTGTTGATATCAAGTGCCTTTTCATGACTTTGATATTAATAATATTATTCTAAGAGAAGAGGCAAAACATGCGAGCTGCCATTTTGGAATATAATGTAGGCATTTTTTTTCTATCGTCATTTAAGTAATCTAACTTAAACATTTTCAGCATTTAACGGCATGAAATTTTTTGAAAGTTTTAAACATGACCTACAACAACTTCAAGTGAGAGAATTATCCAAGGTATGAGTGATTTAGGTATCATAGTGCTCAAAATTTCAAGTACAACAGTAACAAAAATATATATTTTTCAAATATAAAAAACTTTCTGCCGATACCGATGAAAGGTGCAAGGGTGTCGTACAATCTTTCAATCCGATCAAAGCCCTAACTTACAGGGTTAACTGACTCATGGATGGTATATCAAAATGCTTTATATCCAGGGAAAATGGTGCTATACAAATTACAACTATTAATATTAATAAATAAGAATCAGTCACTTTTATATCTTACCTGCAACACTTCCAGGCCAGTCTGTAGAACAATATGAATTACCCACAATCCCCCAGGTTAGTTCAACAGTATTGTCACATGATCAAATGTCTGGATGCCCTTGAAGCTTGGGTGAGTTTTGTTTACAGGGGGGAAGGGGAGGTGGTGTGAATTCTTGATTCTGATGATGTAGAATGGGTATCTCTATTTACCTGTGGTATAAAAGAAGAATATATGAAATAAAAAGATGGAGAAGAAGAGAAAGAAGGGGAGAGGGATAGGGATAGAAGAGGGAGAGAGAGATGGGAGAGGGAGAGAGAGAATGAGAGATGGAAGAGAGATACAGAGGAAGAAGATAGAAATTGGGAAGGAGAGAAAGAAGGGAGAAAGATGCAGATGAATAAGAGACATGGGGATAGAGAGAAGGAATGGGAGAGGGATATACCGAGGAAGAAGAGATAGATGGGTAAGGAGAGAAAGAAATGAAGAGGGTTACAGAATAAAATAGTAATTGTTAAGGAAAGAAAGAAGGGGAGAGGAATACAGAGAAAGAAGAGAGAATGATGGAGAGGAAGAGAAAGAAGTGTAGAGGGGATAAGGAAGAGTAAGAGAAAGATAGGGAAGGAGAGAGGGATACAGAGGAAGAGAGAGAGATGATTAAGGAAAGAAAGGAGAGAGAATGATGGAGAAGAAGAGAGAGATGGGTAGTTCAAGTTCAAGTTCAAGTTAATTTTATTTCCATTTCTCGTATAAAAATACATTTAACAATACATTATACATAAATATAAATAATACAAAGAATATGGAGGAGCCAGCAGAGGCAATTGGCCTTTCAAAGGCTGGGCTCCAGTGTCCTCAGATAATAATACAAAGTACAGAGAAAAAAAACAAAAAAAAACAATGGGTAGTAAATAAATAAACAAATGAGTACAGGCTAATTAAATTAAACATACGACAGGAATTCCTTCATTAAATAGTTCTTGTATTTACGTTTAAGGTAAGGAAAGAAATTTATGGGTAAGGAAAGAAAGGTGAGATAATGATGGAGAAGAAGAGAGAGATGGGTACATTAAGTAAAGAAAGGAATGGAAAGGAAGTACACAATAGTTTTTTTAATATTATTTCAATGGGTTGTTGGCAAACATGTACTTATGGAGTTATGATGGTTTTGTAAATCGCTGCACTGATTGCTTAACGGTAATCAAAACCTACACTCTGTACACAAGCTTTCATAGAAGTCGGGTCAAAACAACCCACCAGCAAAAATACAATGTTTGCTGAAATCGCTATTCTTCTTCTCAGTCAGACTGCAGTGCATATGGTAATGAGACTTATAGTGAAGATTGATTCAGCAGCTTGTTTTTGACTTTCACTAATTTGCATGCGCTGAACCAAGCGTGATTTGCAGGGTGATTTTGAAGCGCTGCGCTTTGGTGACGATCGATCTAGTGGTGGACGATTTGTTATTTAAAGCTAAAGATCAGTTATGGTCATGCGATTGCATTGTGAAAGAAACATTGTGAAATCGGTCAGAAAAGGTTGATCATCTAGCATAGATGTACCTCAACTCCTCAAGGTTCTGGAATCATCAAAATGATAAGAAATTTGGCCAAGTCTTCATAAAGTTAGAATCACTGTACACAGAAAGATGTATATGGGACTACACACACGTGCGCGACACGTGCATTTGTATCTCTCAACAGGCAAGAGATACACTAATTTACCAAATATATCAATTAGTAGGCGGTTTCCCGTCAACATTTTTATCATCATGTATTATTCAAAACATATTCTTTCACATGATTGGTAAAAAGAGCTTCCATTTCATTTTTTGAAATTGGGGCGTTTCCAATACTGGTCTTTACCTTTAACCAAGTTATCTTGGAGATGCAAGCACTTGCCTGCTTGCCGCTAGCACTGTGACCAACAAATGCACACACCAAATATATAGTGGCACTTTCCCAGGATTTCCGATAGATTTCCGATTATAATTTTCAAAATATTTGTTTCCAACTTCAGTCTGTTCAGTGACAGTGACGCACAACGCTGGTGACCGGTGTCGATTGTTATTGCATTTTTACTGCTAAAATTCAATTTTTTAATGCCAATTTTAAGTGAATTGTGGGAATTGATGAGTTTTTTAATTGTGGTGTTTAATATTTTGGGGAATCAATAGACGATGTCTTATCTTTTTAATCTTTTTGGAGTTGATCATGTCGCACTCTTCTTTTAAAATTGAAACAAAGGTCAATGGCATTGTTTCCAACACATTTCTCAACGTGCGGGACCACAATTTTCAATAGCAAGTACTTTGTACACAAAGAAAACACTCCACAAAATAACCCAGGATTGTATCAATAATAAATAATTTCAAATAACAACGCAATCATTTCGAATCATAGTGTTTTTTACTTACCTATCAATCGCCTTGACCGGTGTTCTCGTGGCTAAAAATGAGTTTCTACAGCTTCAATCACTGCTTTGTGTACAAATCGAGTGGGACACAAATCGCTTTTTCACTTTTCGTGATGACGCCATCTACCGTTGGATATGCACATTGAATTAACAACGTAAGCTAGCGTGAGTCATATGGCTTGAGTTCATCTTCTCACGGATTTCTCCTCCCAGATCTTCCTCCAAGCTCCTCCTCGATCCTCTCCTTAACCCCCCCCCCCCAACCTCGTCTTCATTTCACTCCTCCGCCTCCTTCTTTATTCTTCTTCATCACCATCTTCATCCTTCCTTTTCTCCCTTTTTCTTCTTCTTCTTCCTTTTACTTCTTCGGCCCGCCACCTTCTCTTCTTCTAATTCTTTTTCATTTTAATTCTTCTTTTTCTTATACTAACAATACCCTGAACGAAAACGAAATTTATAGAGTTTCTTTAATCTACCCTTCGTCGGGATCGCCCTCGAACGTACACAAGAATTCCAAATCGGATCCAGTATTATGACATTATTGGCTGTTTTGAGATTGTTCAATTAAAGCACATTTTAAAAAAAGGTTTGGGGTATGGCATTTACATTTGGACGAAACACGCCATCGCTGGAATTTCTGGAAAATTGAATTGATAGATGAATATGGAAACTTGATGGTGCGAGTGCCGATTCAAAGTTTGGACGAGTTCTGATGGCCGGTAGGCCTACATATAGGCATAGGTGGCCCTCCCGGGGGGGGGGGGGCAGAGGGCGCACAGTGCCCCCCCCCCCCACTTTTTCAAGCACCCGAAAAATGCCCCTTTTTACATAGGAAAAATTCCCCTTTAACTTTGTAAGAAGTTCCCCTTTTTACATAGGAATGGTGCCCCTTTTAATTGTAAAAGTGCCCCTTCCCCCTTTTCACCTCTGATAAGTGCCCTTTCATTTTCACACGTGCCCCCTTTCTTTCGACAAGTTCCCATTTCTTTTTGCAAAATGTGTCCATTTTCCATTCTCATAAGTGCCCTTCTAAATTTCTATAGTAAGTGCCCCTTTTAAGTTAAGAGAAGTTCCCCTTTTCACTTTTGATAAGTGCCCCCTTCACCTTTGATAATTGCCCCATTTAAATGTGAGCGGTGCCTCTTTTACTGTGACAAGGGCTCCTTTTTCCTTTGTAAGAATTGCCCCTTCCCCTTTTAAATAACTACCCCCATTCTAACTCGGAGAAGCTCACCTTATGTGCCCCTTTACCTTTCTAATAAGTACCCCGTTTCCTAATAAAAAGTGCCCTTTTAAAAAAGAGCCCCTTCTCATAAATTCCCCTTTTCATCTCTGGTAAATGACCCTTTTCAGGTATGAGAAGTTACTCCTAACTTTTCATTCACATAAGTGTCCCTTTTTCATTCACATAAGTGCCCATTTTCATATCTGGACGGTGCTCAATTTCAGGTGCGATAAGCGCTTTTTTCACCTCTGATAATTTCCCTTTTAACAATGATACATGCCCCTTATCCTTTCTAATACGGAACCTATCACCTTTTCATGAATGCCCTTTTCACCTCTTATAAATGCCACTATCAAAATCTGATTGGGGCCCCTTTTCCGTCGACAAATGCCCATTTGCTATTCTCATGACTGACTTCTTTCATCCCTCGTGAGTGCCTCTTTTTGAAGGTGTAAGATTAAGTGCCCCATTTTCACCTCTTATAATTACTCTTTATACTTTGTCACATGCTCCTTTTTTTTCTGATAAGTGTCCCCTTTTCCTTTCATCATTAAACGTGCCCCCAAAGCCGGCTCGCTTCGCTCGCTCGCATGTATAAATGATATAATTATTTACTCATTATCAAAGGGCATTTCAGTCTTCTGTTATGAGAATGTGCTTATAACCCCACCAGGATTGTTTTTTCCTCTTTATAAGATGTAATTTTTCGCACTGCGACCTCACAAATCTTAAACTTTTTCCTCGCTCGCTTCGCTCGCTCGCAAATGAATTTTCAGACCATCACACACAGCTGCAAATTATGATGCTTAAGCAATATCTTGTATGATGCATAAAGTGAAACAAATATTGATATCATCCCTGATAATGTAATTACAGTGTAGGGGTATATACCAATGTCTATAAACATGGTATATTTTCGCTTTGAGATTTCCCTTTGTACTGTAGGTGCCCTTTTTTTTCTCCAGAAAGTGCCCTTTTTTCTTGGTGCCCCCCCCCCCCCACTTTGAAAGTCGCTCGGCCGCCCCTGCATATAGGCCTCTATAATAAATTACAGGCCATATCCCATTTTATTAAAATAATTTTAAAGCCCGTCATTAGGCTACTAGGCCAGGAGGGACCAAACGTGCACTGACAGGGGGCTATCTCGATATCAACTCAGCTCTCAATTAACATAGAAAAGAGGATCATGGGGGACCTACGACAACCAGCCTCTAGGACACTATCCTAGGGGGTAGTTGTCCGGGTGGTAGCTGCCCGAGTGGTATTTGTCCGGGGGGGGGGGGGGTAATTTTCTTAGGGAGTAGTTGTCCGGGGCCAGTTGTCCTGGGGGATCGAGTTGCCTAGGGGGTATAGTTGACTGAGGATGGTTCTGGGGGGTTGGATGTCCAGGGTCGGTGTCCGGATACGGTCAAATAGATCAATCTCTTATACAGTCAAACCTTTTCACAGCGACCGCCCAAAGGAAACACAAAAAATGGTCTTTGTAGACAGGTTCCTTTAGTACAATGTTTCAACATGAGAAACCATTTTCAAGGGAAACATGTAGACATGACTTGTGGTCAATAAGGTAGGTTTGACTGTATATGTATTTTTCTGATATTGATGAGTTAGCATGAGGAATTTGTCAAGAGCAACTTATATGAAAGAAATAATTTTTTGACAGAGTAAAAACAAAAAGTAATCCTCCTTGGCGGGGAATCGAACCCCGGTCTTCCGCGTGACAGGCGGAGATACTTACCACTATACTACCAAGGAATTGGATAACAACGTGAAACTTTTTAGATTTATATCGTTAAATTTACAGTTCACATTCGCTATATTTGAATAAATATTTATAATGCCAAGCAAATTATTATCAAAACTCGAATTATTATTAGACTAATCTATTAAATCCAGAAAGATTGCTATTCATTTTGATCAATAAAATCGTTGAAAAAGCGAACAAATAAGAACCATCTCCTACGAACTATAATTACAGGCCCCATATATTGATTCTTATGTCGGATATAAACGTAGCGCACCGTGTCACGTACGTTCGTTCATATGCGTACATGTATTGTCCGTATTCCGCTGACATGTCGTCGTACTTTCGTGGACATCCATGATTACAAACGCGTATTTCACACGTTTCAATGGGATTTCCAAGGATTTAGACATATGTCTATATGGGTTTTGACGAACGCCACGTAGACTTTCTTTATTCTTCATATTAATGGGGAGTTTGGGTTTCCAGACACTTAATAAGTTAATTGCCTCCGAATTTAATGGAAAATATTCATCAAGTCTAGTACAGCACAAACCATGATTAATATTTGTCTCCTGTAACTGTCCAACTTAAGTCTGAGAAGATTTATTGAATATTACTTGTAAACTTCTTCAAATTGCCATTTTATATCCAACTGTCAAGATACAAAAGTTATATCAACGAAATATATAATTGGCCCAATACTTTTTATCAGAATCTAATTAGTTAGTATAGAGTCTAATTTATTATTTCTATATGAATGTTTTTCCCATTTTCACGTACTTTAGCTGTCTGTCTCTGTCTCTAGCTATCTCTAGCTTTAATTCAGTCCCAGCTAAATACAAAAAGCTTGATCTCTCTCTCTCTCTCTCTCTCTCAGGCTTTCTCTCTCTCTCTCTCTCTCTCTCTCTCTCTCTCTCTCTCTCTCCCTCTCTCTCTCTAAATATCTCTGCTTAGTTATCCTCGATCTCCCATTGATATTCGCAAAATAGCAGGAAAAAGTGCACCAAGAACAAGCTCAACTTACTCTTGCATGTATGTCATTTTATTACGGGGAAAACATGGTTCAAGGAATTAGCTAAAGTCATTTGAAATAAAGCGAATAAATCGAACATAGTCTAACATATAAAATTGTCACCAATAACAGGAAAAACATCAACATAATAATGACAGCTGTTAGGGGTTAACAGATAAGTTTTGGTTGGTTAGTATTGCTACAAGTAGACACCAAAATAAACTCTGTACAAGCGCATGATGACATCATATTGAACAAAGCTATGTGACCTATGTAAAAGAACAACAAATATGAGGAAAATACACAAAATTGGTTCCTAAATTCAGACAACAGTAAAAAATAAATGGCGGCTCACAATATTCCATGTAAATTGAAAAATTGCCCTTGATTATTTGAAATGTAAAATATTTTATGTTGCAAAAACAAATCAATTCAACAAGATTAGATGTCCATATCATACATTTAATCTAAAATTAAGTGCACTAATAACTCAGTAACGATTCATGAGTGAAAATTGCCGTTGATACATGCTGCGTTCACAATTACAGTTACGGTCAAGGCTTGAGCCCATGTTACCTGAGGTTCAATTTTGATACATGATGTACTCAATAGCTATAGAGCCCTGTTCATATTATGCTTTTAAATTGGTTAAGTTCTAAATGAGCTTGCATGATGAATGCATGCACAATATACATGTAGACAGAGCAGTGTTCAAACTGTCCTTTATATCAGTCAAGATTGCAACTAATCTAAATTAATGCATGCACAATATAGACAGAGCACTGTTCACATTCTCCGTTAAATCAGTTTAGTTTTAAACGTAGCTTGATTTATGCGTGCAACATATAGACAGAGCATTATTCACATTTTCTATCCATAAAATCAGTTTAGTTTTAGTCTTTAATGCATGTTTGATACAGACATATTCACACTTGACAATTAAATCAGTTAAGCATTAATCTTTGCTTGATTGGTGCATGCATAATTACGACAGAGACCTATTCACATTGAAATTATTAGCTGCATTATCAAGGAAACTACCTTGCAGTGTGAACAACAAAACTTCACAGCCATCATTTGCCTGAAAAATGTTTAAAAGCACATTGAAATATTCATCAAGCGTCTAAATTTTCAGCTCAAAACGCGACGAAAAGACAGTAAAATGCTGTTAAGCAAGCCTAATATAATTACATGAAACCAGGCTAAAAAATATCATGTGAAAGGTCTATGTTACATAGGAAGTGCTTATCATGTTCAAATGCTTATCGTATTCAGATGCTTGCTCGGATGAAAAGAGAAGGTCGAGTTCTGAGTTAAAGTGACAAATAATTTGCGAGCTTTCTATCTTTTGAGTTCTTATTCCAATATCAAATCACATGATAAAAGCAATGCCACATGAAAAGGATTGGTCTTTAAATGCCCTCACATTCCCAAAACAAGAAAACAGATCAAACATTTCAGCCAATTTATTAATGCAACATGTATGTGTGGGCCCACATGACCATTTCTGTGTGCAGTCTTTATCACTGTATGTGATTGTCTGAACAGATTCAAGTCAAATTGTTATCACTTTGAAGATTCCAAAACCTTGCTCTATACAATTTTACTACATAATCAACCCTTACGAAGATGTTACAGATTATTTCACAGCGCAAACACATGACCAGAACTCCACTTTATTGTCATAAATGCCACGATAGTATAACATAAATCCATAAATCGTTGCTGCACCACTTAAACAAAGCTCCTTTTTCCCAGATAATGCCATAATCAAATTGTTCCACAATTACATCATCAAAATGATTTAAGTTATGATACATCCAATGAATTTCAAAAAAAGAACCTTCGGATAAAAAGAAGTTTTAAATAACTCGATAGAAACGGCACAAACAAGATAAACAAAGACTCTTTGATACAGGGTGGTAGGCGTTTTTCATTGTTGAATTCATTCATTCACGTATACATAATCATTTGAAGAAATGCATAAGCCTCTGGACTGAGATAAACAAAAGATTGTGTATCACATTATGAGTAAACAAACACAGTGTTCATATCTTTGATGTAATGTACAAAGTGAAATACATCAACAATACTTTTCCAATACCAGCACATGTCTAATGATGCATGTACACGATAAAGGGCATTCATTTATATGATGATAAAAAGCAAGGGCACGTTAAAAGAAGAGTTATGGGTGATTATTTGTATACATAAAGAACGTCAAAAGTAAGTCATAGTTGTCTACGGCTCGAAGCAATGTACATTTGTATATCGCTTTTAAAAGTTGTTGATAAGCCTTCATGTGTAACAAGACTGTACAATTTACTACATGGAAAATTAAACTACTCCAGCCTACAAATATGTTTGCTTTTATATGCACATGAATTTCTTAAGTTTGGTACATGAAGTTCTTAAGTTCTTGATTAAGACTGACCATAAAATACAGTTAAGTCACTGGTACCATTCAAACTCAAATAAGCGTTCAGAACCTACATGTAGGTGAATTTAGAGACATTGTGAGCAAGAGAGAAAATAATGCCATTTTGTGTTTCATCGTTGCTGTTCTCTCACTTTCATTTGATTTCATACTATCCTTACACCTCAAATATTGCCTCCCTTACTTACCAATCCTGTCACATCAATTTACATGTACAATTTTCTTTATCACAGCATTTATAACGAAAGAAGTTGGAATATATTACTTGTTTAAAAAGAAATCAAATGTACCATTTCAGAATGGGAAATTTTATAAAAATCTGCAAACATGAAGAGCATAATCTACTAAAATGTATTTCTTTATTTTTTTTCTGCATTATTACTACTATTAATCGTAATCACAAATTTTGACAACACACATAAATTGATCAAAGACACTTGAATCTAGTGACTTGGGTTGTTTGCCACAACGTGTTAGTATCATAATTCCATGTAATTTATTCAACTTGTAAATGTTTGAATCACCACAGAAACATGTAACAGCTGACTTTGTTAACCCTTTGCAAATGTTACATACTTTATTTAATAAAGACCCACAGAGACATGTAATACAAGAAACGATTCGTATTGAAAGGCTTAGACTAACCAGGTGAGACAACTTCTTGAAATTTATTTCCTATGGCTACATCTACTACTAAATGCTTCAAGTTTCAATATTTTACAGTTTACAACTTTTACACATGCATGTTACAATAACTTTGTGTTCTCATAATCTCCAAACATAGCACATACTAAGCATCAGTTTATATCAACGCAACACAGTTCCTCATTTTCAATACTAATAAAAACAAATTTGACTCAGAGTCTCTTGATTTATTTTTTACTTATTCAATTCACATTAAAAAAAGAAACACACCAAAACCATGATTATTATAGCAGTCCTCACTTACCGTACACAAAGCATTCCTGCCTACGCTACCTCAGACACTACGCTTGTACTACACAGAAATCATAAAAAGTTCCATTGAAACGCAGTGATGTTACCGAAAATGACCGTACCGTTACTCATACAATACCGGGTTAGTACAAATAAACACTTTACTACCGAGTATATATACTTCCAACGTACGCAACATCAGTGAAACGAAGATTACTCTTAATGCACTGTTACTAGCTTTTTTTTTCTCCATCCAATGTCTGTGTGCAATTTCCGGAGAGACTAATTTGCGCATACGGATGTGTCTTCAAGATTGTGGATGGGGACTCCGGGTGGTTGTTCGAAATGTAGCGACCACATGTGATGAAGCGGCATGCCGTGTTGCCACGACGATCAGTCGTCTACCTCCTCGTCTGAGTCCGAGTCTTCTTCAGCGGTAGCTAGCCATGTCAGCCACTGGTTCACCTGTAGGACATAAAGACAAAGAAAGTGGAATTATTCATGAACGTGGTATTTTCCGGTTGGTTTTATCACCCTGTGACCTTTGACATCTAACCTCTTCCACCCAAAGTATAAAATACGTTCAATCTTTGTCAAGTTATCGTGGTAACAAAAAGTTGGACGGACGGAAAGACGGATGGACAACCCAACACATTATTCCCCCCTCGAGCATCAACATCCGCCTGACACTGAAAAAATGCGTTTCTGATTTTTATTGCAAAATCGGCATCTTCTGGGAATCTTAAAACTGACAGTAAGTGTTAGTCTGCCAGTATACGTCTGAGGAATGTGTCTATTCCATGCCATCAAAACCGTCAAAGGTGAATACCTTTTGATTCCTGGTCATCATTAACAAGAGGTGTCTTGGTTAAGTTGTGGACAAGGTAGTTTCACGGTTCAAGTTCTACCGCAGTACCAATGTCCTTTGGCAAGACATTAATCTACATTTGCCACTCTCCACACAGGTGAAGTAAATGGGTACCCGGTAGAAAAGAATTCCTTGAATGCTTTAGGGCCTTATTCATATGGTACCTGCGCTATATAAATGGACCTATCATTATTATCATTATTATTAATAATCTGTCAAATGACAGGTTTATTGACCACTATAAATTGCTATAAAAGAAGGTCTCTCCAAGTGCTAAGACCTTGAGCCAAAGTCCTGGTACTAACCTGAAACAAGGCTTGTCCTTTGCCGGGGAACTCATCGGTAATATCTTCTTTCCACTTGATAAAGGCCTCCTCTTCGATCGCTTCAAGGTTATAGAGATTCACAAAGAATCGCAGTAGCATTCCTATAAAAAATGAACAAGTAAAACATCACAGATCAAATAGGAAATCATTTGTATTGTCAATTATTCTGTGGATAGAGGCCACTTCTTCGATCGCTTCAAAGGTTATAGAGATTCACAAAGATACTACCAAATATGTACAAGTATATTTAAACATCAATAATAATTAGGGACTTGGTCAAGAATGTTTATTTTACAAAATGGATGATTAATATACAACCAGAAACCAACTCAAAAGGAACCAGAGATAGAAGTACAGTCAAACTTGCTGTAATGACCACATGTCTACAAAGACCACTTTTTTTTTCTCCCTTGAAAATTGTTTCTCATTGAAACTTGTACTAAAGGAACCTGTCTACAAAGACCACCTTTTTTGTTTCCCTTGAAAATGGTTTCTCATTGAAACATGTACTAAAGGAACCTGTCTACAAAGACCACTTTTTGTGTTTCCCTTGGGAGGTCCCTATAGACAGGTTTGACTGTAGATGGGAAGCCTTGGTCACCAATGTCCAGGAAGAGACAAGGCACCTAGCAAGCTAGCAAGGGAAGAGGAGACAAGTTGCATATCAGTCTTACCCTTGGGGAAGCTGAGGTTATAGCACTGGGTCTGTAGGGCATATAGGGCGCCGAGCTGCAGGTCTATGCTCACGTGGACAAACTTCTGGAGCACCGGAGCGAACCTCTCCAGGAGGGCCGTCTCCTTCTCTTGAAGGGACTTGTCAGGGAGTACGGCTGGATCCGCACCCTCAGGCAGGCTGGTCTCCGCGACGATGAACTTGATCACACTGAAAAGCAGAAATGTGTAAAATGTTATGATGATATCATGAAGTATCTTTATTGGGAAGGTCTTGTATATGTTATCCAATGGTATACAAACAATTGAGAATTATCCTATTTGTTTGGATTTTAATATTTAAAATTTGAAATTGAATTTGTATACTCTAGACTTTTTTTTAATTCAGCAGAAAAGGATTGTTTTTTACGGGCTCTTCATGTTATTTGTGGAGTCTGTGTACAGCATTAATTTTGTGAGTAATTTTGAGACAAGGTCTGCAATATTTAAACATTGGGGATGTTTGGAAGACATGAAATTTGCTATAAACAAATGTATGGAGTGCTGTGAAATGCTCCGAATAAGGATTCTTGATATTGTTTTTTTCACATAGGAGATGCTAAAATCTGGGTTATCTCACTGGTACATATAGATAGCATGGCACAAATCGAAATGATTATAGATGAAAAGAAAAAAGATTGACACTGATCTAGTAGTGAGAGCATTTACAAAACCCTGTCTAATGGGGCATTGCAAGAAAGTTGGAATCAATTGCAAATCCCCAAAATCAAGCATAAGTCTTGCAAATTTGCAATTGAGTGCAACTCAACTTTCTTAATAAGAGAGAGAGAGAGGGGGAGATTACAAATGAAATTGTTAAAACTTTAATCCTAACAAAATCCTAGGAAATTTAGGAGACCTGTGGGGCCTTGCAAGAAAGTGGGGCGTTGCAAGAAAGTGGGGCGTTGCAAGAAAGTCGGGTTGCAATCAATTGCAAATATCACTTGCAAATTTTGCAACTTTCTTCCAATCCAATCCAATCCAATCCAAAAAATATTTGATATAGCGCCTTTTCCTTGCAGTTACAAAGTGCTGCACACACGCTCCACAATGTTTGGGCCACTTAAAAACAAAAGTTAGACACTTCTCACGCCCCATAAGAGTCTTTTTGGTCAATCTGAAACATAATTTCTCATCATAGAAGCACTCTTGAAACCAAAGGATTGAAACTCACCTGGCAGTAAGGGCATTAATGAAGCCCTTATCCTTGTGGATTGTTACGGACACATTCTCTTTGATCCACTTATAGAGGGCACTAGGGTTGCTGTCGCTCTGGAGCTGCTTCGTCACGTCGGCTTGCATACGCAGCAAGGGGAACAGGAAGCTTAGGCTCTGGGAGAGGAAACAAAAGAATGGCTACAATGAATAACTGGTAGATTTTCAGGGCTCACAGGTTAGTACGTTGATGGATGTGTCACAAACCTAACTCCTAAGAGAATATATCCGATGAATTTACAACTTGATATAAATGAAAAACAACAAGGGTCAAATTTGCCGAAGTTACAGTGACGACATAATATGTGTTCCCAATCGGTTCACCTTTATAACTGGGGCAATGAGCCGTGCTTAATTAATCCAAAGTCATTGTGAATATGCGTACTCCACATAAGATGATGTCATCAAGTCGAAAGGAAATTTTTAGGTGGACAACTTCAGATTTTCAAAGCTTTAGATTTTGAGTTTTCAGAGAACCGATACTCCTCTGACAGACATTAAAATGGCATATAATTGATATTCTTGTAATCTATGGCTTACAAGCTTTCCGTTGATAAATAATTTATCTATTTCATTTTTCACTTCGGATAGGGTCTTTAACAAGTGGGGGGAAAGAGCATTTGCATCAGCAGCTCCTTCTTAGTGGAATAAGTTACCTTTCTCTATTCAGACGGCCAACAGTCTCTCTACTTTCAAAACTAGGCTTAAAACTCACCTGATGCTCAATGCATATGTTTCAATTTCAATGTTCTTTTTATATATAAGCGAATAATCACACTGTGCCACATTGTATGAACCACGGCACCATTAAGTTGTGTGATCTAATGTAAGTTAACATTTAATATCCCTTTAATCTTAAGTATGTTGAATACTAATTTAAATTATTTGTATGCGCCTTGAGCATCTCTATAGATGGATATGTTGCACTCTATAAATATTGTTATCATTATTATTTATGAATATCTGGGAATATTAGAGCTGTTGGTTACCTTTCCTTCCAGGATCTCCATCATCCTCTCCTTGTTCCTATCGCTCTCTGGCAGCATCTTGAGCATAGCCACCTTGCTCTCGTTGAAGAGCGCCACCAAGCCGTCCTTGGACTTGGCCTTGGCGATGCGCTGCAGGATCAGCAGGAAGAGAGGGTAGAAGGCCCCGTTTTCCAGGGGGTCGGCGATGTCCGCAAGGCTGACCACCTCATCGGTGACCGCCCTGGCGGCCAGGCCGGCGGTGTGGGACTTGATGAGCGGCACTTCCGATTCTAGCTCCTTGGAACTCTCAAGGAATGAGGTGAAGGCCTGTTTGGGATAAATGAACATTTGCATCAACCAAACTGAGCAGCCATTCTGATTCAAATTTGCAACACTGTTTTTTTCATCTACTGTTACACTTACATGCTAAAATAGTAATGTTAAAGAGTACGCAAGGAAAGAGCAAGGAAAGAGACTACAATAATAACATAAATTTTGGCTAAATTGTATTTTTTTCATTGATGCTCCGATTTAAAGATTTTTATTTCTCACTTATCCTTTTGAAATTCTTTGGTTTATCTACTAAAATGCAATTGATTCAAATAAATCACCACTTGATATCAATCGCAGCTCTGTACTAGAGAGATAGAAGTTTGTCAGTTTGAGACTGATTGGAGGACTTGCGATAAATCCAGATCAACTGCAACTCATGAAAAGGGGGATGTTTCACAAAGGCTAAGATCGACTTAAGTTGGACGTCACCTATGGCAGGCCATTCATGCCACCGGTTGCTCTCACCATGTCACAAATCTACATAATTTACATTTTTTGATAGTTCATTGCTGGAATTTTTTTTTTTTACATACATTGTAACTCAAGTTTATGTCCCATGAGAGACCAATGCCAGGAATGGTGAGAGCAACCACTGGCATGAATGGCCTGCCATAGTTCACATCAAACTTAAGACTATCTTAGCCTTTGAGAAACACCCCCCAGGTATTTTAATTGTCATCACTTTCATCACAAAAAAATGTTTGAAGCTCTCCTACTCACATCCATGAAGTTGTTGCCTGTGATACATCCCTCTTTCTTGAGGACACTCAGCAAATTGGCAGCGCTCTCCCTCTCTGTGTCGGACTGCTGGATGCAGTGGGTCATGACGTAGGTCAGCAGAGCCGGGACATGACGCTTGGGTGCTTGCAGACCCTTGAAGCTCTTGATGACCGCCTCGTCGTCTTTGCTCTCTAGGTAGGTAGTCAATAGCTCCTCCTAGAGGGCGATGAAAAAAAAGAGAGATAAAAGAATTAAATAAAATCATTTTAAAGTTCATGGTGTACATATGTGCATAGTATAATGTTTTTATGGACTCATGCTATGCTTGAAATCATGGATTTACTGTGAACAGCCAGGAGGACTGGCCAAGCTCAATTTTGCTTGGTAACATCCAATTCATTGGCAAGTCTTTACAATGTCAACCACTTGCTGATGATCAATATAAAGGGGTGTTCACATATACAGGAGAAACCTCGGTAAACCGTGAGGATTTTTTAAGCAGAGATACTAGATGTTTTTGCATTTTATAACACACCGATAGGTGACATGTTCCGAGCAGCTATTTTTTTCATCCCCACTTGCCACTCATTTAGTACGCAAAAAAAATGTGTTGATTTTAATACATGAGCATATGTGAAAGAGCCTCCAGGAGCAACGGATTACAAAATGGGTTTGAATCGTCAAGGGAGCAATCATTATTTATATCACTCGCTGTCGCGTCTACTATGTATGAATTCTTTTAGGTTGAATAAAAATCATTTGGCGTACGATGGCGGGACCTGTATCTGGACGCTTTACAAAATTACAATAGAAAATATGAATAATTTGAGTCAACATTTTATGCCATTTAAAATAACTTTAAAAAAATATTTTCATAGATGCTACAGCTTTCCATAATTGTTAAATCCAACTTAGAGATAAGTACAACCCAGAACATTGAAAATCTGTACCCAGAAGTGGAGTTACCCAACTCCTTAAGTCAGGAGTTAAACTTAGCCCTAGTCCAATTAAATTTGTGAATACTAGCCTTTACTGTCACATGGATTGATCCTTTTCGTTACCAAAATCTTTAGGATTAAGTCCTGTTAAGTCCAACTTAGGATGTTTGTGAAACAGGGCCCAGGACATACCATAGATTTCAAGAGCTCCTCCTTGGTGGGCTGCTTCTTCCTCTCAATCCTCCTCTCTCCTGCAGGGGCGCCGCCGGTACCACCACCGAGGCTACCGGCAGCGGAATGCTTGACCGGTAGACCGGGGTAGCCAGTCTGCAGAGGGGGTGGCTGCTGGACGTTGTTGGGGGGTGGATTGGTGGGGAGTAGGCCGTGGATGGGGGCAATGCCTCGAGGGGGGCTGGAGTTGGGGGAGTTGGACGTGGCGCTTGGTGGGAGGAACCTGGGCACCTGGGGCTTCAGCACCATGTTGCCTGAAGGACGTAGGTTGATCTGGGGAGACAATGAGATAAAGACACACAAATGAAATAATACATAAATAAATAAATAAACAATAATAAATAAATAATAAATAAATAAACAATAATGAATAAATAATAAACAAATAAACAATAATAAATAATGAATGAATGAATGAATGAATAAATAAATAAATAAATAAATAAATAAATAAATAAATAAATAAATAAATAAATAAATAAATAAATAAATAAATAAATAAATAAATAAATAAATAAATAAATAAATAAATAATTAAATGGATGATAGGCTCTATCATTCAAAGAGAAGGTTGAGTTCTGGGGAGAGGTGAAAAATAGATTCCATGACATTTGCTCCGGCGACAATTGCTCCGCTGTAAATTTCATACACTAATCGAATGGCTAACTTCAACCCTGGATTCAACACTATACCCTACCCTAAACCTAACCCTAAACCTAACATAAAACCCTATTGAAACCCTAACCCTAACCCTACATCTTAGACGAAATAAAGCCCGGAGCAATTGTCGCAGGAGCAAATGTTGTGTCACCGAAAAATAACTTGTAAGCTATATCATTGTTATTATGCCGGTGTGGATACACATCAGAAAAAAATGTTCCCTGAAAAGCATGGCTCTTCAAATGCCTCCATATTCTAAATATGACAAGTAACAGTTAAAAATGAGGCCCGATTTTTATGCCACATGATTGTGTAGCCCCATATAGATCTTTCCGTGTACAGTGCTTTTTACTTTACCAAGACTGGGCCAAATTTTTTATCATTTTTGATGACTCCAGAACCGTGCAGTACACACCTATATGCTACATGATCAGCCTTTTCTGATCCATTCCACACTGTTTTTTCACAATGCAATCGCATGACCAGAACTCAACTTTATCTTTAATTTTGTCAAAGCATAGCTAAAATCACGCTTAATGATTGATTTCTGCCAATTTGGCTCTCATGAGTCTGGTTTTTTGATGCTCAGATGTCGGCTATTCCTGTCATGAGACAAACTTCCATAGATTTTCACTAGTAAAAGACGACTTTCTTCAAGAGACCATTACTTGGTCTGGCCCACAATGATAACATTTTGTGACCATCCCCAGACGAATCTCCGCTAACAAATCAAATGATTTGAATACGTCCCTTCATCTAAAACCAAATGAGCCAGTTCATAGTTACAGTCCGTGCATGAGCAGATAAAGGTCATTGAAGACCAAATTGTGAAATACATGGAGACAAAATACTGGATAAGTGCTCATAAAAGTTATGTAATCATTATTAATTAATGCACAAGCAGTGCACTCCATGATACACAGGTGAAAGTATTCTTTGAAAAGGGGAAACAAAGGCTATTTATGTAGCACCTCCATTGCTGTAGGAGTGATTATTTCAAAATGTACAAAGTGGGACCTCTTCATGTTTTGAAAATCTGTGGATATTCGGGGTCATTTGGGACATGTGCTAAATGTGAACAGGGGGGTGTTTCACAAAGATCCCAAGTCGAACTTAACTCTAAGTTGGACTTAAAAATTACGGAGAGCCATTTGTAGCCTTAAAAAAATAAATATTAAAAAGCAAAAATTCAAGTATTTTCAACTTTTTATAAATTCCACATCAAGAACGTAAAATCTTCTCGATAAAAGATAATTTGAATGATTTGAATCAACATTTTATGCCTTTTAAAATAACTTTTACAAAATATTTTCATATATGCTTACAGCTTTCCATGATTTTAAAGTCCAACTTAGAGATAAGTTTGACTTAGGATCTTTGTGAAACACCCCCCTGGTCTATTCTCCATGTGATTTTTGATAGCTTACCTCTCCCGTGTCGAGTTTATTGATCCTTGGGGGTCTGCTCTCCCTCACATCGTCTCTCTGTCGCCCTCCTCCTCCTCCACCACCGTCCCGCTGCTGGCCACCCCCGTAAGGCTTGTCCTGCTGGCCACGGTCCTGACGCTGCTGTCCATACCTGGGCAAATCCAACAAAGATTGTGATTAAAGTTTTATTGATCAAGATCCATTCTTCTCAAGATGTTAATCTACATTTGCCACTCTCCCAGGTTTAAATGGGTACCTGATATGCTTGAGCACTAGTTACTTTGGCAGCTCGGCTAAACTTTTGACCTTGACTTTGTGACCTGGAATTTGTGTCATGTGATTTGTGATACTTGATAGCCCTTGTGTACAAGTTTCATGGAGTTATGTAGTTCATGAAGTTATTTTAATGTTTTGGGGGGTATTATTAGCATATTTTTCTCTTCAAGTATGTCTAAACTTTAGTTTTCTATTGAAGAAGTGATCAACATTCAAACGCATTTGGTCAACGTGCAGTATGTTAAAAAAAAGAAGGAAAAAAAAAAAATTATGAAGCAAAAAACATACTACCATAATTTAAAGACCATCAATATTACAGGGCCAGAAGGGATTAGACCACACAGTGAGGTCACTGACAGGTGGCTATCTCATTAACTCAGCTCTCAACTAACATAAGAAAAAGAGGATCATGGGGGACCAACAGGCACCGATTGGGGAAGTTTTCTCTATAGAGGGAGCAAGTAGCTACTAGTAGGACAATGGGGCTTTAAAGGAAAAAAACAGAATAATTCCAAGAAAAACGTAATGGTTGGCAGCTCTGTTATTGGCAAGACTAATTACCCACCTTCCTTGGTCCATGCCACCACCTCTGTTGCCCATCCTTCCTCCGCGATCGCCATCCCAATCTCGGTCCCGATCCCGCTCTCCCGAGCCGCCACGGCCACCATAATCCTGATTCTCATTATTATAGTATTGCTTGTTCTGCTGCTTGTTGTTGTAGCCACCTTGGTTGTAGTCGCGTTGCTGCTGCTGTGGCGGGGGATACTGCTGGTAATGTTGCTGCTGTTGCCCCTGCTGGTTCATGTTGCGGCCCTGGTGGTGTTGCTGGTTGCCGCTACCCCGTTGGTGGTCGTAGCCACTGCGTTGCTGGTCGTGTCCACCACGTTGCTGATAGCGTTGCTGCTGTTGGTTGTCGTCGTTGCGATTGCCGCGTTGCTGGTTGCCGCCGCGTTGCTGGAATCGAGGCGCCTGGTTCTGATAGCCTCCTTGTTGGTTCCCTATGTCAAGTTAAAGATAAAGACCAGTTATGGTCATGCGATTGCATTGTGAAAGAAACGTTGTGGAATCGATCAGGAAAGGTTGATCATCTAGCATATAAGTATTGGTGTGTACTGCAAGGTTCTGGAATCATCAAAATGATAGGAAATTTGGCCCAGTCTTGGTTTCCAAAACTGATCTTTACCTTAAGTCGTAAACTATCAATAACTCTGAAAACTATTTCAAGTTTTGGGCTTACTGGAAAACGTAAGACTTTCTAATGCATAATATATCACACAATTTCACGAGTGGCAAAGATTCACAACAATTTCACTGTGAAACAATTGGAATCACAAATGACACAAAACAAACATCTTTGGTCAATTATTGTAACACACCTGTAACAGTGAACAACAAATTTCTATTTTTTATGGACAATAAATCAATTCAATTAGGAACATTTCTTGCAAAGAAAGCCACTGTTATGTAAAATTACCACCATAAAAAAAAAAAAATCTGTTTTTGCAGTAGCTCAAACAGTAGAATAATCATTCATTTTTGTAAAATACATAAAATTTCATGTCACTAAAGTTTCAATTTATATCTTGAAGATTTTGGTAAAGAAAAGGAACAATCCATGTGAAAGTAAAGGCTCGTACCGTATTTGCCAGCGATAAGGCTGCAGGGCCGCATAGGCTGCACCCCTGATTTTGACATTTTTTAGACTTAAAAAAAAAAAAAAAAAAAAAAAATTTTGGAAACACCATGGGCAGCAAGCCAGATGGCTGGTTATTTCAGCTTTTTCTTGTGTATTGCATGTGCCATAGCTTTGCTCACGCGAGCTGAGGGAATTAAAGTTGCTTTAGCTATGGCAAAAACTTAAATCTAGATCTACCAGTAGAGTTTTGTTGGTAAGTAAAAAAAATTATTTACGAGATTGACAAAACTTTCCCCTTCATTTAAAAAATATAACACAAAATTGTCGGTAAGACATGTGTTATTCTAGAAATGTCCATCACCTTTCATTGTTGTCCCATAATATGTACAAATTTGTGCTGTTTTTCATGGTTTTGACTTGCAATTTAAAAAAAATTTTTTTTACTCTTTCGCCGCAAAGGCCGCACCCCGACTTTTTGATATTTTCTCTTCCAAAAATACTGCAGCCTTTACGCCGGCAAATACGGTATTCAGAAATTTAATTGGACTAGGGCTAAGTTTAACTCCTGCCTGAAGGTTTTAGGGTAACTCCGCTTGTGGGTACGGATTTTTAATGTTCTGGGGGGTGTTTCACAAAGATCCTAAGTTGAACTTATCACTAAGTTGGATTTAACAATTAGGGAAAGCTGAAGCATCCATGGAAATATTTTGTAAAAGTTATTTAAAATGGCATGAAATGTTGAATCAAATCATTCATATTTTCTATTATCAAGGAGATTTCATGTTCTTGATGTGGAATTTATAAAAAGTCTAAAATACTTGAATTTTCGCTTTTCAATATACTTTATTTTAAGGCTACAAATGGCTCTCCATAATTTTTAGGCCAAACTTATAGTTAAGTTCGACTCAGGATCTTTGTGAAACACCCCCAGGTCCTGTAACGTGTCATCACTCAATGAATGATTCAGGACAGTTGTTTAGACTTGCCTTGATCCCGCTGCCTGTCGCCGCTATCTGAGCGATTGTTGCTGCCACGTTGTTGCCCCTGCTGCCCTTGTTGTTGCTGTTGCTGCTGTTGCCCCATCTGGCGATGTTGTGTTCTAGGGCTGTAGCTCCCAAAGCCTGGGTTAGGCGATAGCTCGTCACTGATCACTCCTGGGCCTGCTCCTACCCTGCCGGCTATGTAGGAGAATTGAGAGGAGGACAATTAAATGAAAATTAAACTTTAAAGTGACTTGGTTAGGGGATAGCTCGTCACTGATCACTCCTGGGCCTGCTCCTACCCTGCCGGCTATGTAGGAGAATTGAGAGGAGGACAATTAAATGAAAATTAAACTTTAAAGTGACTTGGTTAGGGGATAGCTCGTCACTGATCACTCCTGGGCCTGCTCCTACCCTGCCGGATATATAGGAGAATTGAGAGGAGGAAAATTAAAGACCGTCCATACTACTGGGCCAGAAGGGATTAGACCACACATCGAGGTCACTGACAGGTGGCTATCTCATTAACTCAACTAACATAAGAAAAAGAGGATCATGGGGGACCAACAGGCACCTATTGGGGAAGCTTTCTATATAGAGGGAGCAAGTAGCTACAAGTAGGACAGTGGGGCTTTAAAGTGACTTGGTAACATTGTTGAAGGTTGATGAAAAAATTGCGTAATTTTTGTATAAAATGCTATTTTCACTCAAACTTTCAGATTCTCTTTACTTGTACATCTAGCATTGAAGTCACTACCTTAGCACCATTTCCTCTCATCCGAAATTTGTTTACAAAGTTCCTTTAAGGGCAAAAAGCTATGAAGGAAAGAAGGAGATCAGAGATGCACATTGATGAAAGTACAGACAAAATTGGACAAATAATAAGAAATAATGGATCATAGAAATAGTTATAAATGAATTATACAGATGGTCAGGGGAAGAGAAAGTATAGAAAGAAAAGAAGACAGAGAGACAGGGGGAAAGGAGGAGAGAAAGTAAGAATGGAAGAGTGAGAGAGGAAGAGCGAGAGACCAGAGAGGGGAAGAGAGAGAGAGAGAGAAGCAAAGACCGTGGACAGCAGGAGAACAGCAAGAGGAAGACAACAAGAGTGGGAAAGACAAAACAGGGAGAGAGAGAGAGAGAAATGGACAGAAAGAGAAAAGAGAGAGAGAGAAGGAATGAAAGGGAAGAGAGAGAGAGAAGCAAAGACTGTGGACAGCAGGAGAACAGCAAGAGGGAGACAACAAGAGTGGGAGAGACAAAACAGGGGATAAAGGGAGAGAGAGAAATGGACAGAAAGAGAAAAGAGAGAGATAGAGAGAGGGAGAGAGAGAGAGAGAGAGAGGGAGAGAGAGAGAGAGGGAGAGGGAGAGACCAAAGAGGGATAGAGAGAGAGAGAGAGAGAGAGAGAGAGAGAGAGAGAAGCAAAGACTGTGGACAGCAGGAGAACAGCAAGAGAAAGAGAGGGAGACAACAAGAGTGGGAGAGACAAAACAGGGGATAGAGGGAGGGAGTGAGAAAGAGAGAACCAGAGAGGGGAAGACAGAGAGAGAAGGAAAGAAAGGGTTGAGAGAGAGAGGGAGAGAGAGAGTGGAAGAAAGAAAGAGGGACAGGGAAAGGAAGAGAGTATCAAGAATTCTAGACAAATTGAAAGGAGGAAAAGAGAATAAAACTTCACCAATATCATTTAACATGAACATTAGTTTCGTAAACCCGACTGACTTACACATTGTATCTTGCAGGAAGAGATCTCCCAGTCCACCTCTGGCCGGCCATGCTCCACTCCCCCCACCGTTGATGTTGAAGAAATCAGGGGTGAATCGACCCATAGCTTGGTTTGATTGCTGCTCTCTCTGTAAATAGGACAAAAAACAATTAACAAATTGCAACATGAGCTAAATCCAGGATTTTGTTTCAGAATCTGAGACCAAGTTAAAGTTAAAGACCACCTGCCTATAAAGACCACTTTTCTTAACTCCCTTTGAAAATTGTTCCTCATTAAAACGTGTGCTAAAAAACCTGTACATTAAAGACCACTTTTCTTGTCTCCCTTGGGTGGTCTTTATAGACAGGTTTCACTGTACTCTGGATAGGCTGTATAGCCCTTTGAAAATTACAAATAAGAGAAATTCAAATCAATTCAAATTTTATTGTCCAATTATTGGAAATTTGAAAGAGAGGTTTCTTCCTGACTTACCTTCAATTCTTCTTGGTGTATTTGGCGAATGGTTCGTGGTCCATGATCAGTCTGACGCCTGCGCGGTTTCCATTCGTTATCCCTGAGTTCCAGGCTATCTTGCAACATGAATCGGATACGTGACGGCAGCTCCATGTTCTCTGAGAAGCGAGTCATGCGATCAAAATATTGGTCCATCCAGGTCTACAATGATAACAATAATATTGAAAATGAGGATGATATAACTTTATTGGATAACTTGTTTAGCCCTGTGCTAAACAAGTTATCCAAGAAAGTCTACTACTACTACTACTATAACAACAACTATTAACAGAAAAAACTTAAATTAACTATAAATAAATGAATAATAATAACTACAACAATAATAAAAAATGAAAAAAATGGTAAAAATAATAAAGAAATTATAATAATAATGACAATAATAATAATAATAATAAGCACGCCACCCATTCCCTACTCCTGACAATGGATAGTCAACCTGTTCGAAACGTTGAGCCCCTCCTACTACCCATCCTCTCCAACCGAAGCTATAGTTCTCTTTAGAACTATAAGCTTAAAGAAAGATTACCAACAGTCCTTTTCAGGACTCCCCAATCCTCCCCCTCTCTCAAATGGTGCAACAGTAAGCCTACTATATAATAATAATAATAACAATAATAATAATAGAAAATGGGGTTGCCAATTTGAGACATGCCACTCACCCTAGCCTTATCATGATCGAGTCGTCCGCCTACAGTGGATATTATCTTACACAGGCACTCGAGGTCTTCCGCCTTCTCTCCCAGGCTCTCCCTACTCTTCTTCTCAAGGAGCTGTCAAAGGTCAAATGAGATCAAAGGTCAAATGAGAAGGTTGAATTGTCTAACAAAATATCTTACCACATTTTGTTATACTCAAGATAATGTTAAAAGTACTTGTAACAAAGCAGAGTAAAAAAAAAAAAAATAATCTGTCTGCTAAATAAATTACTCATTGCGGATGAAGTATCGAAATATCGCTAGTGATGTTTGTTTATCTCGTAATGTATGGTCAACAATGGATCTAAAAGAGCATAACGTTTCGTGCGCTGCTGCAACACTTCGTCAGGTGATAAAATATAATGTAAGCGAGCATGTTTATTTGACCGATGGTCCGCCCGTAGAGTATAAAACACGCTCGCTTACATTATATTTTATCACCTGACGAAGTGTTGCAGCGGCGCACGAAACGTTGTGATCTTTTGTTGACCATACATTACGAGACAAACGAATATCACTAGCGATATTATTTTCAATAATCTGTTTGTTCACAGGGACTCTTTGTGATCTGAATTCTTTATGGTAAGATAGTTTATATTTGTTCACTCCCCTCCCTGTCTCTCTTTATCTCTGTACTCTCAATTATATCTCTACCCCTTCTCTTTCTTTCTCTCCCTCTCTTTTTCTATCTCTCACACACACCCCTCTCGCTCTCCCTTTCTCTCTCTACTCCATCTCCCATTTTGTTTTCTCCCATTATTTCTCCCGTCTTCCTCATCACTCTCTTCGAACGCTGCATGATTTATTATAATTTTAAATTCTTCAATCATCCCCTTTTGTTGTTTATATTATACATACAGGATATTAGGTCTTTCCAGAGCTCTTCGCGGGGGTGTTTCACAAAGATCCTAAGTTGAACTTATCTCCAAGTTGGACTTAACAATAATGGAAACTGTTAGCATCTTTGAAATTTTTGGTAAAAATTATTTTGAAAAGAATTAAAATGTTGATTCATATTTTCTATCATCAAGGAGATTTCATGTTCTTGATGTGGAATTCATGAAAAGTATAAACTACTTGAATTTTTCACTTGACTATGTTTTATTTTAAGGTTACAAATGGCTCTCCATAATGGTTAAGTCCAACTGAGAGTTAAGTTTGACTTAGGAACTTTGTGAAACACCTCCTTGAGTTATTTCTGAGCTACATACATATATCTCTTAGTATTTTTCTTCATAAAACCAAAGAAAGATGCATACCTGTTTGATACATCGATGGAGGATGGATTCATGTAGCATACCGAGCTTACCAAGTTCACCTGAAAGTAGACAGAAATAGAAATAATAATAATAATAATAATCATAATACAGGTGGAGTCTTGTATAACGCTCATCTCTGGCACATGGCCACTCCTGGGCCCTGTATTACAAAGACTTATGATTGATTGATCCAAATCAATCGCAAGTTCTCCAATCAATCGCAACTTTGCAGTCTCCTATCTCTTATGTACCTAGTTGCGAAGTTGCGATCGATATCAACTCTTTGTAAGACGAGGCCCTGGTGCTCCATTATTAATACCCTTGCTTTAGCACAGCTGCCATTACAGTGGTCAAGCATTTTGAAGAACGAATTCCCACCGGGTACCCATTAACCTCACCCGGGTGGAGTGTGATAAATGTAGATTAATGTCTTGCCAAAGGACATTGGTGCTGCGACAGGGATTCTAAGCCCATACCTCATGGTTCATAGTCCAGAGTGTATCCACTGGACCGCAACACCTCTACAGAAAACAATATATTCATTTAAGCATTTTTCCATCAATAGGCTTCTCTGGCTGCCCATAGATACATTGATTTTTTGTGGTAAATTAAAGTTCAAACCACCTCGGTGAATTTAGTCAAAATCATCTTGCAGAATGTGAAGTATTAGTGTTGCCAATTTGATTTTGGTAAATGTGGTTGACGTTATAAAGAACTTACCGATGAACTGGATGTTCCCAAGCATCTTGGCCTTGGCCTGGCCTCTCTGGTCCTGCTCTTCTGGAGTAAGAGGGCCATTCTGTTTGTCATAAGCTGCAGGAAGAAAAAAACAAAAGTAAATATATATATATAATGTACTATACAACACCTACGTGGATCCTTGTCATTTGATTGGAGGATTGTTGGTCACATGATATTCAATAGATGTTCTATTGCACGGGTGTGCATTTTTGGTTATATGCAGACAGCGTACCTCTCTGCCGTGCGCGTATCCCTGCGTGTATCTGACGCGAAGGCAATATTAATGTAATCAAGAATTCTTGACTCCAACTTTAATTTATCTTTAATATAAGGAGTAAAGCATAATTTGTTGATTAACGTTCTATTAGATCTTCTTCGATGTTGTATAAAACAAATAATGAATGTTTTTCATTTGTAAAGTATTTGTTTACTACCGGTACATCCTAAAAAATAAAGGAAATAATTAGGAAGCATTCAATGCTCTCCTTCTAGATTATGATGGCCATTTGTTTGTCAAATACAAAAATACATCTCCTTCTTCAAACTTACCGGCAAAAGCTCTGGAGCGATTTTCAAATTCGTCCTGACACTTGGAGATGAGCAAGCGCCGAAAAGTCTGTATTGAAAAATACACAACGGATGAATCAGCAATGAGAAATGAAGGACACAGTTTAAATCAAGACTGATTGTGATATTCATTCGGTTTCAATTAATGTCAACAATTGAATCTGAAGGTTCGCATTGGGACGTGTCTTATTCTATCATATTGACTGAAAATTCAGAATTTTTAGCAACATGAAACTGTCACAAGTTGTAAAAAAAGGCCACTTTCCCAACTTTCATGACTAGCAAACTCATAATTACTCACTTATGATTCAAATTCACGCCATGGAACTTCCAAGAATCTCAACCCCTCGAAAAATCAGCAAACATTTCATGCCAACAACAGTTTCTTGTTTCACAGTTACTTACTTTCACATTCAAACCCGACTTTTGACCCTATAACAGACAGGAAAACAGGTGGCAGCATCACCAAACACTACAGATGTGTAGATTTTACGAAGACACACCTCCATACCAAATTTGAAAGAAATCTGTCTAGAAATGTGGCAGTTAGAGCACATAAAAGGGACGAATGACCTTTGACCCTATAAAGGATGGAACAATGAGGGCAGCATCACCGTGGGATACAATTAGCAAACATCTAATGGGAACGACAGTATCTGGTTTCCCAGTTACTTACTTTCACATTCGAACTCAACTTTTGACCCTATAAAGGACGGAACAATGAGGGCAGCATCCCCGGGGGATACAAGTGGCAAACATTTCATGCAAACGACAGTGTCTGGTTTACCAGTTACTTACTTTCACATTCGAAACCGACTTTTGACCCTATAAAGGACGGAACAATGAGGGCAGCATCATGCAATCAGCATCAACATTTCATGCAAACGACAGTGTCTGATTTCCCAGTTACTTACTTTCACATTTGAACCCGCAGGTTCGAAGTCGGGGGCGTCTTCGTCTAGTCTCTTACATAGCTGCGAGTACATAGAACTGTACTTGGGCTCTTCTAACGCTTTTTCAAACACCTGAAAACATAATTCATGACAAAGATTATTTGTTATTATTTTTAATTATATTCCACATACTAAGAATCTTGCTCTACGATTGGTCAAAAGTAAATCACGTGATGAAAGATAGTTCGCCCATTATTTATGGGAGAAGCAAAAAGTTTGTTACACTGTGTAGATAGTACTACTATCTACATAGTGCAACGCACTTTCAATGAAGATAGAGGTACTATCTACACAGGGCAACGCACTTTCACTGAAGATTATCCAAAAGCGCAATAAAAACAGGCGTAATTAAGCACGCATTACCAATGAGCGCAATTAAAGCAAACACACGCACGCACCGTACCCTCAAGGGGTTGGGTTGAACTTTTAACTTTTTTGGTGTGAATTTGGGCCTGGTGTCTTTCATGTAGATGCATACACGTCATTTTCTTTTTGTAGTTAAATTGTTTTAGATGTGGAATATAAAGCAAATAATCACCTTTTGGTTTCAGGCGATGGCAAACTATCACTTCCTCGTCGATCAGAATGTATACACTATCTTTCCTCAGCTTCGCTTCAGAAAGATAGCTACATCCAGATCGCCTCGGAAGTGATAGTTTGTCCCATTACCATACATGCCAACATTTGAAAAACAGAAATCTGTACAAATTATGCAATTTTCAAAAAAAAGAGGAACAATCGTAACTCTCCTATTCAATACTACAGACAAATTTGTACAGGAAGAGGAACACCTGCATTAAAATGATAATTATCTTCTCCCAAAAAGAGGAATGTTCCTCTTTAATCTGAACAGTTGGCATGTATGCATTACCTTCACCAATGGTAGTTATTTGCTTACTATCTAACACGATACATTCGAAATAAAAACAAGAAATGAAGGAGAAGAAGCATTTTTTGTGATTTCGAATAAATTTGCATAAATTAGCATATATAATGAATTTCACGATTCTGTTTAGAAGTTTTAAATCCCCCTCCTAGCCCTATCATATGAAACAATCAGAATCAAAATCGGTTGAAAAATAACGAAGAAGAAGCATTTTGAAAATCTTGATGTTGATGCCACAACAAAGTCAAAGTTTGTTGACCTGAAATGACCTTTGACCTTGACTTTGTGATCTGAAATTCTACTCACATGATTGGGGATACTTGATTACCCTATAGTCAAAGTTTCATTGACTAAGAACCTATACGTATAAAAATGTTATCAAAAATTGAAAAACTTAACCTTAGGTTAAGTTTTTGATGTTGACGCCGCCGTCGCCGTCACCGGAAAAGCGGCGCCTACACTGTATGTCTCGCTTTTTGCTACGCAGGCAAGACAAAAATTAGTTTAAAAGATGATAGGAAGAAGGAGCATAATGGGGTGATTAAATGGTTTGGAATTCCTTGAATTACTCCTCTAATTATAATGCTCTCCATTATGACAGAAATATTTGTAATATAAGTCGAAATTGTATTATTATTCTTAGATATGAGCTTTTCCTGCAATCTTCAGTGATTTCTTTTATATTCCAAGCTAAATGATTAACCCTGTGCCTAAGACAACCGAATGGTGTCTGTACAAAGCCTATGGGACAGACAGAGTTTAGCAGTGAACAGGTTAACACTACTTCCATGTCTGCCAAAATAAAAACTAATACCCTCAACATTTGAAGTTGAGTTCTGGTCATGCGATTGCATTGTGAAAGAAACGGTGTGGAATCGACCAGAAAAGGTTGATCATCTAGCATATAAGTATTGGTGTGTACTGCAAGGTTCTGGAATCATCAAAATGACAAGAAATTTGGCAGAGTCTTGGTAAAGTTACAAACACTGTACACGGAAAGATGTATATGGGACTACAAAAACACGTGGCGTAAAAATCCTACCCTGGAGTTTTACGATGTTATATGACATATTTAGAATATGAAGGCATTTGAAGAGCCATGCTTTTCAGGGAACATGTCTTATCTGATGTTCTTTCACACTTGCATAATAAGAATGATAACGCTCACAAATTATTTTTCACCTCTTCCCAGAACTCAACATTCTCTTTAACATTTGCAGCACTCGTAGTACTCACCAGTAGTATGATGCCTTTAAGGATTACTTTGGAATGGATTCCTACATTGAGCAGTTCCAGGCAGAGTTTGTCAAACTTTTCTGGGGTAAGTTTATTGAGGATACTGTATACAAAGAAATACAAAAGAGAGATGTTAGGAATATAAGTGAAACAATAAGTCAAGAAAGACGAGTGATTCGAAAACAGACAAAGGAAATAAATTTTCGGGGGGATATTTATTAAGGATAATGTAAACAAAGAAAGACGAAAGAGATGTTAGGAATATAAGTGATATGTAATAAAACAAGAAAGACAAGTGAACCAGACACATAAAATGGGAAATATATTTTTGGGTATATATTATTGAGGATACTTCAAACAAAGAAATACAAAAATCAAAAAGTGAGGAAAAATGGTCAAATTTGTCCTGACAGAAGAATAAATGTGTACATCTAGAAAAAAATCAAAAAAAAATCATGCGGTCATATGATTTGAATGTAAAGTAATACAAAGTTTTGGTATGGGCTCATGAATTGGTTCAATTGAACATATTGGAAGCATGTATGCGATCCTACACTAATCTAGTCTAAAGTGATGAAATTGTGAATAATAAACTTTTTATGTTCATGTTGTATGGATTGATATTACTTCAGCTCCACAACAATGTTTCTTGACTAAAATTGACCAATTTTCTATTCCCGTTTGGAAATTATAGATTTTCATGGCCGCAACTACCATTGTATGGTCGTAGGCGCTATTCGAAAAGACCCGATATATTTGATATTTTTATTTCTCGACTCCTTAGCCCAATTTTTTCAAGTTGCTTATTCTAACACTAGGTTTTCGCAATGGTAATGCAAATTTTAAATTTCATAATCCAACCCTGTTGAAATATTACCAAAACTTTGTATTTACTATGTATTTGTATGTGCTATTACTGTATGACAAAATGAACTTACCCACGGACACGCCTGAAGACAAGGTCTTGCTGATCACGACTGCCCGGTTCATCACGTCTTGAGGTGCTCGGGGGCACCCATCTAGGGACTTTTCTCACTGCTTGTTCATTTTTGTTGTATTTGCTGCAAATTATCAACAACAAAAAAGAGTTTTAAAGAGGTATTGAAATAATTCATTTATGGCTAATGCACAAGTAGATTGCACGATTCAAAAGCATAAAATGAAGGAATTTCCTTGCAAACTGCTCATTTTGCAGAGATTTGCTGCAAATATTCAAAAGTAAGTTATTTTTTATGTGAATGCCAAAATACAGTTGGCCATTTGAAACAAGGATCAAAACTTTTCTTGGAGTTACATGTACATGTTGCTTTTTGGGGATATAAACTATTTGACTTTTAAAAAATTAAAAAGAAAAGTCAACCAATTTTGCATTAATCATCATTTTCTTTGCAAACAGAAAAATGTGAGATTCTGATCAAGATTAAACCAATCAAGTTTTCAAATCTCCCTTCAGCCTCTTTTATGTACATTGTACATGTACTGTATGCTGCAGTAATCTGCCATGGCAAAATATGCCTGGAGCAATTCACACTCATTTACTTATATATTTGATTAAAGTGGGTATGCATGCCTTTGTTAGTGATGCAGCTACATGTACATATTTGCATCTCCACTTGCCATTCATTTACACTATTAAAACAAAAACAAAATGCCATGGTTTACAGCATCATGTGTGAATGAACCTTACTTGCTCTGAGTGTGAACAGTTCTATTGGGTGTTCAAGTAGAGGATGTATGCTCTAAATAATCACAAAGAACAATCTTGTTCATGCATTTTAGTCATCATGCTACATCACAATAAAAAAAATCTTCACATACTGTACATTGTGTATCACATAAATGAAAAAGTGAATTTTGGGGGTTTGATCTACAAGTAAAACCACCTCCTTAATTCTATTCATCACTTTGAGTGTGAACTGTTGGGAGCCTTACTGAGTCTGAGAGTTCACTGAGAGTTCAATGAGATGCTGTATGCTTGATTATCAAAGAACGATCTTGTTCTGCATTTTAGTCATAGACGATTTACATCGTGATGTTAGGGTCAAGGATATGTTATGAAAACAATGACTCATTATGAATGCAGACTTGCATAGCATTCACATGCTAAGCATGTACAGTGAAACCAGGCATGTTTCTGGTGAAACCTAATGTACATGTCTTTTAGGAAAGTAAATGTATGGATTGCAGTCATTTTATTTAAATATGTAAACATGTAATATGGGAATTTCCCCCAATAATGAGGCCCTGATATACATGTACATTAAGTACAGATGTACATGTACATTTAGTTTCTGATAATTGATGTTATTACATTAGATATCCTTCTTTTTCTATCTCCTTTCTAGTATTTTTCACTCTCCTTTTTCTGACTTGGTTAAAAAGCCCATCTGATAATTATGCCTCGGTAAAATGAACATGTATATGAATGTATAAAAGAAAATATATTCAACAACAGATTGCTTTGCACATAATGCACACATGTTAATTTATAAGAATGATGTACATCTAAAGTATTCCTCTGTATTTTGATGGGTATTTTTTTTTCAATGGCCAAATGCCAAAAGAACAACACATTCAATCACATACAGTACATGAACATGTATACTTACATCATCGTTCAGAAGAAAACACACATGCAAGCAAGTAGATGGGACCACCCTTTACAAAATATGTCCAACACACAGTAAAAACACTGGCAGGTGATCTGACAAACACTGTTGACCACAGACTAAATACACACACTCTAACACACACTTAACAGTATGAGTATGTATGACAGTACAAAATACACAATGCTTTGACCCAAAGTCTATGAGGGTCAGATGCTTTGTTTACCAATAAGCCAGGATGTACACAAATTTCCTCACACAAAGTCATTGAATCCAAGACCCAAGGTAGTTTACACAAGGATTACCTAGAGGTTAGACAATAGTGTGTTTGTCACACACAAGGAAGGGTATGTGGCAATGCCCTTGAATGTAGCAAAGCAGTAATTTTTTTTTGTTTCAATCTGGACATTATAGACCTACACTACATCATCATGTACAAAGGCTACAAGGTTGCTGGTTGCTTTACTAACAAGCATTTATGCTTTCTTAGCAGTCTAACCACCACTACTACATGTAGAAAGGCTACAAGGCTCTTGCAAATTTCGAGAATCAAATGGAATCGAATTGAATCTTGAATAATAACCATGTATACATGTGATGTAGGTTACAAGTGGCAGTTCAGAGGGAGTTTATGTGATAAATTTGAACTATATTGCTGAGAAAATTATAGACAGTGAGGAGCAATTTCCAGGGTAAAAAATAGCTTTGAATGCTTTTTAATGAGTTGCCAATATAAACTACTTGATTGAGTCTGACCAATGATACATACAATGAATCCACATACATTGTACAGACTGCAAAGGGAAGTCATGTCATTTTTACCCCAAAGGCCTAATGTATGGAGGACATGTACATGTATTAGGGCGCGTTCATGCTTGATTTTGACGGCCAGAATCAGGCATCTGTTACGCGTTTAGTTTAAAACACGATTGCGTTCATGCTCACTATTGTAGAATCACCGAAAAAACGGCGATCACGATCGCCGATCGTAAACTCACAAAAAGATGCGTTTACAATTTGTAAACGCGTTTAAATGGGGTCAACGCACTGACCTCTAGTGGGTCTACGTAGCATGCGCACACAGGTTTGCGAATCCAGCTGAAGGCCACCCAAGGAGAATTGCCTGGAGAAGTGAGCATGAACAGTGCACCGTGGAACTGCGATTACGAGCATGAACGCGCCCTTAATCAGAAATTCAGAATACTTACATGTAGTCTTTACGAGGCTATTAAATGGGCATGATCATGTACAATTGTAGGCATACGGAGGCCTAAATACATGTACATGTACGGTATGTATGATTCAGAATATATATTTCATTCTTCAAATATTTTGCATTCCTTTAATTTAAAAAATATTAGTATTCAAAGAAAAATCATATAAATTTACATTTCATTAAAAATTCAATCTCAGCTTTAAAAAAACAACATGTGTGAGTGCAAATTTACTGTCTAATTACAGGAGTTAAATGTATTTAATACTACATGAACATGTACATGAACTTCATGAAGTCATATTCAAGTCTAATGTGATAAACATGAACAGTACACATAAATCATCAACCACACTCCAGGGGAAAAAATACACGGAGGCTCAGGGCGAATTAGCCCCCGAAATGTCAAAAAGAGCCCCCCCAAATTTGCATAGAGTTCAATGCAAAGCAAATTAAAGAGTGTTATTTTTATGCAAGCAAGCTTGAAAAGTAGCTAAGCCCTCAAAAACAATTAAACATTTGTTTCCCTGCCGCACTCACAATGGATTCAAGACATACTTCTATACAAAACACATGAACATCTAGAAGTCAGTGACAAAAGTTACATGCACAAATTGTCCGCTTGTCCTGCTAATGGGGACACAGGACATTGCTATTTAGCAGGAACTACCTTTATCAAGGGCATAGATGTGCGTATACTGTTTCATGTACTGAGAACAAGCTACATTAAGACCTGGTGCAAGATAAGTTGTGACTTCCTATGTACACTGTAGTTACAGAGACAAGAGGGAAGTATCGCTGATACTACTGAGTAGTGCCCAAGGTTGTGGAGATTAGAGAAGGGTATGATGTCATCTCTTGGTCTTCAAGTTCCAAGCTATGTATTTGTTTGTCTCTCTGTCCCTCTTTCTGTCACTCTTTATATATGTATTTTCTATTGCTTCTTTCCATATTCAATACTGTATAATTTTGTATTATTATTTTAATATTTTTATGATAAATCATGGATAATCTTGTATTTCACTGTGGAACTTTCTCGCTACACAAGTCTCTATGATGTTGTTTAGTTGTCTTTTTTAAATCTCTCATTCTCCCCCCCTCCCCTCTCTTCCTCATCCTCATCCTCATCCACACTCTTTGTCTCTTTCTGTCTCTACATTTCAACATACCTGTTGCTTTGTTTACAATGTACATGTATGTATGTGACTCTCCCTCTCTTTCTCTAGAGCTATCTTTGCTCTTTCTGCCTATCATAACATCCAAGAAAAAATCTGTCATTTTTACATACATGTACCTGTCATTCTATTTCTGTTTGTCTTTGCCTCCCCCCTCTTCCTCTTCCCCCTTTCCCTCCCACCCCCCCCCCCCCCATCTTTCTTCCCCATCTACCTTTCCACCCGCTCCCTCTCATCTCCCTTTCCTCCCTCTCCTTCTCTCTCTCTCTTTCTGTGTATTATTTTTCATCTTTCTCACTTCCTAGTGCAAGGCCTTCCACCTGACCAAGCAGAATGCTCTTGTACATCCTCTCCATGTCAAAGCCAACTACAACTTACAAGGTCAAGGGTTACGAAAGCTTACCTTGGGTAATTTTGTTGTGGTGTCTCTTGCGTCCTGCCAAGAGGGAGAGCTCGAGAAGCACCACTTCTTGGTGCCGGGCCTTCCACCTTGCCCAGTGTTCTGTGGACAGCCTCTCAAACAAAAATTTCCTGACTCCTCTCCTTTTTCTTCTCTTCTTGTCTCTAGACACTCATGTGTGATAAACCTGCAGTCGGAATGACAGAAAACAAGACGGATATTATTATTTGTGAAAAGAAAGTAGACAGAGTATTCAATTATTTTGTTTACAAGAGCTTCAATACAATGTTTAAGATATTAATTATGAAAATGTATCTTTACTGCGATCTGTGTGAATTGTATGAATTAATTTTTTTTTTAGACCACAGCTCTGTTTGAGAAATGGACAAAAGAGAAAGAGAGAGAGAGAGAGAGAGAGAGAGAGAAAAGGGGGCAGAGAGACATGCAGTCAGAAAACAGACAAGAAGGAAGAAAGGAAAGATACAAAGATACAAAGAGAAACAAAGAGGAAGCAGATAAGTCTTGTGAATCATGCACAAAATATCTATCGCTCAATCTCTGTGTTTGTTTTTTGTTTGTAAAGGGTTGAGCAGAATTTAGAATTCTATGCCAGAATGATGACAACACTTCACAATTCCATGATCATTTTGGCATTGGCTTTAACTTGTTTTCCTTCTTTCTTTTTAATAGGTTCACTATGGCCATGTTGACGGTTTTATTGCTGTAAACTGTAAAGTCCATCACTGTCCCATTTTATTTGGAAGGAGCTGTGTCTGCAAAGTCCCCTTGTTTGTGAACATGAGAAACTGCATGGAGATTTATTTGAAAATGAGCAAAAAGTAAAAAATGTAGAGTGAGATTCACATAAAATAATGGATAGACGATGATACTGATAGAGCGATAGACTCCTGTCCTTTTTTTAAAACCTCAAAATGAATAAGTTGGCAAACAAAGAGCAAATTTTGTCTTGGCAATGTCCAATTACAATGACATGACATAAATCATCAATGTAGAAGTTGGAACATTTCAAAATGACAGTCAAGACTCAAGAGACTGAAGAGTCAATGAATTTATTCAATTCATCTTCAAATTTCAATCATTCATCACGACTTCATTTCGAAATCAAGTTTCATTTTTGTTTTGGCATGTTCCAATGTAGACCGAATTTTCCGTCTCTTTCGTTCGGTAGCCTCTTATTGGGGTAGGGTCGGCCGGCTCTCTCTTTAGAGACGGAAACCGTCTATACACATTCCCTTGATAACGCCACGGCCATTTCAGGTCGTAGCGTTTTGCCCCCAAAATCCCCAAAAATGTCATTTTACCTCGTGCATGTTATATTGTAAATTAGGCCTAGGCTATAATAAATCAGTTTAATAGTCCCTTTTTAGGAATTTATGGGTCAAAATCGAAATCCATGTTGAAAAAGATTTTCAAAATGGATTTCGATTTTGACCCATAATTTCCTAAAAAGGGACTATTAAACTGATTATTTCAGTCAAGTTGTTAAGTGGAATCGATGTATTATAGCCTAGGCCTAATTTACATGTGGATATGCACGAGGTAAAATGACATTTTGGGGGATTTTGGGGGCAAAACGCTACGACCTGAAATGGCCGTGGCGTTATCAAGGGAATGTGTATAGACGGTTTCCGTCTCTAAAGTAAAGAGAGAGCCGACCCTACCCCAATAAGACTAAGAGGCTAACGAACGAAAGAGACGGAAAATTCGGTCTAGTTCCAATGTTCTGTAGATCCTATATTACCATGTTTTTATACATGAACACTAAATGTTTATAATTCTACTTAAAATTTAAGTGTTTAGGGTTAGCAGATATGATGTAGACACAGCCTCACTGTCACACACAGGACTCGAGATCAAATACGAAGGCACACAAAAACTTCATGTTCAGATTTCATCCCACACAGCCACGGCCACGGCACAGTCTCGCAGACGCGTACATCATCCACACACAAGTCACATTACAACATCTAACTGAAACTCAGGGCGAGTCGGGCAACCTGCATTAACTTGACGACATAAACTATCACTTCGGGCGGAAAAACTACGATAAATACAACATATTTTACACTCATCAAAACCAATAAGATATATCAACTACTTTCCTACCACAATTTATGACATTAGTTGAAATCAGACATACACATCATATAAAAAAAAAGCTATTTAGAGGCACTTACAATCAAATATTCCGTCTTTGTTCGAGTCCAACACCGGAAATTGTGTGTAAATTGTAGGTCGCTATTTAAATGACCTTTGGTTGTTTATGAGTTTTTTTCATTCTCATTGAATATAATCTTAAATATAAATAATACAACAAAGATGCCTTAAATTTATTTAAATTATAATTAAAAATATATTTTCACTTGTTTGAATGATAAATGTAAAATAGATTTCTTTTAAATAAATAAAATATTATATTATTACCGATTGGCAATTGTTAGTCCTTCTGCTACGAATCGGGATCATAATTTCTAATAGATGGCATTTCTACGAAAATCACGTCATTTTAGAGAGAATCACGTACACGCTTATAACTAATTTAGGGTGGGCGTTAGATTTGTTTTCAAGTAGGCTTGCTTTTTAGCAAGAAAAGGGGAAATTTATTTAATTTCCCGAATAGTCCAATCAGTTTCGTTCCAAGTTTCCAGCAGAAGTGGCAGGTACGCGTCCATGTCATGGTCCCGTGCAGACACCCCCCCCCCCCCCCATGTCGCCTTGCATACAACGTCAACTATGATAGAACTTTAGAAGGGGGAAATATGAAATTGAAATGAAAAGACAGGTTTGAATGAAATTGCTAAGCAATTGACCACTATCTAATAGATTCTGATCCGTCCTTTGTTGTTGGCATTTTCAGGTAGCCGTTTAGTAAACGGTGATATCTCATAACCGTGTTTCAAACATGTCAATTAGGCTGGCTAAGCCTAGCCGCTCTTATCATTATATGACAAGAGGTCATTACGAACTCATAATTGAATTGATATATTGCCCCCCCCCCTCCCCGAGCTTGAACGTCGTACTGGGTTGGGAGATTTCTTGTGGTAACTAGGGGGGGGGGGTCGGATAAATTAGTCTGAGCCATCGATGGTCTGCGCTCTCGATCGCCGGTATTATGTTTTAGCTATAGCGCCAGCTAGGATGGAGTTGCTCTGTAATAGTATTTTGCGAGAATGGGGCGCGGGGGCGGGGGGGGGGGGGGGGTGGGGGTGGGGTGGGGGGGGGCAGAGGCCAAATTAACTTCATGATGCCCCCTCCCTCCCGCACAATGTCTTTTTCTCGATATGAGCTTTGCACAGGGGCGTCGCCAAAGGGGGGGTGTGGGGGGGTGCGACACCCCCCCCCCCCCCCCACCTGTCAGGATATTGTCGGTAAAATTGCGCTGCCGTCGGGAAAAAGAGAAAAGGGGGAGGGAAAAAAAAGAGAGGGAAAAAAAGAGAGGGAAAAAGAGAGGGAAAGGGAAAGAAAAGAAAAAAAAGAAAAGGAAAAGAAAAGGAAGAAAGGAAACGAAAGTAAAGAAAGGAAAAGAAAGAAAAGAAAAGAGAAGAAAGAAAGAGAAAAAGAGAAAAAGAGGGAGGAGAGGAAAGAAAGGGGAAAAAAAAAGGAAAAAAGAAGAAATAAGAGTGAAAGGGAAACAAAAGAAACGGGAGATGAAAGAGAGGAGAGAGATGGGGGGGTGAGAGTCTGAGAGAGGAGGAGTAGAAGTAAAAGAGAGAAGGGGTTGTTGGGTGGAGTCGTCTCGTCGAGGGAACAAGAAAGACACGGGTAAATATGTTGCTGTGTCGGGTCAGCTGTGTCGGTATTCTTGCTCGATCCTCGTGTACTATATCAATGCAGAAGTTTGAAGTCGGTGAGATGTATATTGTCGGTCGGCCGACAAGTTTTTTTCCCTACGAACTGTGACTTCTTATCCACTGTGACGACTTTAAGAGTGACTACAACTACAATACTTGTATTTTCTCGAAGTTTCACTTTCCTATAATATCAGCTAAAGAATTTTTTTCGGGGAAACTAAATTCAAACAAGGTTTAAGAGTCAACAACGGTACGACGAATCGTCTTCCTTTCTTTATATTGTGATGAAACGCCAAAAATTCCGCGCTTCGCGCGGAAGGGGAAACTTCATTTAGACGAGTCGAGATCGGTACAACGAATCGTCTTCTTTCTCTAATAATTTAAGGAAACGTCAAAGCTTCCGCGCTTCGCGCGAGAGTGGAAAACTGAATTCAGATGAATAGGGCTTATTGAAAGTCGAAAACGGTACAACGAATCGTGTTCTTTCTCTAATAATTTGAGGAAACGTCAAAGCTTTCGCGCTTCGCGCGAGAGGGGAAACTAAATTCAGATGAATAGGGCTTAATAAGATTCGAAAACGGTACGAGAAATCGTCTTCCTTTCTCTATATTGTGATGAAACGCCCAAAAATTCCGCGCTTCGCGCGGAAGGGGAAAACTTCATTTAGACGAGTCGAGAACAGTACGACGAATCGTCTTCTTTCTCTAATAATTTAAGGAAACGTCAAAGCTTCCGCGCTTCGCGCGATAGGGGGAAACTGAATTCAAACAAAATGAATAGGGCTTATTTAGAGTCGAAAACGGTACAACGAATAGTGTTTTTCTCTAATAATTTGAGGAAACGTCAAAGCTTTCGCGCTTCGCGCGAGAGGGGGAAACTGAAATCAGATGAATAGGGCTTAATAAGATTCGAAAACGGTACGAGAAATCGTCTTCCTTTCTCTATATTGTGATGAAACGCGAAAAAATCCCGCGCTTCGCGCGGAAGCTGAAAACTTCATTTAGACGAGTCGAGAACAATACGACGAATCGTCTTCTTTCTCTAATAATTTAAGGAAACGTCAAAGCTTCCGCGCTTCGCGCGATAGGGGGAAACTGAATTCAAACAAAATTAATAGGGCTTATTTAGAGTCGAAAACGGTACAACGAATAGTGTTTTTCTCTAATAATTCGAGGAAACGTCAAAGCTTTCGCGCTTCGCACGAGAGGGGGAAACTGAATTCAGATGAATAGGGCTTATTAAGAGTCGAAAACGGTACGACGAATCGTCTTCAAAACTTCCGCGCTTCACGTAGGAGGGGGTAGCTTCATTCAGATAAGGATTAAGAGTCGAGAACAGTACACCGAATCGTCTGCTTTTTCTCATAATTTAATGAAACGTCAAAGCTTCCGCGCTTCGCGCGATAGGGGGAAACTGAATTCAAACAAAATTAATAGGGCTTATTTAGAGTCGAAAACGGTACAACGAATAGTGTTTTTCTCTAATAATTTGAGGAAACGTCAAAGCTTTCGCGCTTCGCGCGAGAGGGGGAAACTGAATTCAGATGAATAGGGCTTATTAAGAGTCGAAAACGGTACGACGAATCGTCTTCAAAACTTCCGCGCTTCACGTAGGAGGGGGTAGCTTCATTCAGATAAGGATTAAGAGTCGAGAACAGTACACCGAATCGTCTGCTTTTTCTCATAATTTAATGAAACGTCAAAGCTTCCGCGCTTCGCGCGGGAGGGGGAAAAACTGAATTCAGACAAGGATAAAGAGTCGAGAACAGTACACCGAGTCGTCTGCTTTTTCTCATAATTTAATGAAACGTCAAAGCTTCCGCGCTTTGCGCGGGAGAGGGGGGGAACTGAATTCAGAAAAGGATAAACAGTCGAGAACGATACAGCAAATCGTCTTCTTTTTTATAATAATTTAATGAAAGGTCAAAGCTTTCGCGCTTCGCGCGGGAGGGGGGGGGGGGGGGGGGGGAACTTCATTCAGCCAAGGATTACCAGTCGAAAACGGTACAATTAATCGTCTTTTTTTCCTAATAATTTAAGGAAACCTCTAAGCTTCCGCGCTTCGCGCGGGAGGCCCATCACCCACCCCCCCCCCTAATGAGCGCGCTTTTAAGTGATTCTCTTGCTCACTACCGCCCCTCCCTAAAATAAGATCCTAGCTCCGCGCCTGCATTAAAATATACAGCTATGATGCTGACTAAATTGAAGAAATAATTTGTATATTTATGTCGTCGAGGAAAATGACCATTTGGCGCATATGCAAGTACTATAGATAGTCCATAGGAAAAACAATTTAGCCTTCGGCCCCAGGTTTATAGGGTTGAATTTGTAGATATTGGACATTTAATTTTGTCGGTAATTGGTGGCTAGTTTTGTCGGTAATCGTTGCCCTTTACACCCCCCCCCCCCCACTGAAAAAGGTCTAGCGACGCCCCTGGCTTTGCATGTAGGTTAGAGACAAAACTGCGACGGTATTACTTTTTAAACCTTAGTAACTGAATTCCAAGATGTAGTTCTTTAAATTATTAAAGATGCTTGTCCATAATTATAGGCCATAAAACATTTCATATAGAGACGGTAGAGTGGGTGTCCCGTGTTAGAATTTTCATAACCGTCGCTGCTTTATCCTAACAATATCTTGTTTTAAACATCTATAAGGATAGGTCCATAAAAGTGAGAAAGAGCGCCCAATTTTTCCCCGGGTAGGAGCCCCAACTCCACTTCCCCCTCCCCCCTTCCCCTCCCCCTCCCCCTCCCCCCCCCCCCCCAAAAAAAAAAATCAATCAGCAAGCTCCGTGGGGTTAGGATTGGGGTTTGAGCAGCAACGAAAACTTATCCTATATTCTGCCGGCCTTTCGAATTCCCGAAAAGGGGCGGGATTTTTCCTCCGAAATACCTCTCTTTTATAAAGCCTTTATATAATTTAAACTTTTGTAACGGGAACTGGGTGGCTAATATGCCCCCTCCCATACATGACTCCTTTGTTGCTGGTATCCTTCATTTTTTATACTTTTTCACCCTGACATTTGCGATATAATATTTAATCTTCATGACGAGACGAAACAGATGATCGAGCCGCCCCAACAAACAAAAAGGGCGCGCACGGGGACGAGGCAAATATTCCTCTGGCACATAATGATATTCTCCCCGCACGCACAACGAAAGGGACTTCGCACTTTGAACCCGCTCGGCACGGGACACCTGTGGCACTACCTGCAGTTATCAATCCACGTCGGTTTACTAGATCGTATATTACAGACTGTTGGCAGTTGTATTGTATGATATCAATAGCTGTATTTACACGGGTGACATTGTTCTTTTTCGGCTCATTTCATTTGGAGACGCTCAGCAATTGTATTCACAAAGGAGAACAATTTGGAATATAGACAATGGATAGTGTAATAACGCAGGATTTTAATAAAAGGGTAAGGACTTCGATTATTTTTTTGTTTAATATGAGAATAAAGTATATAGTTATTTTCTCTTTGATTTTCGTTTCAATCTATTCACACTAAAGTATTACTTGTATCTGAATCGCTATAAGCCTGATTTAGGCGTATATACACACTTATGATTATTGTTGAACTATTATATTTTTGTCTAAATATAGTTCGATGAATGAATTATAGACATATCAAATTGACGATTGAAATTTAAATGTAAATTTGACTTTGAAGTTTGAATAGGACACTGACATAAATTATTTAATTTTCTAATCTGTATAGCTAATGAACGTAAATAATCATATTCCGTATATGGTAAATAATTCGTAGATAATATGCAGTTTGAAATTGATACAGTAATATAGTACATTCTTTTTATCAAAATATCAAATTCAGTAAAGATTGGGAATGCTTTGAATTTATGTGGTCTTTTGAGGGTTTTTTTTTAAAGAAAACTATTATTATTTGCTTCCACAAAAAAAAATTGTTAACGAATTTCAAGAAACAAAATTATCTTTTGCATGCATGTATATTATTATTTTCATTGAGATTGAAATATATTTTGTTTTATGAGTAATATCGAATCGAATTCACACAATATTATTACCTCAGATTTCTCAGAAAGGTGTATACCATCTAATTTCCGATCAATATAATTATGTGTGAAATTTTACTCAATCAGATCGACAACGGTTGCTGTGTTTTTATCGATTTTTTAAAATTTATTGTATAAAGCCCATTTATGACTCATATACAAACATAAACATTACGTATAAAATATTGCCCATAAAGTTGAAATAATTTCTTCTTACCTCTTTTTATGAAATAATTGTTACAAATATAATATATTCTTGATAGGTAAAGTTTATATATTCGCAGAACTTTGTTTCTCAACCTCTATGAATCTTGTCAATTCATTTTAATTCAATAATGGTTTTATACAGTAGGTTTGCGGTTGCACCATGTGTGAGAGAGAGAGGTTTTGTTTGACAATACTTAGCAACCAAATTTTGTGCATTTCCTTAACAAGTTCTCAATAATAACATGTCACATTACGTTGCACCATTACAAATAAACACCACATAGATACCAACGTTATAATTTATGCGTTTTGATTGTACATTTTCAATGAAATTGTTATTATAAAGAAGATTAGGGGTAGTGTGTTTCTTTAGATCCGAAAGAAATTAGATAAATGTGTTTTTTCCCCCAAGATACCAACAAGAAATGAGTTTCGTTCGAATGAATACAACAAATATATTTTGTAAAGATAAACAAGGTTCTGACGGTTATAATGGAATGTACTGTTATTCTTTAATTCTGTGAAGTCGTTATTGTTAGTCCCAAAGGTATTGGCTCTTCAAAGTGGCTGGAACATGAATACAGTGTCGTATAATATTATACAGTGCAGCTCTTGTTTGGAAATTGCTTTGCAAATTTGATCGAATCATGTCATTATCCCAAATGCAAATGTATATGTTTACCTATGTCGTGTTCGTCATTATACAGCCTAGCGAAGTTCACTTTTGCCGTATTATGTCAATAGTTTGGATCTATCTTTGGGAAGGGGGCGGGCATAGTATAAATATACTCTCTATTAAGGGCGTAGCCAGGATTTTTTTAATGGGAGGTGATTTTCGGCCTAATTCGTGAGAAAATATTTAGCGGCGAATCAGCCAGCTGGTGAATAAGCGGGATGGGGGTAAGCACTATTTGGGGGGAGGGGGGGGGGGGGCTCAACGGAGGGGGTGAACACTCCTTTTTTCCCTCAACATCCAGGGGGGCATAGATAAAAGAATAAAAATAAAGGGTGTCTTTAAAATTCTAAAACACCTACACTGTAAAACACCCCATGCTTGCCAATGGGGAGGGGTGTTCGAACACCCAAAACTACCCCCTCGATACGCCTCGATGCTCTCTATAAACTACTCTCTCAACATTACTATGAAACTTTGTTTGTTGTTATTGCACTTGGCATAATAACATAAATCAAATTGAATGAAATTTCTTTGCGTTTAACCATTGTGTATTTGCCATTTTTCTTTTCAACAATCGACCAGGTTCAGGCAACTCTCGAGTACGAGAAGGATCAGGCCCTGCTCTACTCACAACTAAAACAATACCAGCAGTAAGTCCAGTATACACCTGTTTTTCTCCCCCTTCTTTTAACTACCTCCCTACATGCTTGTCATATATTATTACCCCCACACCCTTCCCCGGATTCCGCAATCATTATGATTCCTGATGGGTGACCCCCCCCCCCCCCCCGCCAACATACCTTTCCTTTCTTCCACTCTTCGTTCATATTTTCCTCTCATTGTGATATATATCTTTTGCAAGCGTGGATCCAGGATTTTGTGAAAGAGGGGGCCGGGCACAATTTTTTTTTTAATTGGGCATTTAGTAAAAAGGGTCATTCCTAAATAAAACATTAAAAAAAGGAAGGGGGCACAATTTGAACTTGTGTAATATGGGTATGTCACTTGGCTTTCAGAGGAGGGAGGAGGCATGGGGTCGGTTGTGACCTCCCCTAAATGCAACAGTGGTAAAGGCGTATACGGGGGGGGGGGGGGGGGGCTGGCTGCATATTGCCATGACTTTGATTTGATTTGATTTTCAACGTCGCAAACTAAGCAAAAGTTTATGATTACCAACATACTGTCGAGGAAAGGAATGTAAAGTAAGGTTGGTGAAAGACAGATATATTTGGATTCAAGCAGTTTACATCATCGTATATGGCTTCCAGCCGAAAATCTCAAGCTACGTGCTAAGTAATAACAATAATCATTATTTTGTAGGCCTGTCTGAGTTGGTCTAACTCAGTCTGTATAATATAGGATTGACTATTCGGAATTATATAGGCGTACGAAGCAAGGGGCTACGAGAAGAAACAAAGCGAAATGAAATAAAACAAAACTAAATGGGAAAAAATGTTAAGCTAGGGTAATAATTTCCAAAGCTCTTTGGAAGCGCATAGGCACGTCATAATGTGGTATGCCATATACAAGAGCGGAATATTTTCTTCTTCTTCCTCGTTTTCTTCTCTTCTTCTTTTTTTCTTCTTCTTCTTCTTCTTCTTCTTCTTCTTCTTCTTCTTCTTCTTCTTCTTCTTCTTCTTCTTCTCCTTCTTCTTCTTCTTCTTCTTCTTCTTCTTCTTCTTCTTCTTCTTCTTCTTCTTCTTCTTCTTCTTCTTCTTCTTCTTCTTCTAATTATTATTATTTATTACTATTATTCTTAATCTTATTGTTACCATTATTTGTAATACTCTATATATAGGGGGCTTATCCATTTTATCTATTGTGATTTTAAACGAATCTGTAATTCGGCCATCAAGTAAAATGAACAATATTTAATATTTAATTTTAATGTATTTTTTTCTTCTTCTTTTAAACAGAGATCGTGATGTGGCTGCTCTGGTCAACACCCTGAAAGACCTCCTCGCCTCTCCAGATCGGGTCAACCTCTTCGATGACATTCGACCATTCGTGTCGGTCAACCAACAGGTCGAATACAACAATCTGTGTCCAGTACCTCCCAGGTGAGAACGACCCCATTTGTAGATTATGGTCATGTTCACATTAGAAATGATTGATGGGACATTATTATACTGTCATTATAGTTTAAATTCGACGTTTACATCATCATTATCATGTGCTGATTTTGATATAATACGTGTATGTTTGTATCTGTTCATTTCATTTCTTTTATTTGTTTTCCACATTCCAGTCGAAAAATATGCAAAATATTAGGTAATAAACATTATAAAATACAAAGGAATACATACACAAAGAGACAAACATACAACAATAACACTCAACATGTAAGTTACATAGAGGGGAATAAAGGTAAACCATTATGCGGATTGGAAAAAAAAAACGCCCAGTTGCTTGTCAAGATTAATCCCAGAACAATAATATTATAATATCACATTGTCTGTTCAAGTTCACGTTTCAAGTTCAAGTTTATTTGTTCCACATTAAAACACAAATATAGACAGACATATAATAGAAATTATATATACAAATACATATAGTATGAGCACGTCTCAATGATACTCAATTCATGTGATATATTAAGTAGAATGTGAGGAACCTATTGAAAAGCAGTGCTTGTATATAATAGGTTTCTGATAAACGTCTTTACATGAACATTGAAGATAATCCAAAATTGTGGATTATATTTAAATGAATTCGAATAAGGATTTTTATATTGTCATTGATTAGAGGGTGTTTATTATGTTATAACTGTAGTTTAAAACACTTCGGAGAGTTCACAGGATCATTCGATGTCCGTTTTTGGAGGACAATGAATGTCCTTTGTTGCCGGTAAAAGTTTCGCATCAGTAAAGTCAGAAAGTTGAGCCACATTACTCGCTCCGCCAAAATAGAAATATAATTTGTAATTTGCCATATTTACCCTGCAAGTTCGTGGCCGTAATACATAAATAATTCGAGTTCATAATTATGCGCAAGTGGGTATTTTTCTTACTATGTATAATCTTTTTAAATATTTGTTTACAGCGGCACACAAGGGGCGGTACAAATTAACGAACAAAATGGCACAAAGGTCAAAGACGCAGAACTTTATCTTGTTAACGAATGATTATTTACATTTTGTCCTTCAATAACGGCTCTCTTCCCGACTGTTCACCCTCATTTTTATCATTATCATTAATTTCTTATACATTATTTTATTTACTGTAGCAAGAAGGCAAGTCTGGTTCACCTGACTCGCCACGGCGCCGAGCCGCTCGGGTTCAAATTCAGAGGTGGAGTAGAGCATGGGGTCGGATTGTTCATCTCAGAGGTCACGCCCGGCTCACAGGCAGAGCTAAAAGGACTTAGGGTAAGCCTAACCAACCATTATTTTCCTCCATTAAAGCCAAAATTCGCGATAAATTATCTTCTTCTTTACCCGGAGGCGGGGGGGGGGGGGGTGTACTCAGATTTGGTTTGGACTGGGGTGTGCCGCTCAAGCCTCGAAACCCCTATACCATTCTGAAGGGTCGTTTTTCTCCAAATAAAGGCCCATTTTTCACAATTTTGAAGAAAAAAAAACGGACTAATGTTTAGTTATATATTTATTAAAAATGGGACCCATGTTTAGAGATTTTTTGTGAAAAAGTGACCCATTAGAGTGACACACCCACGTATCTCCTAATATGAGAGTAGTTCCCCGGGTACCTCAAGTGAAAATAGAGCGGCGCTGTGGCTTAGTTGGTAAAGCGCCTGTCTAGTAAACAGGAGATCCCTGGTTCAAATCCGGGCAGCGCCTTTTGTCGGTCAGCATTCGCAGGTGTGTGTAAACAAGCATTTGATTCACCTTTATCTTGTGCAGAACGCACATTGCATAGATACGTTGGTGCTCTTCATCTTTTGCCTAAAAGATAGATTTGTCAACTCCTATATTGAAGTATTTTCAAATAAATGAGTTACAATCGTTCTGCTGTTATATATTTTTCACCAAACATAATTTTTAACTTCTTAGCTATATTTTACCCCCCATTAGAGTGTAATGGTTTTGTTACTGAATCAAAAAGTCTTACCAACGTCATATTTTCAAGAAAATAGCTGCGTCCATGTCATGCTAAAAGACATCACATCATGCCAAGAATATCTTGATCTGTATACACTTTCATTTTTTCAGAATACCAGGGTCAGGTGTCCTCTTTGAAACATGGACATTAATGTTAGCCATTCCTATACGAATGAAAAGCATGAATCTTTTCAGATCTAGTTAAATTTATATATTGGCTGGTCAAAAATTCCTGTCGGTAGGGTTGGGTGGGGGGGGGGGGGGAGGGGTTATCGAAATCGGGAAGACCAAATGTATAAAGGTATAAAAACAAAATTTGGGGCCGAAATAGGCGGTGGCAACTATGCAAACTGCGCCCCTTGATCAAAGCATATCAATATCATCCTAGCCATCATTATGGTAGCAGACAACGTCAGACAGTTGGATATCACAATAAATAGATGAACTATAAGTTCAATCAGAGGCGGCGCTCCAAGAAGCCAGGGGGAGGGGTGGCCTCCCTTTTTATAGTACCCCCAAAGTGCCCCTTTGTACATAGGGAAAGTGCCCTTTTAACTTTCTAAAAGGTGCCCCTTTTTTACATAGAAAAAGTGCCCATTTTACTTTGACAAGTGCCCCTATTGATTCGTAAAAGTGCCCCTTCCTCTTTTTACCTCTGATAAGTGCTCCTTTTATCTTGACATGTGCCCCTTTTCCTTCGACAAGTTCTCATTTTCCGTGGCACATATCAGACCATTGTCGTGCACGTAAGCAAATAGGATCACGATTGGAAACAAAAATGAGACATTTAGTATTACGTACTCGGGGGGGGGGGGGGTTCAGTTTTGGTTTGGACGGGGCTGTGCCGCTCAAGCCCCGAAACGCCTACCCATTTTGAAGGGCCATTTGGGGGATTTTTTTTCTCGAAACAAGGGCCCACTTTTTAACAATGCATGCAACCACCCGAGAAAAAAATTAAATTGTGAAAAAACGGACCCATGTTTAGTGATATTTTTTTGTCTCTCACTCTCTCTCTCTCTCTCCCTCCCTTACCTCCCATCCTTCTCTCCTTCTCTCTCCCTCCTCTCCTCCCCTCTCCTCCACTCTCCTCTCCTCCCCTATCCTCCCCTCTCCCTCCACTCTCCTCCTGCTATCCCCTTCTCTCTCTCTCTCTCTCTCTCTCTCTCTCTCCCCCCCCCCCCCTCCCCCCCCCCCTCTCTCTCTCTTTCCCATCCCCTCCCAAATGCAGCCGGGTGACGAGATCATACACGTGAATGGGTACAATGTTTCTCAGGTCACACACAACGAGGCCCTGTCAGCCATGAAACTAAAGAAGATGCTCACACTCAAGATCAAAGGTCAGAGGTCATTCTGATAGCTACAGTCAAACCTGTCTACAGCGACCGCCCATGGGAAACAAAAAAGTGGTCTTTGTAGACAGGTTCCTTTAGTACATGTTTCAGTGAGAAAACGTTTTCAATGGAAACGAAAACCGTGGTCCTTGAAGACAGGTGGTCACCAAAGCAGGTTTGACTGTATTTTCATACACAAAAAGCAACCGATTTGATATCATCAGTGACCATGTATATCTAAAAGCAATATCAGACTTAGAATTGAATGTACTTGTATTTGATGATACTAAAAGAAAATGCATTTTGACATCTATTTCAGATTATTTGTCTTACCTCCATGCTGCCTTATGGCAATCAATGGATACAAAGCTTAATGATAGCTGCTCCAACAATACATTGTGATCTACAAGCAATATCGTCATTTTCACATAATGATATTAGTCACCGATGTTTTACAGATATCAATATTAATATTCGGCGTTTACATAATTTTTTTTATATAGCATTCAAAACATCGACGATGTCTCTAAGCGCTTTGCAGAATATGGAAACCGGTCATAGTGACGAGTATGAACTCTCAAAAGATTTTTATTTAAATTACTTTAATCATTAAATTTTTATTATAATTTATTCATTTAATTGATCTAGGAATTGGACTTGTGCCCATCAAAGACACGGGATCGGATCCAGTCTCGTGGCAATTTGTGAAAACGGGACCAAAATCACCAGTAAGTTACGTAGTAAATTCTAAACTCAATTTTGAACTAAGTCCTAACTTGTTAAACGTATGTTTTCAATAATCTTTATTGCTATTTTCTACCATTTGTGTGTATGTGTTTGTGAGTGTGTTAAACACCTAGATAGTTAAGAACTAATAAAGTAATTTACCTCTCCCAAATTTTTGTTACCCCTTTCTCGATAAAACGTTTAGGAGCCGCGGTCCCCACTGGCGGAGATTTTTCCCGGTTCAACCCGTAACATCATCGCAAAGGAGAGGACCATCTTTGTCAACTTGGAAGGGGGGCAAAAATTAGGGTGTGGCATCAGCAGTGGTAGGACCAATCGTCCCGGTATCTTCATCCACAAGCTCAACCCGGGCACCCTCGCAGAAAAACTAGGATTTCAGGTGAGTCTACATTCACGATTATATCGCTCTTATTTACAAGGGAATCCACAATTTACAAGCTGATCTTCCACTACAAATATAGATAAAGATATAAATATAAATATTATATATATATAGAGAGAGAGAGAGAGAGAGAGAGAGAGAGAGAGAGAGAGAGAGAGAGAAAGAGAGAAAGAGAGATTATAAATATTCATAGAATTATCTATATTTGTCTAATTTCAGTTAAATACCATACAGTTGTATTATTTCCATATGTTATATCGACTGTATTATATATTACTTTTATGGCTTGATATATTATTGTATGTATTTTTACACCTATTGATTGTCTTTGTTAATACTTAATGTAAATGATTTATGAAACGAATGTGAATGTGAAATATGAAATAAATGAAACTGAAACTGAAAATGTCTGTTCAATGCCAGAAGAGCGTTAATTCTGAGTTGACGCCCTTCTGGCTCCGAGCAGACCTCTCTTGTAAGAAACAGAGGGGCCTTCAAGGTAATACAAAGTTTTGGGACATTTTGAAAATTGGGTGGATAGTGATTCTTTTCAATTTTGATATATTTGGATGCTCCTGTGGATGAATTATAAGCACTAGAAAATTGAGTCCCTAAAACGCTTCTGCTTTCGAGAAAACTTGAATATAAAAATTTACCGGTGCTCCCGGTAAATTTTGATAAATTTCAAATAGCGCCTACGGCCGTACAATAGTTGCTGCGACCATGAAAATCTCAGAAAATGTAATTGTGATATAAAATTTCCAGACGGGAATAGCTAATCGGTCGATTTTAGTCAAGAAGCATTGTTTTATAGCTTAATTAATATCTTGGCATTGAGAGGGAGCTATACAACATAAATAGTTAATTATTTCCAATTTTCTAACTTAAAACCGTGATAACGATCACTGAATATTGTAGGATCGCATATGCTTCCATTATGTTCATTTGAACCAAATTCATGACCCCATTGAAACTTTGTATTACCTTTAAAGTAACTCAGTAACATTGTTGAAGGTTGATGAAAAAAATTGCTTAATTTTTGTATAAAATATATTCCTTCTACTATACTAACCCTCTGACATGCAAAAAATCTTGAACAAATTCTCAAACCACAAAGATATCTATGGTTTTCATTGAAGGCGTCGATGTGAGGCACCCTCTAACAGTGATTAACAGTAAATTCTCCCAACCATTTTTGAATTTTCCCAACCGTTTTTCCATGAGAAAAATACATAAAACAGGCTATAAAAATCTGTCAACACTTAACTGTCTGGAATGGAATGTAGAGCCATTTTATTGCTTTGTGAAGATTTACATTCACCTAAAAAGTAATTAAATTGTCCTTGTCTTGATGCTGAACAGGCTTTGACAAGTAGCAGAATAGAAGTAGAATAATATAGTTGGGAGAATTAAGGAATCGATCAGATCAGTTTTTCCCAATTTGTACCATGAATAATGATCCGTTTTCACTCAAATTTTCAGATTATCTTTAATTGTACATCTAGCATTGAAGTCACTACCTTAGCACCACTATCTCTCATCTGAACAATGTTACCAAGTCCCTTTAATGATCTGTTCGAAATCTATGACTATAAACTAACGCCCTTCTGGCTCCAAACAGATGTTTACATAACCCTAAAAGGGGACCTAATTCGCTGTTTTTTATATGAGCTATCGTCCTTCAGGCTCTCAAATATTATATATTTGTTGAAAGTTTAATAATAATAATAATAAAGTAATTTTTATAAAGCGCATAATAATAAATTCTCTATGCGCTTTACAACAATCAAATAGGTTTAGGTGGATTTCGTTCTGGATTTCAGGATTTGGTTGTGATGACTGATGAGTGCACGGATTGGGAAACATATAGAAAGTTTATAAGACCGATGGTGCTCATTATTTGCTGATTCTGACGTTACGTCATTTTTTATAGCTGTGATGTGTGTGATTGCGATTATCTATGGTTGAATTTTCTTGTTGGAGTTTGTAAGCATATTGATGGGGATTTCGTTCTGGTTTTCAGGATTTGGGATTTTTTAGCAGATTTAATTCATCAAGAAGAATGACAAAAAGGAGAAAGTTATTATAAAACCATGGGTGCTAAAGTTTATGTATTCTGCTCACAAAATGCATCTTGAAGACAGTTCTCTTTTTAGAAGGTATGGGTATAACGAGGAAAGAGGGGCATAACATGCATGTATATGTAAATGGGCATGCTTGTATAATAGAGATCGAGAGGGAGAGGGGGAGGGGCATTGGGGAAATGTGGTCATCGTTATACAGTTACGTCATAAAGATGGAAACGTATAAATAAACAATTCACGCCAAAAATATGAACTACAAAAAAAAAATTGATGCGGCCTGAAGTATAGGAAGGGTGAGACGACGAGAAACCGAATTGATCGTATTTGGCCTTAGACCTGTCTAGTTATTACTTCCAAACAGTCAATTCGTATTCCCATGGGGATCAGACGTCGAAATATCATGTAAATAATTATGATAAATGGATGACAGATGTATTCATTTCGTATCATGCTTCTCAGCTAGTTTTTCATTTTTCAAATGTTTTTTCTCTTTTGGTCTTGTTTTTCTTTACTATCTTTACGATAGAAGATTTCAACATTTTTATCAAGAATTTAAGAGTTAGTGATGTCATATACCTATCAGATTTAAAGAAATAAAATCCACAAATGTCATTCTATAATTATAGCTGCTGGCATGAATTCCTTTTAGTAGTTAATGTGTTTTGAGTCACCTTCTATCACCTCTGTGGTCAATAAGCGGGTATGCCGATGGGTTTGGGGTTTAATTGAGCGATTCAAATGACAGGATGATGAAAGATACACAACTAACTTTGCATCTAGAGGCATCGCTAGACTGCAGGGTGTTGTTGTTGTTGTTGTGTTGTGTTGTGTTGTGTTTTGTTTTGTTTTGTTGTTGTTGTTGTTGTTTTTTGTTTTTTTTTTTTTTTTGGGGGGGGGCTATTTGGACCAAAATTGCTGACAAAGCTTTATATTCTATTTGCCAAGAAGCAACACAGAATAATGACATAACAAGATACTCATTTTTCTTTTTGCTTTATTCCTGACATGATTTACAAATGTTAAATCTGCCGAGACTGGTATTTGTGATTTGCCAACCTAATTATATTTGAAATGAGGTGCCATACCCTCATACCCAATACCGACGCCATTGTTTGTCTATCTATCAATTAACTTCATGAAGAATAAAATAAAAAAAAATAGGACTTAATAGGTTTGATGTGTCTGAAAAAAAGAAGGAACGATGTAGTGCCCCACTCAGGGGGTGATGGATGGGGAATGGCTTCGAGTGTTTATTACTTCACGGGCGCTGAGAGCTCGAGAGATCAGTACGGGAAGGGAAAGGAATGAAAAGAGAACGAAGAGAGAAAGAGGGAGTCAGAGAGAGAGAGAGACAGATAGATATGAAGACACACAAAGAGAAAGAGAGAGAGAGAGAGAGAGAGAGAGAGAGAGGGGGGGTGCAAAGATAAGTGAGACAGGTACTATTATATTAGTCGCGGAAGTAAATATAGTAGTTCATTTAGGAGTGGTGTTGACAGGAACTAGGGTGAAAAAAGAAAAGTGTACACAATTAAATAATCTAACATGTCTTGAGGTCTAGTTTAGTTGAAACATCCCCCATACTCGAGAGGAGGATTGTGGAAACCATTTAAGGTATACTGGGGAATATATTAAGGGTATATCTAAGTGTTTCTAATTAATTATAGTTTAGTGAAAATTAAAAAATTGGGCGGCTATTTCCTTGAGTACCCTACTTCCTTTGATCACGCATAACGTTGAAAATGACACTTTAATCAACAGGTTGGAGACCAGATCAAGTCGGTGAATTCGACGAGTTTCGATGACGTGTCCCACGCCGAAGCCCTGATGGCCCTCAAGAGCAGCGACCATCTCAACATCGTACTCAAGTCATGGGAGGTAGGTAGGCTAATAACTACATTTGCCACGCTCAACCCAGGTGTAGTAAGCGGGTTTACCTGGTAGGACTTATTCCTTGAGTGCACTGAGCACTTCCATCGGCAACTTTGTCACTTTTTATACTTATTTTATCTCATTTTAATCCACCCATTGCAATCTCATGCCTCTATCAGCATGGTAGTGAAACAAACAAAAGCTACATGTAAGTAAGACAAATCAAAGCATACATATATACGATTATTTATTAACGCGTCATGTATTTCGAAATCTTTTGTTAAGTATAAATGACGGATGGAGAACCGGACTTCGTATTACTTGTATAACACAATGCAATTATTTATCTGTTAAAGTGTGAAAACAATATAAGGTGTATTTAGGGCGTCCATTTGTATGTGCGGTGTAATGGAAGTAACGCGGTTTTAATTACTCCGTATTTATTCCATTGTATTAAAAAGATTTTCCAGTTGACACACTTCGGTTCTTCTCTTTAAATATTGTTTCTATGGTCTCCATCTCCATCTCTCTCTCTCTCTCTCTCCCTCTCTCCCTCTCTCTCTTTCCCTCTCTCTCTCCTGCTCTCCCTTCTCTCTCCCTCTCTCTCTTTCCCTCTCTCTCTTTCTCTTTCTCTCTCTCTCTCTCTCTCCTCTCTCTTAACTCTCTCCCTCTTTTTCCCATTGTAATTTTCCCTCTGTTCTCCCTTCCTTCACACTGTTTTCCTCTCTTGATATTGTTCTCTCTCATCTTATCTAAATATTCCGCTTTACCCCCCCCCCTTTCCCACTCTCCCTCTATCTCTCTCTCTCTCTCTCTCTCCCAACTCCATTTCTCTCTTTCCTTCCTCGTTTTGTTTTATCATGCTCAATTTCCTTATTATGAAAAGAGATATAATATGAAGGTAAGTTGTCACGTAGCGCCAACGTCAATATCGGCTACTGAATGTTTCTCTTATCTATAGTCTAGTGAAGTATGACAGGTTTTGTACGGGCGTTCTTGTGGCATGTAGTAGAGACCCCCCCCCCCCCCCCCCCAAAAAAAAAAAAAAAAAAAAAATTAAATTTAAAAAAAAAAAAAATTAAAAAATACATAAATAAAAATAATAATAATAATACTAATAATAATAATAATAATAATAATAATAATATACATTGTAAACTGTTGTAACCATTGCAATTCAGTCTTTGGCCTGCGAGAATGGATAATTATCAATAAAATCCTTCAATCAATCAATCATAATAAAAATAAATAAATAAATAAATAAATAAATAAATAAATAAATAAATTAATTAATTAATTAATACATAATTAAATAAATAAATAAATAAATAAATTAATTAATTAATAAATAAATAAATAATTAAAATTTGATCTTTATGATTCATTATGTCCGAAGGCAGAAGTTCGTCTTCCATTATATATTTTATAAACGTGCATGTTTGTCAGCTCAGTTGCATATCCAATATATACGACGGAACCAGTATACGCCCACTCATTTGATATATATATTTTTTTACACAACTGTTTAGCCACTTCAGTCAAATATACTGTGCAAACGACTAGAGACAGAGTCTAGCATTACCCTTAGCAGTTTTGTTGGATTGCTGGAGCTGTTCATGACTGTGTACATACTTGTTATTTGTTTCGGGTTAAAGCTATCCTCTCTTCTCTTTCATTGTGTATTTCTGTGTTCTCCTATCAATATCTATCCTCTCTTCTCTTTTGCCATGTATTTCTTTGTTTCTCCTTCAATCTATCCTGTTCCCCTTCGTCATCTATTTCTTTGTTTTAATCTGATAGATTCCCTTTTTCCTTCTCAGTATGTATTTCCCTAGTTTTAGGCTTATTCTAGATCTATGATCCTCTTATAGCTCTTCAATTATGTATTTCTATGTTCTTCCTTTGACTTATCCTCTTCTCTTTCCTTATGTATTTCCTTGTTTTTCCTTCTCCATAATCCTTGTTTTCCCCTTTCTAGGGTTTCTATCATCTTCCCATTCCTGGGTATACGTGCTTGCACATAAAGTGCGCTGACGACTTATACTATTATCTAGATCTAGTATTTTTAAATTATTTTTAAAATAATTCCATAAATTGGGATAAAAAAAAATATTCCACCGTTATGAGCAACAGTGTATATAAAAGGACATTGTGGACTTGTGATCCATAGTCCTGTGACAATGTATCCACTCGACCACGACACCTCTAATATGATAACAAGACCCCACTATGTTCCATAGTTGTTGCCCGACTTGCGTTTACCCAGGAAGATGGCCCAACTAATTTTGAACATTTGATTGGGTAACTATACATGTAGTTAAAGGTCGGGAGAAAATAACCCAAATGTTGGACAAAAATGGCCCAACTTTAATTTGCCCAATAACATTACCCTATTATTGCATCGGTAACTACATGGTTGGTAGAAAATAGCCCAATTATTAGACAACATTTGCCCAACATCGATTTGCGAAGTAACATCTACCCAACCTATTGTTTACCTTTCATTAGGTAACTTCATATATAGTAAATGGTTGGGAGAAAATAACCCAATTATTGGACAAATTTTGCCCAAATTCGTCTTACCCAGTAACATCTGCCAAACTTTTTTTTACAGTGTGCGAGAGACTATCCCTTTATCTACATCAACGATTGCATGCCATGCTTATTAAAAATTGGGCCTTCAATAAAACTGTAACCAGACACGAACAATTTCATCCTGCTTTTTTCAAGCTATATTCTATTCAAAATCTCCTATCAATCTACCAATAATAGGAAGATGCGATTCAGATGGAACCAGCCCCGCCTTCTCCTCTCATCAAGGATGCGGGCGTTCCCATGACAGCGGCAGTGGTATCCGGGAGTGGTGCCGGTGATGCGATCCGAAAAGGCGGTTTGGAGGTTGGGACTCATTGGTCGTATTATAAACCGGTCAATGAGGAGGTTGTAAGTGATGAATGATTGTATGAAGGAGCATGCTGTTCGGCAGAGTAGTTTTTTTGTCTGCTGAGATTGCACATTTGATGTCCGCTGTAATGGGATGTCCGGTATAAAGTATTAACAAAAATTTTTGAAAAGACTAATGTATAACAACCCGCTTCTAAGTGATATGTTTGTGTCGTGTCACGTGTTTAATAGTCATCAGACACTTACAGCTTACTAACATAACAATCATATAGCTCCGTTTAGTCTCATTTGACAACGCCCCCTATCGTCAGAGTCAGCAGCCTAACATGTTAGCCTATGGACTTTTACCGAAAAAAAAATCGTTAATAATTCATCACTATCAAGTGTCGTCTGATCCGCCGATTGCCGTCTGCTATACGTTCAAGGCACATTTATCTGTGGACTGTGATGTACACAGTTTACTCGTCATTGTAGATTTATGATTAGCCATCTGTCATTTACTAGTTTTTAATTGTTGACACACATACAATTACCACACACGTGAACACTCTCACTTCCCCTCCCCAACACACCATTTCCGCACACCCGGTTCAAAAACATACCCAATGGCATAATTATACACCCTGCAACAGAGTGACAGATTCTAGTTTGTTAGTGACGGCGAACTAGCTACGTTTGTGCTGGCGAGCGAAAATGAGACAACCGGAGCAATATGTTATCACCCCTTAACTCACCAATATTCCACTTGAAATAAATGATGCTTACATTCCCTTCCCTTTCATTTGTTATCGTACTTTTTTCAAACTGACAATAATGAGAAGTCTTGATATGCATTTTGAAAAAACAGGGAGATTAAAACAGAACAGAAGAATAGGGTCGAGGAGAGAGAGAGGAGAAAGAGAAAAATGGCGAAGAAAAGATATAAGTTGAGGAAGAATGAAGAGCAGAAGAAGGAGGAGGAGAAGAAGACGAAGGAACAATCAGATTAACAAGAATACAAGATAGAAAAGGCTTATCAATTTTTTTTAATGGCATTCTTACCAATGGAGGGGGAGGGGATTTAACAAAAGTTAGAGGCACCCATTTAGATTTTTTGTTAAAGAAGCTGATTTTGAAGTGATGAATTAAACTGATTCATTGCATGCTCCTAAAACATACTGTTCATTCACATGTATAACCGTAATCACCGACGTGTGTTATATTTTTGCGATATTCCTGTAATTAATCATGACTGTATTTGTAATAATGCCATATGACAAGCATTCAACTACCTCTGCAACACTTTCCCTGGATATCAGTCTGTCTCATATATATTTAACTTGTAAAATTGTCTTGGTGTGGGGTAGCAGTCAGAAAATATTGTCCTCGAAGGGCTTTCGAAAAGCTACTATTTATCCTACGTGTGTTTATCATGTGTAGTTAACGGAGAGATGTTATTCCGGGATAGTTGTCCCAGATGTCCTGCTTCGCTTCATCATGTGTTATGCATGCTGTTATTTATATTATAAGTTTTAATTGTGATCGCTATTAGAACTTTGAAAACAGTCATCTTAAGCGTAATGTATCAAATATCAAATGTATATGTTAATGGTTTATCTTGATTTGCTAACCGTCATAGTCATTCAATTACATTTGATTTTCTTCCAGTAGGTCGTTAGCCAAATAACGTTTTTTCAACATGAATTGAGTTATGAACACACACAGAAAAATAAAATAAACAGAGAGATTACAGTAAACATACAGATTCGAGTAATATCAAAATGATAGTGCATGTTTTCTGTCTTTGTTCTTGATGAATAAACAGGAAGCTAATTTCTTGGAGCCTGTCTTATCAAAATACTTCCATAAGAATAGACATGGCATATACTTGCGATCTTTATGGCATATCATATCTTTTTCCTTTGTCAAGTTAATTAAAACGCAATAAATGTTTTTTTTTTTTATACAGGATGAGAAACCGAAGCCCAAACCGAAGCCCAAACCTGTTTCCAATCTGCCAGACTGGTGGACCAGTGATCCTTACTCCATGGTAACATTATCAAATTGGCAACATACTGAATACTTTTATAAATGTAATACTTCCTGGGAGAAATTTCAATTATTGAAACATATTTGTGGCTTACACCCAGTAAAAAAGATCTATTGATCGATCTGTAATTGAAAAACAAGTCAGAAAAAAATCTTGGGACCAGAGGCACATGAACCTGCCATCTACTGCTTGCCGCTTGCCGGGCAGCAACTTTATTCCACCAGGCCAGCCCTGGTCCATGGCACAGTCAAGATGAACTAGAAACAAATACCCAAGCTCTCCTGATTCAATTCGACTTATTAATATTCATTAGTCCGCCATAGGTCAATAACTTTTATAAATAAAATGCTTCCTGGGAGAAATTAAATTATTGAAACATGTTTGTGGTTTAAACCCAGTAAATAAGATTGATTGATCGATCTTTAATTGAAAAAGAATTTAAAAAAAATCTGAATACTGAATACTATATAGTAGTCAGTTATATCGCATTTGTCAAGTAGGGGAAAAAAGAAAGGTCATCCGCCAATAATATTGATAATAATTACGTTAAATAAAAACTGCAGAGAAAATGGAGGAACTTGTATGAATTATTGTAATCTAACGTCAACGAAATGAAAAATATAGTAGAAGGGTAAAACTTTTCAATTTATCATGTTTGGTCAGGGGAGAATCAGCAAGAACTCCATAGGTGATAAGTGTCTCGTTAAAAAGAATACCTTTTCCCGGCATTTTTGATTTTTGTAATCTAACGTCAAAGAAATGGAGGAAAAAATAATAAAGGTGGTAAAATTGTTCAAGTTATTATATTTGATCAGGAGAGATACAGCAAAAACTATAGAGGTGGATTCTCTGAGATTGTTATTATTTGATTAGAGGTGAATTTTTGAATTTAATTGGGTTCTGGAAAGAATGCGAATATATGCATCAAGTGGCATCGCCAGACCATTTTGAATTTTGGAGGAAGGGGAATCTGCTTTAAAATATGGGTCCTCCAACTTCGAATTTTGCCGAAGAGCCAAAGTTTTTTTTATAACCCTTTCTTCTTTTTTCAGATTTGCCAACGAGAGTAAATTGATCGTTCAATTTTCAAGATCACGTTTTAATACTCGCTAAGGTAGTGCTAAACAGTTCAGGGGGTGTTTCACAAAGATCCTAAGTAGAACTTAACACTAAGTTGGACTTAAAAATTATGGACAGCCATTGGAGCCTTAAAATGAAATATATTCAAAAGCAGAAATTCAAGTATTTTAGACTTTTTATAAATTCCACAACAAGAACATGAAATCTCCTTGATGATAGAAAATATGAATGATTTGAATCAACATTTTATGCCTTTCAAATAACTTTTACAAAATATTTTCAAAGATGCTAATGGCTTTCCATAATTTTTAAGTCCAACTTAGAGATAAGTTCAACTTAGGATCTTTGTGAAATACCCCCCTGTTATATTAATTGGCTATTTATCTTTACCAATATGTTACCATCAGTTCACTACACGCCAGATTGATGATAGAACTCTGAGAAAGGTTGAGATCGTGAAGGATGGACCGCTAGAGATGTACCTCGAGGGGGGCTCAAATACACCCCTTCTTGGGAGGGTGGTGGTAGCAGAGGTGCTAGAGGCCGGTGCGGCTGCTAAAAGTGGTATGTGTGACGTCATTTTGTGAAATAGGGTCTTATAGTTATAAAGGGTTGAAATCAATCGCAACTATGTACATAAGATATATAGGAGACTGCAATCATGCGATTGGTTCGGATCAGTCACTGCTCTTTATACGACTGGTCCCAGATAAGGATTTGATACCGGGTACCCTGATATAAAGTGTTGCGATTGATTCGAATTGATCACTCGCTTTTAAATTAATCGTAAACTTTGTGCAACCGCCTGTATGTGTACGTGTACATAGCGAGATTGATCGAATAAACATTAACAAAATCGAGTCAAATCACATGTTGATGATGATGGTAATGATTGTGATGATGATGACCATGATGATGATGATGATGATAGGTTACGTTTATCGCACATATAACTATCCATCATGCAAGGCGCTCAAGGCGCTATAATATTTCGGTGCTCACATCATTCACGGAATTCTTTCTTACCAATACCTATTTGAAACCTGGGTGGAAAGTGACAAATGAAGGTGTCTTGCCAAAGGAATTAGTGCCGCGTTGGGACTCGAACCGCTGTGGTGGATTTCTTTCACGCCAAACAATGTGTGCACCATCTCCCGTGGGGAGTATTCTTACCATAAGGACTATAAAGGCCCATGGCAATTACGACCAAAATGATTTTCGTCATCCTACCAGGTCCCAATTACTCTCCTGGGTATGGAGTGGCAAATGTATGTTAATGTATTGCCCAAAAGCATTAGTGCCGTACCAGGGACCCGTTTCACAAAACATTTTTTCAATGAAAAATGACAAAACTCAGTGACTAATCTGCTGATAACCAATCAGAAGCAAGGATTTCACTAGCTTACAACAAAAACTATCATGAGTCACTGATGACAAGTTTTGTGAAACGGGCCCCAGTGGCCCTGGACTCGAATCTACGACAATCCGCTTTTCCAAGATGATTGTGATGAAACCACTGAACTCATTAAATCATTTCTCATTGCAATATTATAGGAGCCATTAGCAAGGGTGATCAGATCTTAATGCTGGAGGGAAAGAAGCTGATTGACGTCCCTTTGGAAACGGCGCAGACTACATTCAAAGACCACATGAAGGGAAAACTTGACGTGAGTATGATTAACGCAAACATAAAAAAAAGGGAAAATAACACCTAACGCTTTGATAGTTTTCAGCGTATTATCCGTTTCACACGACGCCATTTTGAATGCGTTATTACCTGCGCTAATGAGCGAGTTCGTAAATAGCTCTGGACCGCTTGACCCCAAAATATCCACAGATCTTAGACACGATGGATACTTCCCACTTGTGCATTTTGGAATAATCACTGCCAAAGTGATAGAGGTGCTTCATGAATACCTTTTGTTTGCCCCTTAAGAAGAATACTTCCACCTGTGCATCAGATAAATATAATATTGATACGTAAATGATACTGATTACATAACTTTCATGAGCACGATCCAAGTATTCGTCTCAATGGTTTTACAATTTGGGTACGAATGACCTTTATCTGCCCATGCGCAAATCCTAATTACGAACTCGCTCATTAAGCCTGTAAAAGCAGTTATGAGCTCACAGCACATTTTATAATCATTTTAATTATGAGGCCTCGCTGAGCTTGCAAATCAAAGAACACGATTTTTAAGGTGTATGCATTCGTGTTCTTAATGAAATTTGAAGAAATAATATATTTATAAATGATTTTTCTTCTACACTGACAGGGATCTCAAATACTGAGAATGATCATCGCCGTAGCGCCGCCAAAGAACTACGAAGATGAAGTGTAAGTATAGAGTGCATAGTATAAACAAAAACGAAGATTTTATAAGTCCACAAATCAGTCCACTATGTATGTTAACCATTTGGCAATTTAATTGTGTTTTTATTACACCAATAATCAAAACAAGATGGTTTCCATACGAAGCATTTCCATATGACGATATTCGTCATTGATTCCCATCACAGTTCGAACATTTCTAGTTCAAAATAAGTGATTTTCACAACTTGTATAAATCCTTAATACAGTGAAACCTGTCCATATAGATCACCCAAGGGAGACAAGAAAAGTGGTCTTTATAAGCAGGTGGTCTTTATCTTCAGGTTTCTTTAGTACATGTCTCACTGAGAACCTACTTTCAAGGGATACAAACAAAAATATGGTCTTTTTAGACAGATGGTCACTAAAGCAGGTTTAAGTGCTTTATTTTTATTTTCACTCGAAATTCTTTAAGAGGATTGCCAATTTGAAGATTTAATATTTATTGTCCATGATAATACATACATTTGTTTCCCATTGGTGTGAGATACAAGATAAACATAGGCATAAACATGATAGTGTATGCGGAGAGCCAGAAGGGTATTGAGTTAAAGGGAAAGTCCACCCCCAAAATAAGTTTGTTTCGATAGAAGCAGAATAATAAGAAAATCGGGTGAGTGAAAGTTTGAGCAAATTCTGAATGAAAATAAGAAAGTTATGAATTATTGAAGTTGTGATCAATCAAATACAAATTGGCAACTCTGTGACTTATTATACGAGCTCTCCTTCATTTGCTTTGTGCATAATATTCCATAAAATCATGTTTTCTTCGTTATTGATGACGGCATATATATTTGTTCCTTGCAGGGGGAGTATAGAAACATATTTGCAATTATTATATTTAGGGTGCATGTATGGTTGAAATTTTTCTTGAGGGAAAATGAAAATTTTAGATTTTTTTAGTACTGAGCAAATGGAAGTTGAGCTCGCATGATACGTCATAGAGTTGCCAATTTGTGTTTGCTTGATCACAACTTCAAAAATCCTAACTTCCTTATTTTTAATCGGAATTTGCTCAAACTTTCACTGACTTGTTTCTCTCATTTTTCTACTCCTATTAAAACTAACTTAATTTCAGGGTGGACTTTCCCTTTAATGTTGAACAAGAATTATTCAACACCATTCCATGTTTCAGCAGACTGTATATATATCAAGAACAGTATTCTGAGTCGCATCACAAATGCATTTAAACGTAATTTAGCAAGACGGACTCATTTTCACCGTGGTTCCTTAATCCGCTCTTTACTCTTTTCACAGCACTTTCTTTTAGGCTACAGAACTGAGATATCTGTGGACGCCCATGGCACACGGAGACAAAAAGGGAACAACACAAATAAACAAGGCGTTTGCAATTCAACAATGGATGTAATTTTAGAGCATTGCCTGAATTTCAAATATTTTATTCTTTTCTTACCAAGGCCTTGTTTTATAAAGAATGGCGATTGATCCAAATTAATTGCAAGTCCTCCAACCAATCGCGAATTTGCAGTCTCCTATCTCTTATGTACACAGTTGCGATTGATATAAATTGCAAATAAGTTGCGATTAATTGCAACTCTTTATAAGACGGTTCCAGGTGTAGAAATACAATGTGTATTGATGGAAAGTGTTTCCCAACAATCACAAGAAAAGTATTTCTGCCAATAAGGGAGTTTACAGATAGCACATGGTACAAACTACTCCAAATATCCACAGATCTTTTACACATGGAGAAGTTCCACTTTAAGCATATTAGAATAATAACTGCCAAAGTCTTAGATGTGCTTCATGAATACCTTTTGTTTGCCCTCTTGAAAAGAATACTTCCACCTGCGTATCATATAATGTACCGTTGGTGCATAAATGAATAATGTTACATAACTTTCATGAGCGCAAATCCAGTATTCATCTCTGTGGGTTTTACCTTTTTGGTACAAATGACCTTTATCTGCCCATGCGCAGATTGTATCTGTAAACTCCCTTATTGGCACGACTGATATAATTTAACTGTGATACATTCAAAGCATATTGTGTGCCATCTTTCTTAATTAGATATCAAAGCCTATTCAAATTTCATTGAAAGAACTTGAAAATTCTCTTTTTCAAAAAAGGAAATATGGGGCCCGTTGCATAAAACCTGCCAGTGACGGTAACTTTTCCATCAATATTTACTAGCATATAATGGCAACATCACTCAACAGCCAGTCAAAGTCAGGTTTCTATGAAAGTTACCAATTCGTTGCAAAGTTACCATCACTGCTATGCAACGTGGCACTATTCAATCTATCTAAAACACAGTAATGCATAATAAGTCTAATTATGATAAAACCCTGAAATCATGTTTATGATAATTGTAAAATTATACTATTTTCATATCGCATTGTGATAAAATGTCCTTATGGCGCTTCCAAAGTAACCTCAAGCGTTTGCCTATATATTATACTCCTGTGTTTATTTGCAAATTCAGTTAAGGCAAATGAACAATGTATGCATGATTTGAAAAAGACGATTAAAGCTGAGTAATAACATCTAAAGAAATATAAACATGCAGTATTATATTTCTTTCCATTTTCAAATATCATTATTCGGAATCCATTAAAGCTTATCTGCCGTAGTTTACAGGAGGGATTAGACTGCCCTGCAAGGTCACTGGACAGGTGGTTATCTCATCAACTCAGCTCTCAGTTAACATAATAAAAAGAGGATCATGGGGGACCAATGGTCACCGATTAGGCATTGTTTGTTATATAGAGGGCGCAAGTAGCTACAAGTAGTGCAGTGGGCCTTTAACGGAATTTCTAATATAATGATTAAGCTTTAGTATTACTTTATACTGGTACACCAACACACTCCACATCCATTCTTTATATTCCTTTGTTTAACCTCATTAAACAATGGAATTATCATACTCAGTACTCAAAAGTAACAAATAAAATATATCATTATTATCATATTGATTCGTACTTGAATTATTATACACCTTGTGAATTATTATCAGGAAATTATTCATGTATTAGTATTGTGTGTAGTGTCTCGTTTTGATAGTATTCAAGAAAGTGTATTCGAGATCTTAAAGTTAAACAAAATATATACCCAGAATATGATTTGTTCTATACTAAACGCGGCTTGTGTAAGAGGTGTTTTGTAAATAGTTTATAATTTTTATTGTTGTTATTAATGATAAGTCTGATAATATGATGTATTTTGGACCGAATTTTGTGTGGTGCTATGATTACCGGTCATTTTGTTGATATCAGTATACAAATAATGAATCATGATTCGAATTGTGATCTCAACAGTAATAGAGATTTTTTGTTGTATTCACATAATACGCGTACATATGTCAGGAACTTATATCATCAATATCAAAATGTGTTTTAGTATATCGCCTTTGTGGTTGTGTCGATATATAGTTTATTGTTAAGATCAATCATTAACCAAATTGGCAACACTGAAGGACCACGTATGGTAACAATGATGTCACTCTGAAACAAGACACTAGCAGAATGTTATTCAACTACTATGGAGAAACTAGATAGTTTTCTTCCACAAAACTATGTTTTCAGATGATGACTCTGCGATTATTATAGTTCTAATTAAAGATCAAGCTAACTAAATAGGCAACACAAATGGCCTGGATAACTACCCATGACTAGTATTGTGAAATTAATTACTTTTGTTTTCGTTACAGAAAATGATTTGGGGTAATGCCTTCATGAATTATTTTACTAATTTCTTATAGGGATCAAGCTCACTCAAATTGGCAACAAATTAAAACCGCCTCTGACTGGCCTGGATAACAGACTAGTCATGACTACTTGTGTGAAATTAAGCACTGTTTTTCGTTACAGAAAATTATTCTTGATGACGCCTTCATAATTTGTCCTACTTAGTTCTTTTAGGGATCAAGTTCAATAAAATTGGCAAAAAAACCCTTTCTGGTAACAATGACGTCACTATGGAACAAGACACTAGCAGAGTTACCTTTAACTACTACTGAGGAACGAAATTTTCGAGTTCCACAAAGTCTTGCAATTGATGTCCTTGTTCCGTCTTCGCGGTCCTGAAATACCTGCGTAGAAAGAGAGAGGAACCGAATTTATGCGATTATGATTCATTTGAAACAATTGAACTCTTTATTGAAAATGTGTTATCAGCTCCACATGATAATATTCTTGATGATTTTTTTAAGTTAATAAAATAGAATGAGTAAATTACTAGAACCGGGAAGAATACCACTAGCATTTATAAAACATAATCGAGAACAGGAAATGGGAGATGGAGAGGGGAATAGATGAAATTAAAAGAGCAGAGAAAGATTATTTTAAAAAAAGGAGACTGGAAAGAGAGAGAGAGAGAGAGAGAGAGAGAGAGAGAGAGAGAGTGAGCGGAAACTTTTTATAATGTAAGTATGAACAAACCACAACAGAGAGCTATATTGCAGTATTGTTACCTCTACATAGTCGAATATGCAGCCAGGAGCCGGTTCTAACTCGAAGCTTTGAAAGGTCAGATCAATCCAGTAACCCGGATTAACTTTAATTCTGGTTCCCGGGATGATTAGGAGATGTGAACGAACCCTCTGATGCAAAGATGGTATTATTGCAAGTGACTGTCAGAGAACAAAACAGCGGAATAAACTCTATAACATTTTGTTCTTCTCTTTTTTCCACAAGTCTAAGCTCAAGTAGAATCAATCCCATTTACACATCAGAACAGATCCACGATTTTTAGAAGAGGGAGCGAAAAAAATCCCCCAACATTTTATTTCCCTATGCGTCCTTTCGAAAATCCCGCTTTTATTTTGTACTTTTTTTTTAGTCCCAACAAACTATTTTAATGTTTGTTTGTTTGTATGTTTTTTGGTGTTTTTGTTATCAAATATGTGATTGAATCCCCTAAATGAACTTACAAAAATGCAAATAAGCAACTGCAAATGTGTATTAATCTAGAGTCATAGGTTCTTACCCTTTTCATATTTTCTTTAAAAGATTTTTTTTTAAGAATGGACAAAGAAAGAGGACAAAATATACAGTTCCTCATTCTACCTTCATTATTATTGCAAAGGAACATCCCTTCACTGCTATTATGTAAAAATGTGTATAACAGGTGAATATGCATGTGACAAATGTTCTACACATGCATCCCCCCCCCCCCTCGCTTGAAGGAGGGGGGATGGCCTGTACAAATACCGCCCCCCTTGAGATTACCAAAAAGAGAGAGAGAGAGAGAAAAAAAAGGAAGAAGAAGAAGAAGAAAAAAAAGTGATCGTGTCTATTTCAGCATAATGCATGAGAAATGAGTTATTTTTGTATATATGTATAACTGTATAGCCTACACGTATACAGTATGTCACGATCATTAAGAGTAGTTGCGCGACGTGCGCGAACAAGCACTTCATAAACTTCAGAATAATTTTTCGTTATTTTGCAAGGTATTATTATAGCCCAGACGTAAAGTGCGCTGGCGCGAGCACTTAAAAAGTGCAATCATGTGCAGTAGATGCCCGGCTCCCACCCCCCCCCCCCCCACTCAGTGTTATTTAGAGTACGCGTGTGCTCGTTCCCTCCCTTTGAAATCACCCCCCCCCCCCCCCACTATCTCAGGGCTGCCAACATTTCTGAATCCCCCTTTCGCCGGCTTTTTGCTGGCTTTTCCTGCCTTGGAGACCCACCCCCAGGGGCGTAAATCCGTACCGAGGAGTGGGGGGGATGATCGGCGATAGCCATCACATACTAGCACGAGCACACGCCCACACTAATTTACGCAAGCGCGCGCGATCGCGCACGCACAAACACACAACAAACACACACAAACATACACAAACGCACACACACAAGGGCACACATACAAACGAACAAACAACAAACAATATTAGAGAAAGAAGACGATTCGTTGTACCGTTCTCGAAAATAATCCTCGTCTGAATTCAGTTCCCCCCCCCCCCCCAGGCCTCCCGCGCGAAGCGCGGAAGCTTTTACGTTTCATGAAATCATTAGAGAAAGAAGACGATTCGTTGTACCGTTCTCGACTCTTAATCCTCGTCTGAATTCAGTCCCCCCCCCCTCTCGCGCGGAGCGCGGAAGCTTTTACGTTTCATGAAATCATTAGAAAAAGAAGACGATTCGTTGTTCCGTTCTCGACTCTTAATCCTCGTCTGAATTCAGGTCCCCTTCCCCTCCTGCGCAAAGCGCGGAAGATTTTACGTTTCATTAAATCATTAGAGAAAGAAGACGATTCGTTGTTCCGTTCTCGACTCTTAATCCTCGTCTGAATTCAGTTTCCCCTCCCCTCCCGCGCGAAGCGCGGAAGCTTTTACGTTTCATTAAATCATTAGAGAAAGAAGACGATTCGTTGTACCGTTCTCGACTCTTAATCCTCGTCTGAATTCAGTTTCCCCTCCCCTCCCGCGCGAAGCGCGGAAGCTTTTACGTTTCATTAAATCATTAGAGAAAGAAGACGATTCGTTGTACCGTTCTCGACTTTTAATCCTCATCTGAATTCAGTTTTTCCCTCCCCCCCCTTTCCCTCCCGCGCGAAGCGCGTGAGCTTTTACGTTTCATTAAATCATTAGAGAAAGAAGACGATTCGTTGTACCGTTCTCGACTTTTAATTCTCATCTGAATTCAGTTTTTTCCTCCCCCCCCCCTTCCTCCCGCTCGAAGCGCGGAAGCTATTACGTTTCATTAAATCATTAGAGAAAGAAGACGATTCGTTGTACCGTTCTCGACTTTTAATCCTCATCTGAATTCAGTTTTTTCCTTCCCCCCCCCCCTTCCTTCCGCGCGAAGCGCGGAAGCTATTACGTTTCATTAAATCATTAGAGAAAGAAGACGATTCGTTGTACCATTCTCGACTCTTAATTTCTTTAAAAAGGGGGTTGGTTTTTTTCTCTCTCTCTTTGGACTCCTGAGAAATGTAAAAAGGAGGTAATAAAATATTTTGAATATCATAGAAAAATTGATCAAATCCCGGGATCAAATTCCTGAAATTCCTGCTAGCTTTGAAAGCTCATTAAGGATTATTTCATTTTGAAAAGTTTAAAGCATTGGCCCCCAGTCCCCCTTGATCGACTAGAGCTCACCTGAAATTGGGGGAGGGGGGGTGGTACATTTAGCAGTGTTCTGGATTTTTTTTTTTTTTTTTTTTTTTTTTGGGGGGGGGGGGGGTCTCCAAGGTAGGAAAAGCCAGCGAAAAGCCGGCAAAAGGGGGATTCAGAAATGTTGGCAGTCCTGAGATAGGGTGGGGGGGGGGGGGTGCTTCCAAAGGGAGGGAACGAGCGTACGCGTACCCTAAATAACACTAAGTGGGGGGGGGGGGGGGAGCCGGGCATCTACTGTACATGACGGCACTTTTTAAGCGCTCGCGCGCTGGCGCGCTTTACGTCTGGGCTATAATAATACCTTGCAAAATAACGAAAAATTATTCTGAAGTTTATGAAGTGCTTGTTCGCGCACGTCGCGCTACTACTCTTAATGATCGTGACATACTGTATACGTGTAGGCTTTACAGTTTTACATACATAAAAAAAATAACCCATTTCTCATGCATTATGCTAAAATTGAAACAATCACATTTTTTTCTTCTTCTTCTTCTTCCTTTTTTGTCTCTCTTTTTTTTGTTGGTAATATCAGGTGGGATGATTGTATAGGCCATCCCCCCCCTACTTCAAGCCAGGGAGGGATGCAGCCCCCCCCCCATCCCCCCGGGAATTACGCCCCTGCCCAACCCCCCCCCCCCAAAAAAAAAAAAAAAAAAACGGAACACTGCTAAATGTACCACCCCCCCCCCCCCCACCAATTTCAGGTGAGCTCTAGTCGATCGAGGGGGACTGGGGGCCAATGTTTTTGCTTTTCAAAATAAAATATTACTGAATGAGCTTTCAAAGCTAGCAGTAATTTCAGGAATTTGATCCCGGGATTTGATCAATTTTTCCAAGATATTCAAGATATTTTATAACCCCCTTTTTTACATTTCTCAGGAGTCCAAAGAGAGAGAGAAAAAAACCACCCCTTTTTAAAGAAATCTCCGGGTGAAAAGCCAAATACCCCCCCCCCCCCTTTTTACAATTCTCGGGCCGGATTTTGTCGCGCAAAAAAGTACCCCTTTCCTGGAGATGTAAGGAACGCGCATGCGGTCCCTCCGACCCCAGAGTGTGGGGAGGGGGGGGGGGGTAGATGAAGACTGAAGTTCCAGACCTGGCGTGTTCAAAACTTACAGTGGCCGTTTGTCTCTTCAGTTATTTTAAGGTAAGTCTGTACGCATTCTTATTATTTTTATATTTGAGAAAGGATTTGGCTAATTAATAAACACGGTACATGTGTCATCATATGAATTCCAGAAACACTTTTGAAGAGGTGTGAAAACTGTGAACGCATCTGATTGAGAGTGATTAATAATACGGTAACTGTTACATTGCCCAGGTCCTACTCGGTGGTTGTCATTTGTTCACACCTAAAACTTAAGGGACGAGGGGATGATATTTAAGGGCTGCAATGCTTGTGATGTTTGTGTAGGTCTATGAATGAATTAATTTGTTGGTTATATTGAATGAATTGAATTAAGATAAATAGGGCTTAATAAGAGTCGAGAACAGTACTTCGTCTGCTTTCTCTAATAATTGAAGGAAACGTCAAGGCTTCCGCGCTTCGCGCGAGAGGGGGAAACTGAATTCAGATAAATAAGGCTTATTAAGAGTCGAGCACGGTTTAACAAATCGTCTACTTTCTCTAATAATTAAATGAAATGTCAAAGCTTCCGCGCTTCGCGCGGGAGAGACAGGGAGAAACTGAATTCATACAAGGATTAAGAGTCGAGCACGGTTCAACGAATTGTCTTCTTTTTATAATAATTTAATGAAACGCCAAAACTTCCGCGCGGGAGGGGGGGGCGGGGGGTGGGGGGGGGGCGGGGGGAACTGTGATTAACAGTCGAGAACGGTACAGCAAATCGTCTTCTTTTTATAATAATTTAATGAAACGCCAAAGCTTTCGCGCTTCGCGCGGGAGGGGGGGGGGGGTGAATTCATTCAGACAAGGGTTAACAGTCGAGAACGGTACAATAAATCGTCTTCCTTTCCTAATAATTTAAGGAGACGTCTAAGCTTCCTATCACCCACATCCCCCTGTTGTTTGTTCGTTTGTGTGTGGTGTGGTGTGTGTGTGTGTGTGTGTGTGTGTGTGTGTGTGTGTGTGTGTGGGGTGGAGCGTGTGTGTTGTGTGCGCTTGCGTAAATTAGTGAGGGCGTGTGCTCGTGCTAGTATGTGATGGCTATCGCCGATCATCCCGCCCCCCCCCCCCCGACTCCTCGGTACGGATTTACGCCCCTGGTAGCAATCATAAACCCACACTTTTACAATGAAGTCTATAAACTGACAAATTCTTAATTTTGGGGTTGAATATATTATAAGCAGAAAAGTGAAGAGCATGTAATGATTTTGAATATTCAGTAGAGGGTATTTACATGTGAAGAGTATGGTTCCAAAACATGGTACACCCAAAAAGCTTTTTTATACTCCCATTTTGTATTTTCAGTTTGAATGAAACTCG